ACGAAAATCATTAAAAACCTAAAAACTTGACTATACGAGTATAAATTAATAATTATTTTCTTTAACTGTTTCATTCAATGAAAAATATAATAAATATATTACATGTTATAAAGTAGGATATATCTGTCTTGATTCTTTGTTAATAATAAAGTTTTATTATCTGTAGGAAAACAACAATGTACACTTAATGGCTATAAAATAGTATTCCAATGACTATTGTGTTAAATAAAGTAAAATCATTTAAATAATTTGAACATACATATATCGATCTCTTTCAAGATCATATTTTTATTTATAATTTATGCAGTAGGTATAAATAGGTTATGATAAAAAATGTATATGTTTCAACGAAAAATTTAAAACATTACTATTTTTACTATAAGTGTCAGAAACAAATTTCTTTTAATGAACTTAATATATAACATAATGTGTAGTTTACAAACGGGAAAAATATGTATTGAAAAGATGTATTATATGAAAATCTAATTTAATCGAATGGAGGACTTAATATATCTCTAGGAATTAAAACATCACTTAATAGTACATATTTTATGAAGAACTAGCTTTCCGCTCGCAGCTTCGCCCGCGTGGATTTCCAAGAGAACCTTTCAAAAGTCTGGGATAAAATTTATCCTATGTTCTATCTCAAGGTCAACTCTATGTCTGTACCAAATTTCATTAAAATCAGTTCAGTGGTTTAGGCGTGAAAGCGTAACAGACATACAGACAGAATTACTTTCGCATTTATAATATTAGTAGGGACAACCCAAAAATATACTTCTTAAATTCCACACCCAAAACGAAAGTCGAAAACATAATACCGATATAATAAATAAAAACCGTACACATACAGCTATAAAACAAACAAGGCCGCCTCAAGACCTCAAGATACCCGGAACTCATAAGCGTTGATACAAAAAATACTACGACATTACAGTATTACCGCGGAGTTAATATAAATACATGTGGAATTAATATCAAATCAATATATCATTAAAACGGGTCTCACGCCCAAACAAATTATCTTTCACCCCATCAGAAAGTGTAATAGAAATCACTATCAGTAATAAGAAGCTTTAATCGCGCGCCACTGTTAGACATTTTGTTGCGTAGCGGATTGTGTAGTGACTAGTGATGGGGTCTGTTGGGACGTTTAACGGTTTTTTATTATGTTCATTAATATTATATAACATATATGTATATGGTTTTAATTTAAATAAATTAATTATTATCATTTAGTCTATTTAATACTTGATCTGTTTTGAATTATATTATAAATTCTGTTAATACTATTAATTTTATATAATAATTAATTTCTAATTTAAAATAGCGATTTGTTTTCACAACAAAAAACAAAATCATATACCGATATTATAAAACAAATTAAAAATTATTAAGACAGAAATTATCAAACGAATAAATTATTAAGATATTATAAGTTTTATCTAAAATAGCGAAATGTGTACGTGACTATGGAACAAAAACGGATATTGGATGTGTCAGCCATGATGGATGCGCGCGCGCAAAAACCGTTCAGTGACGTCACGTGGAGGTTACTGTAAGGAGGACTTATATATTACATTATATATATATATATATATATATACTAGAAGACCCGGCGAACTTCCTATCGCTCTATAATCAAGAAATATCTGTTACATTTTTTTATTTATATTTTTGGAGTTTACCTATTAAAGCCATAAATCTCCATGTTTTGAAGAGCGACAGAATGATTGACATATTAGTTAGTTATCAAATCTAATGTCAAAAAAAACGTTTGCATCAACAACTACTAATAAATTAAAAAATGAATTAAAAAAACATTGTCCAGCGGACAAAATATACAGGGTGACTGGTGAATTACTATCGATACTTGAGGACGTGATATTTGACGATCATATATGACAAAATAAAAATTAATATAACATAAATATTAATAAACTTCTAAGTAAAGTTAACCAAAAGTTATGTAATTAATTACGCATCGTATGAACACCCTACAGATTAGGTATACACACACACATTCACACACTCGCGCGCGGTGGCGTGGTGTTGTATCAGCACGCCGCCGCACGCGTCCACACTTGGAACGTGTCCACACTTTATTTATTTATACGGAAATTTGGTCAAAAATTAAGTACCTATTTTTTGTACATAATTCGAATGAGAATCATGTACCGAGTATTCTCCTCAAATATTGATAGTAATTCACCAGTCACCCTGTAGAATGTTACTTGTAGGCTGTCATATATTCTAATGATCGGTTTTCTTAAGTAAAAGTATCTGCCATCGCTACTGTTCTAGAAGCGAAGCGAAATCTTTCTACGTATAAGAGTTTTCTATTCATACATTTCAATCGAAATTTGGTATGGATACGTGAAAACTGTAAGTATTTAGTTTAATATCGACTCGTACTAAATAAAGACAGATACTGCATTTAATATAGGTATTAGGTACATACTTAATTAATTTCTTAATTAAAATAATTTTCACAAGTATAGTGTGGTAACAAAAAGTTGGTTGTAAAAAGTTTCTATATGTAAAGAACTTTCTCAATAATTCATATAAAAATAGTTGACATTCTTAGTTTTTTCTAAATGTTGTATGTATATTATGCATATTAGATTAAATAGGTTTTTATAGATTATACCCGGAAATTAATCTTATATTGAGATATAGAAAATGATATTATATGGTTTATGTTATATGATATTAACGTCACAGACACTGAAATAAAAAAATATATATATATGCAGAATGTGAATCAACGGTAGCCTATTTGTTAAAATGGTTGAGACGAGATATTCCGACAGGTGCGGGTTCGATTCCAACAAATGTGTGTATATTATTTACTTATTTGAATTCATAATTATGCATATGCAAATCTTATAATAATTAATTATGATAACCTATTTATTATATATAAATATTATGTGAAAGAAAATATTAAAAATATAATTTTCAAAGTCTCGTGGATTTAATTAAAAAATATACAATACAATATTACGTATAGGAGGTACATATATTAATAACAAAGCAATATAATAATTATGAAATACAAAAAAACGCTAAATTTTTATAACGGAAAATAATTTAAGTAATTTTTCCATCTAATAAAAAGGATCAATCTCCATTTAATCGGCGTTCCAAATAAAACACTTGAACAACGAAAATGGCGAGATTAAAAGATAATACAACAGTTTGTTTGACGCGATAGTACCGGCGGACTAATGAGGATAGAAATATTATATTATACACCTGGGACTTCGCATGTACTGGGTACACCATGGAAGATAAAAAAATATATTATAACACCATTCCATATATATTTTTATCTTAAAAGATAACCACTATATAATCAGCCTATCAGAGCCCATTGCTGTAAGGCCTCTTCTCACATGGAGAAGGTTTGAGCATTAATCACCACGCTTGCTCAAAACAGGTTGGTGATTTCAAACTTATATTGAAATTATAAGTCCAGGTTTCCTCACGATGTTTTCCTTTACAAGTCAGTGATGTCTAAATACTCTTAAAGTACATATGACTCGGAAAAATCATTGGTACTTGCCAGGATCGAACCCGCGCCACATACACGAGCCGGACTTTTAACCACTAGGCCACCTCATTGATTCACTATATCATTTCCGCCTTAATTACAAACAAGTGCATTTCGTTTTAATAAAAATTATTGAAAGCCTAAAAAAAATCATGCACGTTTTAATGATATAGCATAAATAATTTCACATAATCATCTAGGCGTGGTGATTTAAAAAACGTCCGAACCGCAAAAGGGCACTAAATATTTTGACAGTTAAATTTAGTCAATAATAATAGTTTGACGCTTCACAAGTAACGAAGATGGCGCTAAAACGGAACTATCGATCTCTGTAATGGCGTAATTATAGGTTTGGCGCCAAAACTAGAGCTACTATTTACACATTAAATTCTGACAGGGCCTTAATTTTTTCTAAGATGCGTGTCGATATCAAAAATATGCATTATAATGGATTTGTAGCATGTGTTACGATAATTGTTGCGTTTTACTTACATTATGGACGGATATATAATTTATATTTAATTTTATCGATAAGCATTGATTAAGGTTTTGGAGTCTTTAGTTTTTTTAAGTTTTCTATCATCGTGAGATGATGCTTCCTTATTATTTTATTCACTATAATCGTTGGAATATTCTAGAAGGATTAATATTACTTGTTGATATTTTTTCGTTTATTACGAAAGTAGCTTTTTTAATTCCATTTATTCATCAGTCATTGTATCTACAATATTAATATAGATAAAAATTATGTACTCTTTTAAAATATATGAAGATTTTTAATAGTCGTTAAAGTTTCACAATAACGGAATGCATGTAAATTGAGCAATCCGTGAAAGGGAACGTAATAAAATCATCGTGTGGCATCAAATACATTGAAATCATGTTTCCTTGGACATTAAAAACAAATTACTTTTTGTCACAACTTAAATAAGACGTTCTGTAAACAAACGTAGGTACTGATTCATGATCATTCCAGTCATTAAGCTGTACTCCCGCCATCTGCTGTGATAATTGTAATTTCGCAACCTTCCGTGAAGTATTGACGTTGATTGATTCCTTTATAATGTTTTAATTAATGTCATATTTATATAAACAATGCACATTCAACTTTAATTTTGTATTATTAAAAAAATAATAAATACTGTTTTAGTTAGTAATTGATACTTAAAATGTTAGTTATCTTATTGTATTCGGATTCTTTTAAATGTTTGAGTGTAGTGTTTACCTGTAATGGTGTATCACACTGTACAAGTTTATTTTTTTATATTTTTTTCCACATATGGTTTGTGAATATACCGATGCTATTTCCAAAATTAATAAATTAGTAAATAAAAATTAAAAAGGTTTGATCTAAAGAGGTTTTATATGATCTGTACTATTTGGTATGTCAGGCAGCTGTCAAATTGACATTGAAATGAAATAAAAAAAAAATGTTTTTTTCCAGCAAGTGGCTACTCCCACGGTCGTAAAGAAGATACTACGTCTAAAACAAGAGAATCCCGGTATGTTCGCGTGGGAGATACGTGAACGACTGCTTAGTGCTAGGGTGTGCGAGCCACACTCAATACCATCAGTGTCATCTGTTAACAGAATACTGAGGAACAGCGGACTGGTGTGGAACGAGGAGGATGGGAGGCACGGTGAGTTATATGTATATTATGATTAGAAAGTAAGTCAGTGGTGATCTAGTGGTTAAAAAGCCCGCCTCTCATGCACGAGGGCGCGGGTTCGATCCTGGCAAGTACCAATGTGTTTTTTCCGAGTCATATGTACTTTATAAAAATATTTAGACATCACTGATGAATGCATTCCCAAAGAGGGTTGATGTCAGGCACGCGGCCGGTTGTAAAAACAATTAGCCAAAACTATTCACAACATGCAAGGCAGACCCTGGCTAAAGCTGGGAAATTGACAGGTAGAAGAAGGAGATATTATGGTTAGAAAGTAATAGGCAGTAAGCTTGAATGATGGTAGAGTTATGAGAAGTGTGTGAAAGAGACGGAGATAGGTTAGAGGGAGATGCATATATATGTTAAGTGAAGTAGGAAGAATTATGTACCTATAAAACTAAATTAAAGATATATATATATATACATACTTTTAGTCTTGATTTTTCTGATACTAATTCTTCATACTAAAATAAGTTAAATAACGTACTACATCCAATAAAATTAACAATATAATTGTTATATCAATCAAAATACAAATCAAAGTTAATCCATTACCACCTTTCATTAAAGTCGGTTAACTGCGATTGTGAACACATTACCACGTAACCTACATTTGACGAATTCATTAGTGTTTTTTATTATGTTCGAATTAACTGGCTGTTTGTTGATATAGAAAATGAGAATTAGACCTTATTATATATATATTAAGTGATAAATTTGATTGAATTATATTATCCAGGTGATAGTTGACAAAATTTTAAAACATACCAACAAATAAAAATAGTATATATAGTTAATTTGTACATATTAATATTATATTATGAACTTAGTACGAGTATTCCTTTAACGACAAACCAATAGTATGAAAGTTGCATAGATTGAAACTAAGTATTATTATGTTAAAAAGAAAAATATTTTACATTACCGTGAGCGCATTCTGCATCCAGAGTAAGCCAGAAAATTAAGAAATCGAATATCAACTGACAGACATCTCGTCTGCCCGTGATCAAAGTTGATGAAAAGTAACCGAAATTTCGACAGTATGTAGTTTATAATAATAAAAAACGCATAGTACATCCTATAATATTAGTTACATTTAAATGAATACTCGCGAAAACCTTAAATCTTAAGATAAAACATTTAAATGTACCACGATGGCACGTGCAGTATAATTGATACATAATTTATTAAAGATAATAAAAATCTAAGTGTTTTTTTTAATTATACAAATGTGTAAACCTATAGCCATACAGAGGCAGCTGCTGTATATAAATAAAATAATTAACATCGAATAATTAATTAATTATTATCATCCGCACACATAAATATTATCATATATAAATTCGACAATTAGTATGTATGTATGTTGCTCTTTAATATAAAAACTACTAAACAGATTTTGATGAAACGTTTCAATTATGTAGATTAGATATCAGAATAAGATATAAGGTTTAAATTTTCCCGAAATTCTATGTAATTCGTATTCGTAAAAATTTTGTAGTATTAAATGTTGTATGAAGTCACGTGACACTATAGATGTCGCTGACGGCTAAAATATAAATAGTTTTATCACAAAAATTGCTTTATACATCTCTCTTTGAAGCCAAGTACGAAAGTCAAGTAGCGGGCAATAACTAGTATTAAAATTTTGAATAATTTTTACTTATCCACAATAGGCAATTGCTATTAATAATATATAATATTAATATTAATATTATATAACAAATAAATTAGTTTTATATATGTATGAATGTTTGTTACTCTCACGCAAAAAATACTAAACACTTTATGATAAAACTTTTCCAAAGTAACTACGTAATTAGAACAACCCATGAGTTATATAAATTTGGGGGTAGTTCGAAACCAAAACCCAAATTTAACGGGAACGGTCGCGGGCTTAAACTAGTATGTAATAATAACATAGAAAAAAACGCGTCAAATATTTTAATGTCCTGTTTAAGCCATCAATAACAACAATAAAATCGCTCGCTCGTGAAAAAACATTCAATTAGTCCTTATAACGTGTGGTAATGAACATTTGAGGTACATTTAAAACTTTTCTCCATGTCTTAATGGCCGCCACGTCGTTTATTTGTAAAGGGATAACATTTTCGACAATTATAACCTAATATATAGGGTAATTAGTTAATATATTTATGAAATATTGTGTATTAAAATTAATTAAAATTGTATCTTAATAACTTCGTAAGAATTTTCAAACGAGACTCCCAAAATATAAAACTTTCACTAGTATTCATTTAAATGAAACTAATATTATTCGTATTACTATGCGTTTTTTATTATTATAAACTACATACTCCCGACGTTTTGGTTACTTTGCAGCAATCGTGATCACGGTCAGACGAAATGAGAAAAATGAAAAAAAAATTAGTGGAGTATTTCCAAAAATATGATTTTTAAGTCTCCTAAAAGATGAAACTGTTTACCTTGTCTAATAGATAAGTAATAAGCAACATTGAGTGTTCTTATATATAGATGGCGTTAGTGTTGTTTAACATTTACGTTTGTCAAACTTCAATTATACATACAAACTGATATACATATATATTTAGCGAAAAGTATACACGATATAAATAAATTATATGTTAATGATTAAGATAATCAATAATCCTGTTAATATATGACGGAAACAGTCAACCAGGATTATTTTTTAATAAATCCGTTTAAAACATTATGTGAATAATGATATTTACTTAATTTTAGTCTTTATCCTCAGCTTCACATAAAAGTAATATACAGGGTGACTGGTGAATTACTATCGATACTTGAGGACGTGATATTTGACGATCATATATGACAACATAAACATTAATATAACATAAATATTAATAAACTTCTAAGTAAAGCTAACCAAAAGTTATGTAATTAATTACGCATCGTGTGAACACCCTACATATTAGGTATACACACACACACACACACACACACACACACACACACGCGTCCACTCTTGGAACACTTGGAATGTGTCCACACTTTATTTATTTATACGGAAATTTGGTCAAAAATTAAGTACCTATTTTTTTACATAATTCGAATGAGAATCATGTACCGAATATTCTCCTTAAATATTGATAGTAATTCACCAGTCACCCTGTATAAACCTTCATTAACCTATATTTGAACATAACTTATGCAAATTAACCTAAAATCGTCTTTAATTTTTCAGAATCATTCCCGCCGTCGGAGTTACAAAACAATATGTCGGACTATATGTCAATGAAGACTCCATTACCACCCATTCAGCCGACGTCACCGTATTTCGCGCACAACCCCGTCAGAATTCAAGCTCCAACAGAAACTACTTACGATCGCAGGCTCGCGACATCTTGGTTACTAGCGAATCAAGTACAAGCGCAGACATTACTGAAACCGTATCCGATTTCACCGTGGCAAAGAGTAATGATGCCGTATCCGGATACAAAGAACTTCACGCCGTACGCGCTCAATCTACACAGCGAGTTACTCAACAGAATCAATCCGGACGAAGTAAAATCGGAGACATCCGAACACATTTCCGTCGAAACCAGCGACGATAGCACCGATAAAGCTGACGAACAGGAAGTTAAGAAAGAAAAAAAGAAGAATCCGTACTCCATAGAAGAATTACTGAAGAAACCGGATAAAATAGTTACATCAAGTCCCGTAGCGTTTCAGAACTTTCTGCGTCAACCGAGCGGCAGTATGATAGATTATAATCAAGAGAAAACCAGCGATAGAAGTTCTCCAGCAAGCTACTGTTCTATACATAGCGGAACGTCCAATGATTTCGATTCAAACAGTTCAGAACTAAAAAACAACTAATTGACAACAAAAACAACAATTAAAATGACATTTTATTAATACGACACTTGACATTCCATAATATTGCCATATAAAAAAAATATTCGTTCTTAGTGTTAATTTAGTCAAAGTACATAACTTTATTAATTAAATTATTGTATATTTAAACATGATGATGATGATAATTCATAAATAGTTTAGTGTATGTAAATTAATGTAAAATAAGATACGCAATACATATTTATAATTTAGTTGATATCAAATAAGATTTGTTATTGCTTAAGTTGAATAGAACAAAATTAATATCTGGTAGCGAATTAAAAAAAAAAAAAATAACTAGATTTAATTGTATAGCTGTATGTAAAGTGATTCTGTGATATTGTACAATATTAGACCGGCAACTTAAATTGTAAAAACATTGCATGAGATTTCACACTGTATATATTCTTCTTCTTACTGGCTATTTCCCAGCTTTAGGCAGACCCTGGCTAAAGCTGGGAAATGCCAGGAACTTCTTCACACTGTATATATTATTAAATATAGTTTTTAATGTTAGTTAATAATGTATTCGTAGTTATAATATTGTAATAGTGTCCCCGTGCATGATTTAGTTCTTGTGCTATAATGAATTTAATGATACAAATTTAGAATGCCATAAATTAATGTACACATTAGAATTATGAAGCACAATAAACCAAATAGTGAAAGTTATATGATCTTTATTTAAAATCTGTGAGGTAATTATTAGAACATCAATATTGGCTGTATAAATTTAACATCTGTTCATAAAATATACATTCAGTAACCAAGAGGAATAAAAGCTATTTTTATGAACTACAACTGAAGGTGCCCATACTACAATTTTCGTTGTCGAATTAAACTAAGCCAAATAAACGAATTTTTACATATACTTTTATAGTAATGTATGTTAAGAATATATTACCGTTAGGTACTACCAATACCAGCTTTTAGTTTAGATTTTTTTACACTAGACAGAATCAGCACAATCATTATTTAATGTGACAATTAAATTTACTAACGGTTCTGTAAACTATCTGGTTTCTTTGACCTTACGACAATTTTCTATAAATTTCACGTTTGCAATATATATGGGCTTAGTGAAAAGCTATTTATTTGAGACTAGCTTTCCGCCCGCAGCTTCGCCGCGTGGAGTTCGGTTATATCGCGTTTCCAAGAGAACCTTTCAAAAGTCTGGGATAAAAACTATCCTATGTTCTTTCTCAAGGTCAACTCTATCTCTGTACCGAATTTCATTAAAATCAGTTCAGTGGTTTAGGCGTGAAAGCGTAGCAGACAGACAGACAGACAGACAGACAGAGTTACTTTCGCATTTATAATATTAGTAGGGATTACAACCACAGTTCAATTTTATTTATTTGTGTAGGAAAAATAATTAAAATTGTTAATATATATTCTTCGTAGCAGTTAAAAATATCGGACGTCAACATAATTGTATTTTTTTATATATGTATAATTCTACTGTACGTATGTATGTCACTTACTCAAATGACCAATTTCAATGACTTTTGGCTGGCGCCTCAAAATGGTTTAGATTCACAAATTATCCCGGCAGATGGCGTTACAGTAGCTAGGTTATTTAAAATGAAAAGGCAGGTTAATATATGAATAGTTTTAACACTATACATTTCTGTCTGAGCGAAACTATAACTAGAATCGCGGGCTATAACTAGTATAAGTGTTATAAAATCTAAAATAACAAAGATAAAGAGTGAAAACTTATATTAGAAATCATATTACAGTAAAATAAAAAAAAACAAAGTCTATAACTGAACGCAGTATTGATTAATCGATTTTTAAAACATAAAAAAAGCTTAGTTGTAAAATAATCACACATTGCTGACATTTTATTGCTTGGTAATTACAAGAATGATATGCAAACACGATGTAATATAAGTAGGTATATTATGGTAATGTATAGAAAGCTTGGTAATTTAATGCAAAAGTTTAACCTCATGCGATAGTAATACCGTGTCGTAAGTATTATTACGGATGAATACTAATGAGCCTTGCCGATATTAAATCTATTCCATCATTACAAAGAAAAACTACAACTTTGTATGAACGCCGCTTACATTAAACTTTGTATATAATTGTATCTCATCAAAAGTATGATATGTCTTACAGCATTTTAAATTTTATTTTTTACGTTAATTTTATTAATAAATATTGATAATTAAACAAGAAAAACTTAATTTTATATTGCAAGCTACTGCAATTTTACAAATTAATCTCAATGCCATATCAATTAAATGTTTGAATGTAAATTACAATGTCTCTACGTCCAAAAATTATTCCTAAACGATTGAATTGGTTAATAAGGTTTATAAATCCTGTAAAGCCTGTTCCTGAATCGATGTGACTACAAAAGAGTTTCCAACGTTGAGGCAATTGCTGCAGATTTACTCACTTATGTAACAGACAATATTTTGTAAATTAACATCATTCTGAAGGATTTTTTTGTAGCGGCAACACTACTTTTCTTATTAATATCAAGGCTATCTATAAAGTACGTTGATAAGATTTAAATTGCTTCAAACGATTTAAATTTTACTTCTATTAAGAAGTAAAAACACAAATTAAGAAAAATGTTCTCTGAGATACTAATTCTAAATATTTATATATAATTTTTGAAAACGATAGTAATACTTTTATGGCAATTTAAAAAGTATTGCCCAATAATGTTTCACAGAGTTATCTATTATAGTTAAAAATCAAAGGTCAAGTTTATATCGGTACGACAAATTATTATGTAACTTTCCTAAAAAGAGATAAGCAGTCGTTTAAGGAAACTGTAAATTCATTTTTAGTAAAATATATTACATATCTATAAATATTTATATTTTTTTTATAAACATAGAGGATTATTTAGAAATTTTATTAACAGTAGTTAGATTTTTAAGGAATAATTTTTTATCATCTGAATTTTTAAGAACATCTATCACGTCATGTTGCATAACAGCGGGTATCGTAGTAAAACTGAAGCACTTGAAGTCTCTAAATAGAGCTGTTATAATATCTTCTCTCGTAATTGCCTGCTACCATCAACTCTTTTTTATTTTGTGTATGAGGAATTATCACCGGCTTTTCATATTATACATACAATTTAACCAAAACATTGTTGTTATCAGAAAATGATAAAAATAAACGTGATTGTCCGATTGTATTTATTTATAATTTGGGGCATATCTCTAATGACAATGGCAACACTGTTTTAAGTTTCAACTCTCAAACAAATACCTATTCAAAAATCGAATGTCAAGTAGTTAGTAGACGACTATGAAGTAGCCGCCCTTTAGCCCCTGCCGGCAAATCTCTGTAATTAAACACTTTCTTTAAAATGACGAACAAAAAAGACAATAAAAAGAAAACCTCACAAGATGAGAAATATAAAAAACAAGAATCTGGCTTTTCCGTAAGTATTTTCATTGTGAGATCAAAAACATTTTTTGTTAGTAAAATGATATGTATCGTTGTTTTTTATGTACAGTACAGTATGAGATCAAAGTTTTTCGCGAGCTTTATTCATTTGAATGAAACTAATACTTTTAGGATATTCTACTGGATTTTATTTTTGATAAAGACTACCTTGATCCTGGTTGCGGAAAAGTAATGGAAACATCGTGTGTATGTAGTTTTATCAAAAATAAAATCGCGTAGTATATCCGAAAAATATTACTTTCATCTATACTACAGTATATTTAGTATTATGAATATTAATCATAGGAATGCCTACCAATAATGAAATAAATACATAATATATAAAAATTACTTACAGAGCGGTAAAATCATCTTTATATCAGCAATATGTGCTGGTCTGTGTTCATATTACCTGTACAAGCGACTCACCACCCCACCGGAGCCACCAGTATTGGACTTCAATGAATATTGGGGAACCTATCCAATGAAAATGGATCCCGATCTATCCATAAGACCCTATGAGATCGAATTTTCAGAAGTTGTACGTAATATTTTACATAATACATATATTTTTTTTTAATTAGAAGCTATTTACCTAGAAATCTTTAAATATAAAAGAAAGTTGTGTTAGTTAAACTATTTATAACTCAAGTATGGCTGCAGGCAAGCGGCCGGTCATAAAAACAATTAGCCAAAACTATTACAACATGTAAGGCAGACCCTGGCTAAAACTGGGAAATTGCCAGGAAGAAGAAGAAGGGAAAGGATATGTTTATCAATTGAAAGAGAAAAATATACGTTGATCAAATCCAAAAGCTTCTTATCTACTGTTTTTAAGAAAGAATAGAGTTTGCCCAGTCAGCTATACATTTCTAATTCTTATTATGCTAAACAAATAAGATTTTTTTTTTATGCATTAAAGCGAATATTATTATTTTACAGATGGTAAATGATTTAAGAGAGAGATTGTTACATCGTAGACCATTTCAACCTCCGCTTGAAAATTCAGGCTTCACATATGGCTTCAACAGCAACTTTCTAACAAGGGTCCTAGATTATTGGCAGAACAAATACAATTTCAAAGAACGGGAACAATTTTTCAACAAATATAACCATTATATAACCAATATACAAGGCCTGGACATACATTACATTCATGTAAAACCACAAGTTCCAGATGATATTGAAGTAAGTGACCATGAGATGAAATGCTCATCATTCAATGTATTCATATGCGTGTGTCGGGTCCATCGTTGTAGTGAGAGGAGCTTCAACAGTGACTGGGACTTGCGACCCATGTGTAGGTTTAAGGGACCCTATCTAACGCGTTAAACACTCACCTCCACTGTCCAAGCTCCTCTCTCTACTAAAATAAACTTTAATAATAAACATGCACTTCTACTCTCATTCTCATAGCATTATTCATATTTAATATTACATCTCATTGAAACATAGTTTTATTCATATAAATTAAATAAAATTTTAAAGTAAAGATTTTATAATTTATTGAATATAAAATATTGTAATAAACATATAAATGGGTTAGAATTTCTGTAAATATGATATACATATATAGGAAAGAGAAAATAAAACTATTATATACTAGAAGAAACTAATACATAGCCACATATGTAATTATATCTTTATTTTTATATCTGGCCTGGTATATACTAAATCCATATTATTTTATTTTTATTAATATACACATAAATTATATGTCCATTCTAAATAGTAAGTATATAATTATAATATTTTCAATATTAAAGTTATATTGAGTGAACAATAATCTTTAAAATTGTGCTGGGAGCTAGAAAACTTTATTTTAATTTTGATATATATTTTTTTACTAATTATAAATATATATTTTTCAGGTGGTGCCTTTATTACTGTTGCACGGCTGGCCAGGCTCTGTGAGAGAGTTCTATGAACTAATACCTAAATTAACCAGCCCTCAAAATGATTACAAGTTTGTGTTTGAGGTCATTGCTCCCAGTCTGCCGGGATTTGGATTTTCAGAGGTAATTAACATATATATTTAACTATCTTTTGCCGCGACTTCGTCCGCGTGGAATAGTGACTTCCAGCAGATTTTTGGTTCTACCCACATAGTTCCCGTTCTTGCGGGGTTTGCGCAATGGTCGAGTTCCCGTAGAATTTTCAGGATAAAACCTATGTTTTTTTTATATTCACAATGAAGTACTCTTAACCAACAACATATTTATTTGTTTATTTGAATAAAGCTTAATATTATTATGTTGATACAATTTAAACAAATTATTTCGACCAAATTAGGTACCATAAGAACGGTTTTTGTGAGTTAATCTTAAAAGATAGACATATACTGTCGCGGACTGTTTTTTAGATCATTAAAAGAGCTATTATTCTTGAATACATATTTTTTGTGTATCTTGAACCGTTTTCACGGCGCACGCAACGGAAGGCTTCAAAGATGAAATAATTTCTCCCGTTTTTTACACATTTACCACTATATCTTTGCTCCTATTGATATAGATATCTATACTAATATTATAAAGCTGAAGAGTTTGTTTGTTTGTTTGTTTGAAAGCGCTAATCTCCGAAACTACTGGTTCGAATTGAATAATTCTTTTTGTGTTGGATAGTCCAGTTATCGAGGAAGGCTGTGGGCTATATAACATCACGCTACGACCAAAACTAATCAAAACTTTTCTCCGAAATACCATGCACTTGTTAAATGCACTTTCTATGCTTAGTATTGAAAAAAATAATTATATAAACAATACCCGATTTTAATAAAAAGGTGATTAAACATTTCGCTGTAGAAAAATGTCGTCGCATTGATTTAATGTTTAAAAAATAAACATATTTTATGTAAATTGGTTTTTTGTTGCATTTTCTAATTTTAATATTTTATTAAAGTGCACCACCAGTTCGATAACCCACCAGCCGCCACTGATGGTACCTAATTTGGTCGAAATAATTTATTTAAGTTGTATCAACATAATAATATTAATCTTTATTCAAATAAACAAATAAATATGTTGTTGGTTAAGAGTACTTCATTGTGAATAAAAAAAAACATAGGTTTTATCCTGAAAATTCTACGGGAACTCGACCATTCCGAAAACCCCGCAAGAACGGGAACTATGTGGGAAGAACCAAAAATCTGCCGGAAGTCACTATTCCACGCGGACGAAGCCGCGGCAAAAGCTAGTGTTATATATACCTAATTCTGTCTTCTTATTTACATTTAACTATCAAAATTGTTTGGATTCTCAATTTTTATCGTCCAATTTTGATCAGACCTTAAAATAATTTTCATGCAACAATGAAATAGGTTTCTTTGTGATAAAGTGAGTTTTGTAAATATTAATATATTTTTTAAGTTCTCAAACTATTTTTAACAAACAAACAAATTAAAAACTACTCTTCTATAGTACATAGTAATTTTGGTTTTATATATATGATATAACTTTTTCTTTTAAAAATGTCTCATTTTATCAACATTAAATTTATTATACATGCCATACTTTATACCTCTATTAGCGCCACAAAATATATTTACTATAACTTATTAAAGTACTACATTTAAAAATATCCATATAATCCTACTAATATTATAATTGCGAAAGTTTGTGAGTGTGTGTGTGTATGTTTGTTGCTTCTTCACGCTCAAACGGATGAAGCGATTTTGATAAAATTTTGTATACAGGAAGCTGACGTCCAGGAATAACACAAGCTACTTTACATCCCGGAAAACCCGTAACACCGCGGGACGCAGCTAGTATATAATAATTAGCAATTATTTAAGTATTATCTACTTACAGGCCCCTTCAAGACCTGGTTTTGGTCCGGTAGAGATGTCCGTTGTCATATCAAACTTAATGAAAAGGATCGGACACAATAAATATTACATACAAGGCGGGGACTTCGGACATATGTTAGGTTCAGTCATAGCTACACTTATGCCCGATGAAGTATTGGGTTTTCATACAAACATGCCTGTATTATTATTCCATCCATTGGCAAATATATATATGATGCTTGGTGAGTTTTTTTTACCAGTTTAATAAGACCTGTGAGTGTTGATGTTTGATCAATCTAATTTATTTATTTATTTACGGTTCACAAAACAGATTATAACTAAGGATACAATTAATTGATAAATAAACATTATAAATAAGCTGAATTATAACTCAAGAATTATGTTAACACAGATTATATACTAAATATTTCACTTATAAAATCAAAAATACATCAGCACTTAAAAATACATTATATACATATAAGAAAAGACATTTACAATAAATAGAAAGAATATTTTACACGGAAAAATATGAACATGTTACAGCAATAAAAATGTAATGAAAAATGAAATGAAATTATAAACTGGTGAAGTCAGGAACTAAATAATGGATAAGAAAATAGATTTAATCACTATTATTGGCTGTTAGACTTATAGTTATTATTACTACATGTTGTATTATAAAACTTAATGTTATATACAAATTGTTTTCATTAATAGTCAAAACACTATAGCTCAATATTCATATTGAATGAAAGAAGATTATCAAAAGATAGCAACTTTTATTAATATCTATGAATTTTCCCTTTTATAAATTAGCTCAAAAATGTATATCTATTTTATACTTACTTAATTAAATAGTATTTTAATATATATATTATTATAATACAAGTTTCTTTCCAGGATCTCTCTGGCCGAGTCTTTTAGTTGAACCTGAAGAACAATCTCGTATTTATCCATACACCAAATATTTAATGAGGATTATTGAAGAATCGGGTTATTTACACATACAAGCTACAAAACCTGACACTGTTGGTAATATATAGATAAATAATTAATATACATATGTATATAATAAGTAGGATTTATGTATAATCTATTAAGTACTTAAAAATGACTAAAATATAACTTAAAAACCTTCAAAAAATACATTTTTGTTTTGAATCACATAATGATTCTATATACAACGCGTGTTTATTAAATCTCTCTACAGCCTAATAAAAGACTTGGGCCTGTCCAGAACTAAAATAAATTAATTCTTGGAATATACCTCAAAGGCAGCCCTAGTAGGTTTTTTCAAGTTTGGTAGAGAGGGGAGCTTGTACAGTGGAGGTGAGTGTTTAACGCGTTAGATAGAGTCCCTTAAACCTACACCTGGGTCGCAAGTCCCAGTCACTGTTGAAGCTCCTCTCACTACAACGATGGACCCGACACACGCATATGAATACATTGAATGATGAGAGGTTTAATCTCATACATCTACATTTTTTTTTACGATCTACCTGATGGAGGTAGTACCGTCGCCCATAGACATCTGCAGCATTTCTTATGTAATGAATGAAACCAAATCCTTGATTAGGAAAGAGAAGGAAAAAGTGGGAAAGAGAGGGAAATAGGTACGGACAACTGTCTCTGTCACTCATCGGACGAAACGCAGTCATTAATGGCTACTTCACGCCGATCTTCTGTGAGAGGGTGGTACTTCCAGTCAAGCCAGCCCATGTTCGAGCTGTAGTAACTTGACCACAGCTAGGCTCCAATACCATTGATTCTTTCACAGCACGTGTCAATTATATCCAAAAACCATAGTTTCATGTATACAAGACATATCATCTATATCTTCTTCTACCTGGCAATTTCCCAGCTTTAGCCAGGGTCTGTTACATGTTGTGAATAGTTTTGGCTAATTGTTTTTACGACCGCCTGCCTGACATCGACCCTCTTTGGGAATGTATATCATCTCATTCTATATATTTTGCAGGTATAGGTCTAACAGATTCTCCGGCGGGTTTAGCGGCTTATATATTAGAGAAATTCTCCACTTGGACCAATAATGAATATAAGATGGCGGGCGATGGAAATCTATTACAGAAATACTCTCTGACACATTTATTGGATAATATTATGGTGTATTGGAGCACTAATACTATCACTACTTCTATGAGATTGTATGCTGAGACTATGAACAGGAGATATATGTGTATGAATATTGACATGTGAGTTACATATACATATATATATATATAGTTTAAATAAAACTGATAGTTTCACGTTTATGACAGTAGCTATATAATGTAACTCATTTCGTCGATGATAGTACAAATCCACGTTACTAGCATTGTATAATTCCGCGTATCTACATTACAAGTAGATTAGCAGATGAAAATTTGAGCTAAAATATTTAGTGTTTAATTTAATACTAATTGGGGAAAAAGTACCTTAAAAGTTGTTAATATAGAAAATATTTCAGTTTAATCTTTCTTCGTATAATCTGTTTCCAGTGTAGATACGTGGAATTATCCAATATTACTTACGAGGATTTGCACTATCCCTGACGATATGACGATGTCGTTTGGTTAATACAAGTTTAAGTATAACTGAGAGTTTCACGTTTTTCAATCATAACTCTTATCTCGATAGTAACTGTGTAATGTATCTGATATGTATAATTATAAAAATGACGACTATTAAACGTTTATTTCGATGTAACACACATGTATTAACACTGAACTGGGATTTAATTTGGTAGTTTCAAATAATATAAGTGTAGATATCTCATAATGTTGTAGAATATAGTATTTTATCATCTTTTATTATATTTACATATATAATAAAAGTAGTAATATATATATATATATACAGGGTGACTGGTGAATTACTATCGATACTTGAGGACGTGATATTTGACGATCATATATGACAAAATAAAAATTAATATAACATAAATATTAATAAACTTCTAAGTAAAGTTAACCAAAAGTTATGTAATTAATTACGCATCGTATGAACACCCTACAGATTACACACACACATACGCGTGCGGAAGCGTGTTGTTGTATCAGCACGCCGCCGCACGCGTCCACACTTGGAACGTGTCAACACTTTATTTATTTATACGGAAATTTTGTCAAAAATTAAGTGCCTATTTTTTTTACATAATTGGAATGAGAATCATGTACCGAGTATTCTCCTTAAATATTGATAGTAATTCACCAGTCACCCTGTATATATATATATATATATATATATATATATATATATATATATATGAAATTAATACTTTACGGATATACTACGCGACTTTATTTCTGATGATCAAAACTACGTACTCCCGACGTAAAAAAACGTTAGTATATCCGAAAATATTAGTTTCATTTAAATAAGACTTGCGATAATCTTAGACCTCATTATATATATACGTATTTCTAATCACATACATATATAATTCCAGGATCCCCACATCAGTGCCCACGTGGGGTATAAAGTTCAAGCATGAGTTGTCTTTCTCACCGGACGTAGTATTACGTCTTAAGTACACTCGGTATGTACACAGTAGCGTTGTGGAGGACGGAGGACACTTCGCTAGTCTCGAACACCCGGATATACTTGCTAATGACGTATTCCGAGCTGTGGACCACTTCCGGGACTTGAATGGAGGGTAGGTTACACTTAATGACTATATGACTAACATACATACTATACCTATATATAGTGTAAACTCTACACAAGGACACTGAAGGGACTGTGCATTTTATGGCGTTATAGATAGTTGTCGTTAAATAGAGAGAAGAAAAATCAGAATTAGAAAAAGACAAAGTTTATTTCAGTGTATCATTGTATGGTAGACAAGCTAAACCAACCAAAGTCAAATGATTTCGAAGCTTTAGAGAGTTTGTCGTTAAATCGAGTGACGTTACATGGAGTTTACAATGTATGTACTATGACAGCTGTTAAAGGATACCGAATTTTGGGAATATATTACCTATTAGTAACCCTATTTAATCACCTACGGACAAACCATTACAACTTATTTAAACTAAATAAAATTACAAATCCCAGGTCTATACATAATGACCTCATTTTCTTTGGTTTCCATCACTTACCTTAGGAAAAGCTACTATAGTGTATGTAAGAGAAATGGCTCCAAATAACTGTTTAAATATGTATATAAACCAAAGACATGCTAATTTATCTATATGAAATCACAAAAATTCAATAGATTTTGTAGAAGTTGCCATATAAATGCATACATATAAGACGACCTAACAATTTATCCCTACTAACATTATAAATGCGAAAGTAACTCTGTCTGTCTGTTACGCTTTCACGCCTAAACCACTGAACTGATTCTAATGAAATTTGGTACAGAGATTGAGTTGATCTTGAGATAGAACAAAGGATAGTTTTTATCCCAGACTTTTGAAAGGTTCTCTTGGAAACGCGATATAACCGAACTCCACGCAAGCTAGTATTTCATATATAACTAATATAAACATATATTCATCAGAAAACCTCAAGAAACATCACAATTGAATAATAATGAACCACAAACGATATACGACTTCACTGTCACAGACATATACGGGAGAGAAGTTAAACTAGATAAATATAAAGGAAAAGTAGTTATTATAGTGAATGTAGCATCACACTGTGGACTTACTGATAAAAATTACGAACAACTAAACGAACTACACAATAAATACTCAAAGAGCAATGACCTAAGAATATTGGCGTTCCCTTGCAATCAATTCGGAGGACAAGAACCTGGGAATGACAAAGATATAAGAAAATTCATCACCGATAGAAAAATTCAGTTTGATGTGTTCCAGAAATTAAATGTGAATGGTGATGACGCACATCCGCTGTTTGTGTATTTAAAGAGAGTGTTGAGAGGAAGTTTTGGTGATAGCATCAAGTGGAATTTCTCAAAGTTTATTGTGGATAGAAATGGTGTTCCCGTTGAGAGATTCGGACCACATGTTGACCCTGTAGATTTGGAACCTAGCTTGGCTAAATACTGGTAATATACCATATATATAGGAATTAGTAATTTAAAATAACTTTTATATAAACTTAATATATACATATCTTAGTTGTATGTTTGAGTTTGTTTGTTATTTTCAAACTATTTGACATTCTTATAAAACTACAGTATGTATAAACATATGATTAATATAAGTTATACTTCAATCTAATTGTTTCTCATTCTATAACCTATCCTACTAGTTAATGATGTAATGTGAAGATTAAAAAAAAAAATTGTAGTGGCATGGAATTTAGACGGGAAAAATGAAACATAGTAATTTGGAAAAAATAAGTAGTGTCTGAAATAAAGCTAAGAAGAATAATAATGATTATAAATTAGTAAACATAGAACAAGTAGATTTCATATTGCTTTCACTGTTTACTTTGCTATATATGTACTTGGAATCTATCAATTCATTCTTTCTCCCACTTTCTACATTCGCGTATCTCTCTCCCTCAGCGTTAAACGTTTAACGCAACCTTGTTAAATCATAAGAAGTTTCACTTCATGAACTATCAACACTGTATACGTAGTAATGTCATAATATCTTAACTTACACATCCTTTCTACCACATAACAGATGTATTATAGTTACTTGACACACTAGATGTCGCTGTTATATATAAAGTCACAGGCCACAACTAGTATGTATTGAACATTAAAACAACCAATGTATGTGTGTTAGTATTTTATTATATATTAGTTCACACGGTCTGTTTGCCGAGCGTCAGTTTGGACAGGTCTTGTAGTGTGTTCCTGGAACTAGTTTCACTCCATTGAAGCTCCGGGATTGCTGCTATCAACTACACACGACTATATATTAGATATCACACACATATATATACTAGCTGATCTCGTAAACATTATTTTGCCATAATATTGCCGTACTACCTTAAATTTTTATCACCAATACGTAGGTATTTAAGGTAGTATTTTTAATGCCACATTATCCCTACTAATATTATAAATGCGAAAGTAACTCTGTCTGTTTGTTACGTTTTCACACCTAAACCACTGAACTGATTTTAATGAAATTTGGTACAGACAGAGTTGACCTTGACATAGAACAGGATAGTTTTTATCCCAGACTTTTGAAAGGTTCTATTGGAAACGCGATATAACCGAACTCCACGCGGGCGAAGATGCGGGCGGAAAGCTAATAAAAAAATAAAAACAAAAATTTTTATCCAAAAATTAAAAGAAAATGAAGGTGAACAACCCTTACCACTTAAGGGTATGAAAAATCAATACCTACTCAATATGATCCAAAAATTTCATGAGAATTGGTCAAGTGGTTTCAGAGGAGTATGGGAATGAACATTTTGTCACGAGAATTTTATATATGTATATATTCTTTGGTCAAGGACTGTGGACATATGTAAGTATTTATCATACAAATATTGGAGTTGCTATATCCATATATCATATACTCTACAAAATAATTCAATACTTCAAAGAAAATACAACTACAGAAAACTTCTACCTACTTCATGAATACAGAATTACAGATTCTACATTATGTAATTGTACCAAAAACTATGATTACATATACAATTAAACTAAACATAATATTAAAGGTATTGAAATAACTACACAATAAATATAAAAGATGTTTTTATTAAACCTTATACTTACTTAATATTCAGTGATACCACTAAAAGTAATATTCTAAATAAATCGTTAATCCACCAACCTTTAATACAGATATAGAAACATACAAACAAAGGTATTTAAGTAAAGTCATACAGATTACTCAAAATATTACTTTTACATTACAAACCACGATGTAAATGATTCCATATATTAATGAAAGCTACAGGCTGGTGAAGGTGAGTTAAGGAATATCTTTAATGACCTCCGCTAGTTGTTCTCTAGTGAACATATGGAACAACGAGTCAGGTGTCATTGTAACGACTTCAACATTATTCTCCGACAACTTTTCCTCCATAACTTGCTTCAGAATGGTCAAAGCCGACTTGATAGCTTCCTTCAATGTCATCGACTTGTGGTATACTTCCTGGAAAGAAAATAACAATTTAAAGATAGAAAAAATGACTAAAATATGGAAAAAATTGGTTATTGTATATAGAAAACTTATATAGAGTAAGTATGACAAGAATATTAAAACTATTTGCATATTATGTTCAGTTGTATCAATTAACAACTGTTGTGTATTACTTATACATATTTGATCAGTATTGTTAAATAATAATATAATGACATATAATATAGGGCAGATTAGTTTATTAAAAGTAGTATGTATTAGTTATACTTGCTTGATATTGTTAAAATAATATGATGTCGAGTATATCAGATAGATTACTTTATTATATTAATTGCTATTATTCAGTCTTGCTATAGCACAATACATACTGAACTAATTTAATATAGTTTTATTTAATACTACAACATTTGATATACCTTCAAACTCTGCTGAGCGCCCTCACTGCCGGAGCCAATAGCCTTAGCATCATATTGTACAAATGTACCGCTCGGGTCCATGTGGAACAATTGAGGACCCTTCTCATCAATACCTAGGAAATAATAAAAATTCAATTATTCACGGTGCGTGTGTCGGGTCCATCGTTGCAGTGAGAGGAGCTTCAACAGTGGCTGGGACTTGTGACCCAGGTGTAGGTTTAAAGATATTAAAGGAGTTTAAGGATTTAAAATATGCATCTTTATGGTATGTCTTTACTGTACCAACTATAAAGTGTGAAATGTCTTCAGAACTGGGCAAATAAATGTGCATGAATGAACATTACATCAAAAAGCAAAATATAAGTCTTAGATGTTACAAATGCTTTAATATACCTAGATTCATAAAAAAATAGCCCGAAATTCAAATACCTATATAGTCAAAAAGAACATAGATTCAAATCGAGTAAATTGAAGACTTGTGTATTTCGTGAATATGTGTATGTTATAAATCACCTGCAAACATAACAGCCACACCGAATGGTCTAGACATTGCTGTACGACTATCATCATCGGAGTCACCAAACTGTATAGCGAGGTTGGAGACAGCTTGAGCACAAGACTCGACACTCATACGCTCGTTGTAAACAAACCAGTGGTTCTGACACTCAACACGAGCTCTTTCTATCAATGTTCTGTGGAAAATACAGATTTGCGTAATTTAGGACCAAAATTTATAAGAAATGTATGTATTTACGTAAAATATTGACCGAAATTACTAATACATGTATATAAAATGAACACCTAAAGATAGGATAGTAATAACTTATTACGAAGCAAGTCATTAAAGACGTAAATATATACGAGAATATAGATATTGGCGAAAATACGATATGAATAAAGATATATAAGTATTAATGTTGTTTGTCTTATTTTACCTGGAATCCGCCATCAATCCTGACACAGCACACGCAACATGACGGTCTACTTCCACTATTTTCTCAATAGTTGTTGGTTCCATCAAAGGAGATGTAATTCTCTTCTCAACTGCTAACACGACACCTTCGGAAGTACCGATGCCAATAGCAGTCGATCCCAGCTTAATAGCTTCTATAGCATATTCCACTTGGAAAAGCCTTCCTTCAGGGCTGAAGGTATTGACTCCACGGTCATATTCAGAACGAGTTAGGAACATCTGAAAAAGTTTCATATACATGCCGGTTCATGGTTACTTACAGATCTCAGTTTTTATGCATTAATAATAAAAAAACAACAAACCTTGATATTGAATTATCTTCTTATATGAGAAGAAAATATATATGATAGTAAGCTATTTATGTTACAAATTCGAAATTAAAAACTTGCTTCGTGAGTAATCAAAATTTTGACGAGAAACACAATGACAGTACAAATCTGTTTTAACCAGAATATAATATTGTTACCACAGATAAAAAAAACAATATATAACTATTCCCACATATCTATTCATAAATTTGAATGGAGCGGAAGAATAAAAAAAATTAAGAAATATTTTTTTACGGAAGAGAAATATTTAACTCTAATGAATTTAAACATTCAAACTACATCGCTTACGTAAGTTTTGAAAAATTACTTTGAACTTTTTTGTGAGGTCCATTTATTATAATATACATGTATTCAAAATTCAGCAATTATATTTTCTAGTAGTAAGCAGAGAACATGCATTTTTTTAAGGTGAGTAAAACAAAATCTTATTGATGACTATTTAATGAAATTGTACAATAACCAATGAAATATCATTATCATTCAAATTGTCTAATTGGTAGACTAAAACTAATTTGAATGCCCAATCGTATAATTTACACAAAAATTTTAATTCACTGCCGGTAATCCAAGATAAAATTGTTTTCTCTTATTTTTTTGTGAAACAGAATCAGTTTTTTCATCTACAAAATAAGACAGATAGGTTAAACTTCAAAAATTACAATTTGTCTTTCACATTAATACTGAATATGAAATTTCATATTATCTTAATATAACGCTAAGCCGTTTTTATTTTTTCCAGTAATATTCTTAACCAATTTTTAAATCACTTCGTAATAATGTTACAATGAACCTTGAATTCTGTTTATCACATACTTTAGTTATCTAAACAGTTAAATGTTTTGTAAGATTAGTATAAGTTGGTATCTCCACACTTCATACGGCGCGTCACCAGTTTTTAACTCATAAATCTTCATACGTTATTACTTAATTATAATATTAACGTAGGTTATTGAATGAGAAACGAGGGACGTCTCGTATATACTTTGTAAGACTCAGATTTAGCACACTGTGTCGATTTTAAGTTATTTTCAGGAAAATTTATATTTAATTTATGAACTAATTATATATTAGTGAATATCGTATCCACAATACTTAAAAAGGGGCACAATCACCGTTACTGTAACTCAAATTAAGAAACTGAATAAATCATTGTTATATTTTTATATTTGATAAAAATATATTTACTGTTGTAAAAAAATAATATTTTTTTACAATTTACAGATTGTACAGATCTAAAAGTTTTTCTTATCACAATTTGACCATATTGTTAAACATAGGTTTGTAAATGAAAAATTAAAACGATCATTAGGTGCTAAAGTGCTGTGTAAACTAGCAATTATAACAGGATTTTTCGTTTTTAGCGGTGTATTTATCTATATTTTTTATAAAGGTACACCATTTCTTCATTCTATTTAAATGTTTAAAAATAGATCAAGTGACATTGGCAGCACTAAAATAGCAAATTTAACGCCTTGTTTGAGAAAATAATTTCCATAACAATAAACAATACTGGTCTTTATTTAACATTTGTTCACAATAATATGCGATAATATAAAAAACACTGAAGATATTATAAATAGATTTTTAAAGTTCTCTAATAAGGCCGTATTCAATCAAGGCATGTCGCATCAAGAACCTATTATGTGTACATTGCAGCTGATCCAACACTTCGTGGAAGACTAGCTATTCCACAATATTATTGCTCATGCCCAATAGGCAAACGGACAAACGGGTGTTGTTCACACACCATGTCTATCGTGTGGTATATGGGTTTCGCACGGTATGAGAAACATACTTGTACCAGCAGAAGGTCTGGAAGATGAAATTATAACTTTAGATGAAGTATAGTTAAAAAACTATAATTGTGATGATTTTTGTAATAAAAAAAAGGTGAATCTGTATTTGTGTTTTACTTAGATTATCCTAAAATATTTTTTTAGTTATACATAGAATGCAATATAACGTTGTTTTAATATATAAAAATGGCACCCCGATATACATGTTAGTTTAGACAAATATGTATATCATCAAGAAATAAATTGTGTTGCATGCGTTCAGATACTTGGCGGAACAACGTCTGTCGGGTTCGCTAGTATTACATAAAAAACGACAGGTTTCTAACAGATTATGGCTATAATGATTTGCTTGAGAAGCTTAAGCTTAACTCTAGCAATGTCAATCATTATTTTATGTTTCCTGGCACTTTCAGAAAAAAAACAATGTACCAAAATGATGAATCTTGAAACTTGTATAACTTCTATATCTTGGATCCTACAACTTTTGCGCCATATTAACTATTGTTCCAAATGGTTAGTTCTACAAATATGTACCATTTTTTTTTTGTTGGCCGGCACTTTCAAAAAAGGCCCAAAAAGAATGATCTCCTTTAACAATGTCAAAATTTTACACAACTTTTTTTTTCTAAGCTATGGACGAAAAACTTAAGCATAAAAGTAACAATAATTTTTATTATTATATTAAGGTATGAGTGCGTGATTATGATTTGTTACAACAACAAAGATAAGATTTATCTGATACATATATCTAATTGTATTTCATTTTAAATACATTTTACTATCAGCAACAAACGTGTTCCTTTGTTTTTAAATGATTACAGTCTATTTCCGTCAAATGCTTAAATATATTTAAATTGTTAAAAAGTTGTTAATATCTTTGTAAAATTGAAGTTTTGCACAAAATGTAACGATTAAGTGATCATTAAAATAAACATATAATATTATTTTGTATTCAAGGTGAGTGTTGAACAATGTTTCATTTAAACATATTAAGAGATTTAAAATGAGTTAAATACAAAATTTAACTCTAATAACATAAAATACGAAGCATATAATTCTAAGAGATACGGAAGGTGTTTTTCTCCACTTTCTCCTCGTCGTGAGAAAGTCTGAAAGAGGCCTTTGCTCAGCAGTGGCCTTTGATAGGCTGATGACAAAAGAAGGTGTACAAATCTAACGACACCAATACGCTTAATACGAGTTTGCATTTTAATTAAATACGGCAAGTTAACATTTTCTGTAAAGAGAAACGCGAAACACTTTTTAGTCATAAATATATTAAATAGTATAAGACTATTAAAAGTTTTTTTACTTATTTCTGACAAGTTAGCGTGACATGTAGAATATATCAAAATGAACGCCATATTTTGAACAGCCAAGTAACCAATTTATTAGAATAACCTGCCAGTTATAGCACAGTTAGCTCAAAAGCAAGACAAGAAAATACTGTCCAAATAAACATCCTGGAAAAAACGGAGCTAACGAAGATCTTAAACTAGACGTGGTCAGTTCATTTGTGACGTCTGTATAGTTACTGGTCACAAGGAAGTAAACTAGTAAAACAACAACACAAAGTGTATGCTTATTGGGGGAACTTTTAAATATCATGAGATTGAAGACTTTCGAGGGTATTCATTTAAATGAAACTAATAATATTACGGATTACTACGCTTATTTTATTATTTTAACAACATACTCCTGACGTTTCGGTTGATTTGTAGCAACCGTGATCACGAACAGACCATATGTCTATACGTAGTACATATATTGCTGTTAGTATTATGACTTTGACAGCGTCACAGCCCACAGGGGCCGAAAAAACGAATGAAATAAATATTTGAGGGGCACAAAGCAAATATCATTTTATTGCTTGTTTTTATTCATGACAATTGATACTGAATCCTTCGTATACGCTTTCGACTCAATCATTGTCGGTTTATTATTTTTATAGTCCTTTTGTACTTGAAAGGAATATTGTTATCGCTATAGATGTCAAACCCTGTCTATTTAGGGTTTAGAGAATGAAAATAAACAAAATATAATTCTCACTTGAAACAAAGTAATTGCAATGTTTTTAATAATTTTGTTACATTAAATTAAGCCGGGACATTGGAAACAAAACATGGCAACCCTGAAGTACGTAAAATTCTAACATGTGTTACTACTTATTAGTTATTAGTAGTTAATGATTCCAAAATATTCGTTTAATAAATTATAAGTATAATATTTTCTATCGAAATAAGACAAAACAAAGATCATTAGCCTTATTACAACCCATTTGTGTTATGGGGACATGTAGATAAAGTTACAATATGCTTTAAAAGCACGATCAAATGTCATAATATTTAGTGTAAATTCCGAACCGGTCTTGAATAGTTACTTTATGATGTCATTGTGAGCGGCAAATACGTTTATTTGAAAAAGACAAAAAAAGTTTTGGTAAGTTTTTAAATTAGAACTACACAGAAATAGAACTAAAGACAAAAAGTATTCATTATAATGCTTGTTTTTTCGTGTTTGAATATTTTCCAGGATGAATAATTTTCCAAAATGATTATGTAAAGATTATAAGCAAGTAATATTACATTTATTATAATTGATTGTTTTAAGACTAGTTTAAAAATTGAATTAACAATCCATTAGATGCAATATAAATGTCACGATTTTCTTTCGGTTCAACAATTATATGCTGAGTAAAACATTGAAATAAAAATATAAATGTAACACTAATAAAACCTATTTATACGTTATTTTTAAACACCCAGAAAGTTTATATTGAATGAAAATCCAATATATCCACTAATTCTATATAATACTATATACATTCCTATTATTTTTAAATGAGAAGAATATTATCAAAAGTCCTAAGTAAGAATAATTAACTCGTCAACTTATGCCTAATCGTAGGTTAATGACCTATTAGAAAACAAGAATAGTTTGAAACATCACTTTAATTAACTTTTGTTTCAGAATTGAATCGCAATAATATATAATGGAAAATATAGAAGAAACGGTAGGTGCTGTGAAAAGCATCACAAAGGTCGCTAAATACTACCAAATTTCTTTCGCGACTGGCGAAGAAGCGAGGTTGTATGTCCTCAATAGTCATGTATTCAGATACTACGTGTCACCCAAAGGAATCTTCCTGGACTATCCGGAACCAATGAACCCAGAACATAAAGCAAAAATTGTTTGCAAAAACGAAAACGAATACGGCTTAGAATACTTCGAAGAATCCTCTCTAAAAGACGATGATGATCATTACATTTTAGAAACTAAAGATGTTAGAATTATATTTCATAAATCTCTCGGAACTATGGAAGTGTACGATTTGAGAAGAGACAAAGAAGTGTTCAGCGAATTGAAGCCTTTGAAGTATAAAAATTGCAAATCTACGCAAACCCTGCGTCAGAAGGGTGATGAGTATTTTTTTGGTGGCGGCATGCAGAATGGTAGATTCACCCATAAAGGAAAAGTCATAGAGATAGTTAATACTAATAAGTGGAATGACGGAGATGTTGCTTCACCTTGTCCATTCTATTGGTCCTCGTACGGTTATGGCGCGCTCAGAAACACTTTTCAACCCGGCAAATACGATTTTGGGAAAAAATCTATGAATTACATAGAAACAACCCATGCTGGCCTAGATTTTGATATATTCTACTTCATAAATGAACTTCCGAGGGACATTTTAAACGATTACTATGAACTGACAGGGAATCCGATACTTTTGCCAGAATACGCGTATTATGAGGCACATTTGAACGCGTTCAATCGAGATTATTGGGTCAAAGTAACGTCTGATGTGAATGGCGCGATATTATTCGAAGATGGACAGTACTATAAATGCTATCAGCCAAATCAAATCGGTGACAAAACAGGGATTCTGGAATCTTTGAATGGAGAGAAGAATAATTACCAGTTTTCCGCCCGCGCTATGATAGATAGATATAAAAAACACGATTTGCCGTTAGGCTGGTTTATACCTAACGATGGTTATGGCTCAGGTTATGGGCAAACTGATTCTATGGATGGTGACATACAGAATCTGAAATGTTTCGCTGATTATGCTTTACAAAACGGCGCGGAGTGTGCTTTATGGACTGAATCCAATCTCACACCTAAAGATCCTTTGAACCCAAAAAAGGGGGAAAGAGATTTATCTAAAGAAGTTGGAATTGCTAATGTGGTGGCTCTAAAATGTGATGTAGCCTGGGTGGGTAGTGGATATTCGTTCGGATTATCAGCTGTAGAGAATGCTACGGACATATTCGTTAAAAGTACAAGAAATAATGTGAGGCCTTTCATCATTATGGTGGATGGATGGGCTGGAAGTCAGCGGTACGCGGGTATATGGAGTGGGGATCAAAAAGGAGGGGAATGGGAGTACATACGGTTTCATATACCGACGTATATCGGCGCCGGGCTCTCAGGAATACCAATCATCGGTTCAGATATGGATGGCATCTACGCGGGAGGCGTTAAAGAAATTAATATCCGAGACTACCAATGGAAAACATTCACACCGTTACAATTGAATATGGACGGCTGGGGACACGTACAGAAAACACCATTTACGTTCGGCGAAGAAGCTACATACATAAATAGGGGTTATCTGAAATTAAAATCAATGTTGATGCCGTATAACTACAGTATTGGTTATGAAGCGATTCACGGCCTGCCCATGATTAGAGCCATGTTCTTAGAATATCCAGAAGAAACAACGGCATATACTTTAGAATCCCAGTACCAATATATGTGGGGTCCAAATATTTTGGTTGCTCCTATATACAACGACGACAAGTTAGGCGAAAATTCAATACGTGATGGAATCTATTTGCCAGATCCTAACCAGATATGGATAGACTTTCTTACCGGCGAGAAATATCAAGGAGGGAAGATTTATAACAATATTATAACACCTTTTTGGAAAATACCTGTTTTTGTAAAGGACGGCGCCATAATACCATCTACAAACCCGAATAATAATCCGTACGAAATAAAACGTGATATTAGAGTACTCACTATATATGCCAACGGCACGTCTAGTTTTGTGGTATACGAAGACGATGGCATTACATCCGATTATCTTAAAGGTTCGTACGCCACAACCAAAATCCACGCCACTGGTCCTGTGTCTAACAAAAATGGGGATTTATTCATAAAAATACACAAAACCGAGGGACAGTATAAGAACATTGTGAAGGAAAGACTTACTTTGTTACAAATAATGTGTTCCAAAGCAGTGGGACGTATAAAGGTATCGGTCAACGAAAATTCCATCAGATTAAAGAAAGTCCATAATTCAGAGGAATTCGCTAACAGCGAGGACTGTTTCTATCACGATGAGAATTTCCAATTCAATCCCTACCTTAAAAAATATGACGAGACGAAACAAAGATTCCTACTGATGAAACTTAGTAAACAAGATGTCACCGCGTGTGAAATTAACATAAAGATCAAAGATGTATCTAATAAAAGTATTATTTACGGAAAAACTCATGTGGATAATGGAATTGAGGTCCCAAAAAATGTAAGACAAATTGAAACTGGTCACTCAATCATATGTTTGCAATGGGATGACAGTAATAATGATTATAATGAAGTAGAAAAAGACGGTGTTATATACACAAATATAAAAAACAATTTCTTTATATTTAATTATACGAACGCCGTACATGAATATAGAGTTCGTTCAGTTGTAGGCGTAAAAGCATCGAAATGGAGTGAAAAAGTAATTTTAAATATTCAACAATTATAATATACTAAACTTTACAATATAATAATTTTTTTACGTAATCTGTCAAATGACAATATGACAAATAAAATGGTGGGAAGTATAAATAATTATTGTATAAAGAATTTTAAATGCATTTAAAATCAGTATAGGATAATAATTGTCTAATATTATGAATGAAAATAAAAAACATACTTACGTAATCTGAATATGAGATAAAATATTTGAAAAAAAAAAAATACGAAAACCTGAAATCTTTTACAATGTCATAATACTAATTTTTAGTAAGAGAACTTCATTCTGTGGACGAATATTTTAGTAAAATTTGATCATAAATATTACAAATAAAACCAACGTATTAATTATAATAAATATTTAATATCAATTCTGTAATTCGTCAGCACTCTTAACAGCTATTATAGTACATATAGAACTCGTTTCATCAAACACACACGTTATAGACAAATCTTCCAACACACAATTGTATTCGTGATCTTTGTATTTAGTTTTCACGTAAACAGATCTAGGATCTTCTGATAGTAGACTCATTATATTAGTTTTGAAACTGTCAGCTCGGCTTCCGATGAGATTTTCAAGTCTAGTTAGAGATTCATCGGTGAAAACCACTTGATATGTATTTCTTGTATTTGTTATCCATGAAGCCACTCTTACATCTGTCTGGTTTATATTTGAAGCCTGCCCTATATATCGTTCTTGGCCATCGGGCTCCCCTCGTTGTATGGACAAAGCTTCATCCAAATTCTCCGAAGGTGTCAACGGTGTTAATAAATCACTCGGTAACATATCACCATATCCTGTTGTTATGTTTAAGCTGAAAAATATGTTTTTTATGTAATGAAACTCATTAATACAGTATTTTATAATTTTAATGCATTTATGTAAGTTTTTTTATACAGATAGTATTAGAGAATATATTTGTTTTCAAATATGAAAATGTATTAAGTGATGTATAATTATAATTAATTTATAATGATTTATTAATAAAAAAGTAATTTATTATAAAATTCTTTCATGTATTTTTTTAATCCTAAAAAGATTTTGATCTTTTGCAGCAAGTCCTTTTATATTAACTTGACTAATGTCTTACTTTGTTTACAATATTAATTCATTAGAATTTTTCTTATAGCAAGTACCTTTTACCTAGACTATTGTAACAAATTTCATTCAATACGAAAAGTGTTAATAATATACAAGTAAAGGCTATGATTATTATATAAATTCATACAAAATAGTGCATGTCATATATTTGATAACATTTTATATATAAGAATAAACTGTAAGATTTGTTGTCATAGATACAAATTAATTCAAAAGGATAAGTCTAAAAAGGAGATACATAAGTATTTTTGTTATGTATTAATTTTACTTCCTATTGTTAAATAATAATATAATGTCAAGTATAATGTACATAGGTAGATCATTTTATTATATTAGCTTCTATCATTCAGTCTTGCTACTAAGCAAAATAAATACCATACATATACAATATAGTTTTATTGAATACTACAATATTATTATTTTGACTATCCATAGTAAAAAACTAATCCATGGTATTTTTATTAAAATTTAGAGCATAAGGTACAGTTTAGTCTTGATTTTAATGTTCTTCGTTACTTCCAGTAATGTCCTACAGAATGGCTGAAGCCAGTATTTATAGTTATCAAATACAAATTGATACTTAAATGTTGCATACAAAAATACAATTCAGTATTATAATTAACTAGCTTTCCGCCCGCAGCTTCGCCCGCGTGGAGTTCGGTTATATCGCGTGTCCAAGAAAACTTTTCAAAAGTCTGTGATAAAAACTATCCTATGTTCTATTGAGATAGATAGCTCAACTCTATGTCTGTATCAAATTTCATTAAAATCAGTTCAGTGGTTTAGGCGTAAAAGCGTCACAGACAGACAGACAGAGTTACTTTCGCATTTATAATATTAGTAGGGATTATAGTAATCAGTCATAAAAATAATTCTACAGATTATAGTATATTAGTACAAACACAGATGTCGCTACTTGTAATAATATTCTTTAAAATGCTTATTTAAACCATACCTTGATACATTAAGATTCAAGCCGGCCAAATCAATGCCTTCGGTGGGTGGTCGTTCATTAGCTTCTGATATCGGGTAATCATATTGTGGTATGTATGGCTTAATATCTAAAACTGGGGTCCCATTAACCATGTCCACACCATAGAAATGTATCTTATTGCCTGTAAAATATATTAATAGTATATGTATATTAATTTGTACTTGCATTTAGTATGAGCCATAGGTTTTAGAGAATTGAAAATGTTTTGAAATGTTCTGTAATAAAACTGCTATTTTCTTATAGGAAATTTGTAGTTAAATTAGAACCTATCTATTATGTAAATCTTATATATCAGCTAAATGAAATTTCACTTAGATTGATGTAGTCAGTTGTGTAGTAAATAGTAACAAATGTGTTAGTTCATAATTAATATACTTCTAATTCTAAAGTCTTCTTATAATTAAAAGTATAAAAACACATTATTTTAAATTAGTATATTGTATTTTATATATTAATTTAATTTATATATAAAATATTCTATAATTAATTCGTCCGCGTGAAATAGTTACTTCTGACAGATTTTTGATTCTTCCCACATAGTTCCCGTTCTTGCGGGGTTTTAGGAATGGTTGAGTTCCCGTAGAATTTTCAGGATGAAACCTATGTTTTTTTTTTTTATTTATAATGAAGTACTCTTAACCAACAACATATTTATTTGTTTATATGAATAAAGATTAATATTATTATTTTGATACAACTTAAACAAATTATTTCGACAAAATTAGGTACCATAAAAACGGTTTTTGTGAGTTAATCTTAAAAGATAGACATATACTGTCGCGGACTGTATTTTAGATCATTAAAAGAGCTATTATTCTTTAATACATATTTTTTGTGTATCTTGAACCGTTTTCACGGCGCACGCAACGGAAGGCTTCAAAGATGAAATAATTACTCCCGTTTTTTACACATTTACCACTATATCTTTGCTCCTATTGGTCGTAGCGTGATGTTATATAGCTCAGAGCCTTCCTCGATAACTCGACTATCCAACACAAAAAGAATTATTCAATTCGAACCAGTAGTTTCGGAGATTAGCGCTTTCAAACAAACAAACAAACAAACAAACTCTTCAGCTTTATAATATTAGTATAGATTAGTATAGTATATTTTATACAAAATTGAAAATATTAATACAACATTTTATTGTATAAGTAAATATGTAATATTTTTATAATATCAACATTATTTTTTACCATTAAATTACTTTATAAACACCAAAATATTGTAAATGAAACTAATATTTTCGGATTTTACTTAGCGTTTTATTTTTGTCATCAGACATCTCGTCTGCCCGTGATCACGGTTGCTGAAAAGTAGCCGAAACGTCGGGAGTATGTAGTTTCTAATACAAAAATAAAACGCGAAGTAAAATCCGAAAATATTAGTTTCATTTAAATGTGTACTCGCGAAAATCTTAGATCTCATTACCAAAATATTGTTTTCTATAATCATATTCCCACAATAAAGCAATTTTGAGGACAATAGATAGTTTTATTGTCAAAAGTATTGGACAATGAAAAAATAAAAATGTTTGAGTTCTGCTAATATCATAGAACTTTTCTGTACAATAAATCCTTATTGAATTTTAATCTATACTAATATTATAAAGCTGAAGAGTTTGTTTGTTTGTTTGAAAGCGCTAATCTCCGAAACTACTGGTTCGAATTGAATAATTCTTTTTGTGTTGGATAGTCCAGTTATCGAGGAAGGCTGTGGGTTATATAAGCATACGCTACGACCAATAGGAGCAAAGATATAGTGGTAAATGTGTAAAAAACGGGAGAAATTATTTCATCTTTGAAGCCTTCCGTTGCGTGCGTCGTGAAAACGGTTCAAGATACACAAAAAATATGTATTAAAGAATAATAGCTCTTTTAATGATCAAAAAAAACAGTCCGCGACAGTATATGTCTATCTTTTAAGATTAACTCACAAAAACCGTTTTTATGGTACCTAATTTGGTCGAAATTATTTGTTTAAGTTGTATCAACATATTAATCTTTATTCAAATAAACAAATAAATATGTTGTCGGTTAAGAGTACTTCATTGTGAATAAAAAGAAAACATAGGTTTTATCCTGAAAATTCTACGGGAACTCGACCATTCCGAAAACCCCGCAAGAACGGGAACTATGTGGGAAGAACCAAAAATCTGCCGGAAGTCGCGGCAAAAGCTAGTATGAAATAATGTTTTTAATACTAATTTGTTATTTAGGAGCGTAATCTGATATTGATGGCTTCTATGTATAAGGGCTAATGTGTGAAATGTAAATTTTACAGTAGAGGTGTTTTAAATTTGATTTCAATGTATCTTGTACATGCGACAACTGACCCTTTTGAAACTTGGTGTAGCAACTATGACATACATGTATCTCATTTAAGCTTAATAAACTTTTTGTAAACCAACTAATTTTTTAAATATAAGTATATATTTTTTGATAATGTACATTACATAAGCCTTTATGTGTTAATTATGCTTTTTTACTGCAATAAAAACTAACTCTTTCTACCAACAGATACACTTTTTTTTAATGGATGTTGCAGAATACATTATTATGAAGTGTTTAAAGCAAAAAAATTAAAATGCCTAATTTGCTACATTGGCCCTTTAACATAGGACCTATCGATATATACCCTTTATAATTAAATACCTTCTTGTATAAGGAAGACGCATACACTTAGCGAATTTAAAACGCACCTCACCCAATATCTTAACTAACGCATACAGTGGGTGCAAAAGAAAACTTTTATTTTCTTATTAATTTCGTACTAACCACTACAGACGAGACGAAACCTCTTAGCATTCAATGGATTCACCGTGCGGGTGCCGGGTCCATCGCGTTGCAGGGAGAGGAGCTTCAACAGTGCCTGGGACTTGCGACCCAGGTGTAGGTTTAAGGGGCCCCTTAACTAACGCGCGTTATACGCTCACCTCCACTGTCCAAGTTCCTCTCCCTACCTAACCAAATTTGAAAAGAACCTACTAGGGCTGCCTTCGACGTACGTTCTAAGAATGAATTAATGTTAGTTCTGGACAGGCCCAAGTCTTTTAGTAGGTTATAGAGAGATTTAGCTGTTATACCTCTCGCTCCCACCTCTACCGCGTACAAATCAACGACGAACCTATTTCGAGTTAGTTCGTTAGTGAGCTCGTAATACTTATTGACCTTGATGGCATGGTCTTTGGGGATGTTGGTTTCCCAAGGCACCGTAAGCTCTATCATCACAACGCGCTTTAAAATACGCGAATATAGAAATATGTCTGGTCTGGAGGCCGACGCACAAATATCCTCGGGGATTTTGTATTGTTTCTCATACGTATCCATCATGATAGTCCAATCCGAAGCCGCTTTAAGGATAGAGTAAGGCTTGACGTTTGATTTTATAGCCCTGGTGCCCTCTCTCACAAAACCTATTGATCGCTCGTTTGTGGTTATCTCCCTTTGCGCTCTGGCTACCGAAAGACTAACCGCTTCACGTATGATCTCTAAAACCCTATCGTGACGACGCGAGTATTGACCGCTGTCCAGGAGAACCTTACATCCCACCAGCAAATGCTTGGCAGTTCCAACTGCCTTTCCGCAGATATAGCAAGTTTTTTCGGTACCTTTACCCCATCTTACTAAATTACTCTGATCTGGGAGAGTCATCTGGAACGCATTGAGATAAAATTTTAGCAAGGCTGGCGACCAGTCATGAATTAGGGTGCGCCATTTTAGTGCTAGTGGAATGCAAAAATCTCCTATGTCTAACCACTCGTTCTGCATTTCTAAACTCATTGCATGGATCTTGTATTTATCGTTCTCGTCTTGCCGAATAAAAGACTTCAATATATCCGTATCTTGGACTTTCCTACTTGATCCTAACCCTACTCTGTTATTTTGCGCTCCGATCATAAATTGTTTATGGAATTGACGTCGTGACTTTAGCTCTGGGGCATCATTGTCTTTTGGGAGTGATGTAACGACGTCATCATGGGATTTTCCCAGGATATGTCTCTTGGAAACTCTTAGGTGTTTGTAGAGCTCCGATGGTCTTTTTAGATTCATCCCAAAACTATTACGATCCCTGAATAAAGCCGATGAATCAGCCGTTAGCGCGAGCCCGAGCCACAACTTCAACATCTTTATGACGCCTGCATCTAATTTAGATAAAAGGGTTTTACTAAAATCATAGACGAGGAAAGGCCAATCCAAACGTGAAGTTAAGTAATTATCGTAGATCCATGCTTTTTTTACGTTACTGATCTGCTGGCTATCTACCTTGTTGAGATCATTTAAAAAGCTATCTACTATTCCTTCTAAAGATGGAGTACGACCTATATTATCAATCTTACGACCGAGAAACTTGAATGGTGCATTTTCCGTAACCGTAGAAACGCATTGACCGCCTATCGATAGTCCCGGATCGTATGAGGTGTATCTTGTATTCCGCCTACCAAGACACAGACAGTGACATTTACTTGGTTTTGTCCTCAATCCATCCGTCCACTCACAGAATTTATCCACTTCATCCAATAGTACTTGACAGTGTTTGGGGTGACGTGTCAGTATTGCGAGATCGTCAGCGAAGGCTAAAATGGATTCCGTGTATTTGTTATTGAACTTAAACCGATACCCCCATTTTTTCTCATTGCTGATAAGTTTATCTACTAGGATATTGATTATAATATTAAATACTATTGGAGATAAACAGCACCCTTGAAATAGTCCTACATTGTAACTCAAACTTTTTGAAGGGCCTTCTTTAGTTATAATAGAAAACTTTAATTTTGAGTAATACGACGCAATCATATCGCTAACTAAGGGTGGAAAGTTATACCATCTAAGCGCGAATAGCATCAACTCGTGTTGTATCGACCCGAACGCGTTCTCTAAGTCTATCCAACAAACTGTAATTTGCCGCTCGCTTTTTCTAGCATCTTTCAAACTCTCCGACAGCAAGGTATTGTGTTCTAGACATCCAGAAATCCCGGGTAGAAACCCTTTCTGGTGATTTGGCCTAAAATACTTGTTGCTGAGCATGAATCGCGTCATTCTCGTTTGTAGGACCGAGAAAAAGATTTTAGATATTGTATTTGTTAAGGCTATCGGTCTAGTATCCTTCGGATCGGTAACTCGATCTTTTTTGGGAATGAGGACAAAAATTGCTTTCCCGAAACACTCCGGGATTTGCTTCCTTGACCAGATTTTGCCGTATATATTTAGGAGGTGTTTACGAACCGATGGACATTTTTTAAAGACTATATATGGGATACCATCGGGGCCCGGTGCAGATTTAGATGATTTCCTCTTTATGTGACTACTTATTTCGTCTAACGTTGGTGGTATGCCGTGAAAATCGATATGAGGAATTTCCGGTTTTTGTTCGTTTGGATCCGTATAGAGCCTTACACTTTTAGGCACTTCGTATGTGCTCTTGAAATGGTCGTAAATTTGATCGTTGGTCAAGAGAAGCTGTCCGCGTTCTTTCTTAAAAATGGTTTTCGAATACTCAAAAGGGTTTTTATCAAAATCTACTTCCTGTTTGGCCCGGTCAAAATTACCGCGATATTCTGCAGTTTGTGCCGATATTCCTTGAATTAATTTAAGGATTGATCTTAACGCCCTAGCTAGCTGATGACTAAGGTGGTTGTCGCCTAGAGCTTTGGCTATACGTAGATTTTTTATTAATTCCCGTTTTTTCTTCCTCATTTTTATCTTGAACGAATTTTCTTTATTTTTGCGAGCGTAATGATTACGTGGTGGATATTGCTCGTTGAAGTAGTCATAAACGGTATTTTGGAAAGTTTCTACCTGCGAGTTCAATTCCTGCTTCGAGCCCGGATGCTCTAACAGGACCGCTAAATTGTCGTCGTGAACTTTCCAAGTCGATTGTTTCATGTTAGGAATAATAGTTTCATTAAATAAAACTTGGTGTAACGAATGTTAACAATGTTATATGTTTAAGTTAGTAATGTTCTCAAATAAGTGACTATGTATTGTCTTGTTGAGAATAAAGATCTTTAAACCTTTATACATACATATATGTTCTTTACCTTGTATGCTATGAATTTTAACAAGAGATAGTCCTATAGGGCATGGTCTGTGTGGGGACCTCGTTGAAAACACACCTTTCTTCTCACCAACCAAACGAGGAGGTGATACTTTAGCTGGAGTACTGTTACTCTCTGTCATGTGGAAATGATATATTATCCTGGAAATAATTAATACATTGTGATTAATAACAATTATCTATAATTATATATGTACCATTTATATATATAAAATTCTCGTGTTGTTGTATTAGACAAAGAATTCCTCCAAAACGGCTGGAACGATTTTAATGTAATTTTGTGAGCATATTGAGTAGGTCTGAGAATCTGCCAACATTTATTTTTCATACCCCTAAGTCATAAAGGTTGTTCACCCTTAATTTTTTTTTTTCGGACGAAACTTTTCTTTTTAATTTTTGAAATGTAGCATTAAAAAGTACAAACCACCAAAAATTTTTACTTTTTCTATTTTTTTATATGGCAAAATAACGTTTGCCGGATCAGCTGGTAATATATACAAAAAAGGTTTCATTACAAGATTTATGACCATTATCTTCTGCTTATATAAGAATAATTAAAAAAACTGTTGTATTCAATAAAACTATATTAAATTCGTCATGTATGTATTGTGCTATAGCAAGACTGAATGACAGCAACTAATAATATAAAGTAATCTACCTACATTACACTTGATATTATTATTTTAACAGTACCGGGCAAGAATAACTAATACATTAAAAACCACATCATTTGAAGAAAGGCTATCATTCCGAACATAATAATCATTCATTAAATTAAGTAAATCTTTAGTTACAAACCATATATGAGAAAATTCTTCCAAGCCGCTCAAAGCATGTTCAGGGTTGGTAAAAACATTTGTATCGATCGTCACAACACCAACAGAGTTTGTCATAACCGATGCTTGTCGTGGCAGCCCTCGTTTATTGTTAAATGATGTCTCAATATAACCGATAGGTTTGTATTTGATCTGTGAGTCAGATGATGTTCCTTCATCGTGAGTGTGATTGTTCACTACTGTTGTAGCTAAAAATTATTAATTTACTATTACCAACTTATATTACAACTTGTAAGATCTCTAAATAGATTAATATCAATAATTTTGTGTGATTTAATTTTTTTCTTATGTATAATTTAATTGAATTACAATACACTTTAAGTTTTCACATGTAACCCTCTTCCATATAGCAATCTTTTATTGAGTATTTAATTGAAGCAAAAGTTCTTATTATATTGTCTATAATTCTAATATCTGTCTTACAAGTAAAGTAACAATAAATAATAATTAATTTGTTTGTATAAAGTCTTAAGAAATTATTAAATTTACTAATAGTATTTGAGATGGTATATAATATCACAATTCAATGAAAAAGAACTCTTAACTTGAATTATAATATTCTATTACTAATAACATTTGATTTAAATGCACAAAAATACCCCCAACTTTATCCACAGAACCCAAAAAATCACAAAATTTCTGAGTAATTCTAGATTAAATATTGTTTTCTATGCCTCTAAAATTACAAACTATTCTATACACGTACACTGCGTTTATTACGATTGTTTTGTCGTAAAAAAGATGTAAATATACTTAATAAACTTAATTAATAGCTAATTGCACTTAATTTCATAACTTTCCTGTTTAAAATAACACTCATACCTTCTTCAGCACATTTAGAACAACGAAGACTGCTAAGCGTTGACTTTATATGGCTTATTTCCTTTTGATGTTCATGTTTAAGAGCTGAAATACGTTGCCTGTAAATACGAAACTATTGCTGTTATTTATGTTTTCTTCTTTATTGATTTTTTTACTCATAATTTTACCTCAGATTTTTTATTTCCGTTCTGGCTAATGCTATCTGATTCTGATAAAACTCGATATTTTCTGTCATTATAAATTATTCTTTTGTAACGATAATCTTAGCATTTAAAGAGTAAATTGATAAATTATTTCAGTCTTAAGTAAATGAAAACATATTTATGTTAACTTCATAAACAATTGTATTATTATAAATAAAAATTATAATCATAACTCGTAATGACAACACACAAAAAATGTATACTAGTTACTACACAGAGTAAAAAAAGACAGATTATAGATTACTTGATAAACGTAAATGATAAAAAAAAATCGGTAACTTAAATTAATTATCCAATTCTGTGATAATTGAGTTGCTTTTCATAATAAAAGTTTATAGGTAACACATCTTATTATTCAAAAGCTTAAAGTAGGAAATTCTTTTAGCGATTTTTATCATGATGATGATAATTTTAAAAGAGTAGAAATTTAAAGTAGTGTGAATAATTCGTTTTTTTATCATAATATATAAAAAACAAAATGGTAAAGTTAATGTCTTGCTTGGGTCATCCTTCTAGTATCGGGGAAGACTTCAAGTTTACCTTCCTTTCTCGATGTCCCCAACTTAATATGTGTTTTATTGTCAAGTACAATCTTAAAAAAGTACATATTTAGTAATTGGAAAGGATGTGAAGAGTTTAATACCGATCATGATCATAAATTGAAAGAAAACTTCATACTAAACGTATAAATAAGGAAAAGGTTCCGTTGTTATATAAATATAAACATTTTCTAATCAAAATCGCAAAAACATTCCTCAAAACTTGTTATTTATAAATTAATGTCTGCGTTTTTTTTTCAAATTAAATCCCAACCAATTTTTATATTTCTGTAAAAGAAACCTTTTTGCAAAAGAAAAAATTATATACAATATTTAAGTCACATATTCATAAATGGAATGCATAATGACATTTTTAAAATAAAATAACAAACTTTTTAGTGAATTGTAAAAAAATTGCTATTTGAGTTCCCGAATATTTTTTCATCTGAATATATTGGTGTTTTATAATTTTATTAAGTAAACGCGGTGAGAAGAGGAATATCTAAACAGGTATTTTATTTTCTATTGTGATATAAAAATATCAACTAAATAGAACAGGTTATACAATTATTTATTTTTTTACATGAATATGCTATGGTAATTTTCAAACGGGGTTCAAGGCCGGGCTTTACTATTATTTAGGACGAGGGTTACGTGCAGGGTCATCACACAATTTTAACATAACAATGAACAACCTATTTTAGTATTTACAAAAGAACATCAACCGTTTACTTTTATTATACTGGCACAAAGTTAGGGTCACCCAAATAAAATCAAAGAGTAATTAAATAAGAATAATTGTTTTTAAAAGTGTACATATTTTCAAAATGAAAATACCGGTACCGATTCTTATTTATCGATATTAAAAATATCGATTTATCAAAACAATTTACATCACTATTGCGTTTTTTCGTTTGCCGCACACGTGCCCAGATTTGTGATATTTTCATTTACATTATTTCTACTTTGCAAGTCTTTCAAACTTTTCTTGGTCTTTCTAATAAGAATATTTGAAAAAAATTATTCAAGTTTCAGCATACTTCAACAGTGAGTTTATTTTGTTTATTTTTAATGATATGGGTGGGGCGAATGGACATAAAAGATAGCCACGTGTCCTATTTTTATTATTTTTTTCTCCTTAAAGATGCTTAATCCTTATTAATTCTGAAAATAAGTAAATAAAAAATTGACTGTAACCATCCTTCGTAAAATATATATTAAAAAACCAAATCTCTTATAATTGGTAGTGTTTAAGTTTCATCGATTTATTTTCGGCGCTTGTTTTTCAACAGCGGCGTGACATCATTTTTAAGGTTGTAATTATTTTCATTGCCAAGGCAATATTTACATGATTTTAATGAAGTACCTATCAACCAATAAACATAGAAGATCAATTTGGCGTATCGAAGTATCACTCGTATGGCTCTATTCAAATTTGTGTACAATCTTACTTTGTACACTAAAAATACTTTGAAATATGCTTAATTATCTGCTTTTATTATATATTTATGCAACATAAGTAGATAATCATTATTTAGCATGTGTTATATAGTGAATTTATATTGTTTCAGACATCGTATATGGCAATGGTATCTGAAGCTAAGATGAACGGAGCGCCCGGGGCTCCGGCGGAGGTTTTGCCGGCGTTGGCGGAGCACCCCGCGGGCCTACCGCCGGGAGAGTACTCTCTAGTCGGCTGGGATATGGATACGACAGGCAGGAGGCTCATTGATGAAGTAAATTATTATCCTACTAATATTATAATTCCGAAAGTTTGTGAGTGTGTGTGTATGTTTGTTACTTCTTCACGCTCAAACGGCTGATAAAATTTTGTATACAGCAAGCTGACGTCCAGCAATAACACGTAGGCTACTTTACATCCCGGAAATCCGCGGGTAACACCGCGGGGCGCAGCTAGTATTATATAAAACATTCAACCTTCTCCATGTGAGAAAGAGGCCTTTGCTCAGCAGTGGGCTCTGATAGGCCTATAGAATATACACTAATTCAAATGCAGTGCAATCTGTAGTTTATTTCTACATTAATTTGTCTTCATTATATCAAAATAATTCTCAATACTGAAAATGTATTCAGTTCTTGATAAACTTGTATTTTCCAAAATCTTGAAAATAATCATTAATTTATTGTATTATTGTGTTTTAACTGATAACTACATACTTAATTATCTCTGTTTATTGTTTTTGTAAGTGTATCTTATAATTTTGTTTTGTATTTTTTGACTTGAGAGATGAGATTGTGACTAAGGTCACTGTAACATCAAAATTTAGCATTTAAGTAAAGTTTAATATTATTTTAATATACAGTGGACCCCCCTAATCCGGCCCCTGTCTAATCTGGCACCCCCTGTAATCCGACATGATCTATTATTTATTATTGAATACATATTTTGTATTCGCTAATGCATGATTGAACAAGTTACAACTTGTACGCACCATCACTATTTGCTCGACGCGTAGGGTATCGTTTTGATTCTGATTGCTTAGTTGGAATTTGAATTTGTACTTCAAGTACATATAAGTACATATGTATATATGTATAATATGTAAATAATCTTATCATTGAATCTGTTATTTGTCGGATTACAAGGTACTCTTTTGTAAATAAATCCAGATTATAGGGGGTCTTAGGCAGTACTCTATAATCCGACGAATTCGATAGTTCGACACTGCCCTGCAAAATGTTTGTCGGACTACCGGGGGTCCACTGTATAACTTAGATATTGGATATAATTACTATGGTAATATCAATAATTTAGATAATTCAACTAGTTTGGAATTTTTACCACATTTATCCTAATTTACAATAAGTTTTATATAGATCAATACCTCCTACATAAGTTGTTGTATCTCAAAAACTGTAAATTTACAGTAGAGCGTTTCATAGATTTAAATTAAACCAAAATCTGCAAAATTTGGAAATTACAATATTAGATATGCATTTGACAAATCTTTTAATAGTAGTGAATTTGTTGTTTTTTTACTTTGAATGTATATAATGATCCATAATAGGATATTTTTCAAAAAAAAAGCAAAATAGCATTTTTGTGGCATATAACAACTTCAAAATCAAATCTTTTAGACATTAATTTTAATATGTTTAAGGTATTGAGATATGTAATATAGCCATTTGTAAGTTTATTAATACATATTATTGTTGTAGATATGCCAGATTGCAGCGTATACACCGAAACAGACTTACTCTCAGTACATAATGCCATATGGGGATTTGAACCCTGGAGCTCGGAGAAGGCACAATGTTCGTGTTGTGACCGTCGGCAGATATAGAATGTTGAAGGATACTATTACTCATAAGGTATAAGGCCAAATGTAGCAATTTAGATATTTTCACTTTTTTGCTTTAATCACTTCATAATACTGTATTCTACAACATCCATTTAAAAAAAAAATGTGTATCTGTTGGTGGAAAGACTTAGTTTTTATTGCAGTAAAAAAGCACCAGTAACACACTTTTAAACCTATAAGGATTTAATGGTTTATCAAGCTTAAATGATATACATGTATGTCATAATTGCTATGAAAAGTTTCTAAATCATCAATTGTTGCATGTACAAGATACATTGAAATCAAACTTAAAACGCCTGTACTGAACAATTGTCATTTTGCACATTGACCCTTATACATAGGAGCCATCAATAAATAGTAAAGAAAACTTAAGAAACAGTCTTTCTAATCTATATATTATGATGTTCGCTTATACTGATTAATGCATTCCCAAAGAGGGTTGATGTCAGGCAGGCGGCCAGTCTTAATAAACAATTAACCAAAGCTATTCACAACACGTAAGGCAGACCCTGGCTATACCCGGGAAATTGCCAGGTAGAAGAAGAAGTTTACTATATCATACAATTGATGTGTTTCAGATATTAAAAACTAAATCTGAAATATCAGCGCTCACAGACTTTTTGGATTGGTTGGAAAAGGAGAAGGGTGACGGCAGTGTTATATTGATCTACCACGAGCCAAGGCGCTTGAGTCCTACCATGCTCTTGGAAGCTCTGACTCGGTAAATATTACACTGTAATTTTAAGTACATTTAAAGACTTAGTCGAGTGATATTGTTGGTAAAGCAAATTGTTTTGACTGCATTATAGTACTGAGTTAAAGTTACATTTGTAAATTATTACACATATTTATATAGTAAAAATAATTTAGTAAAGTTTTGAGAGCTGAAATAAATTTATAGAATTATATTTACTAAAATATATATTGCAACTATATATGTAGTCTCTTTAGGGTAACAATGCTAGGCATTTAAAATTCTTTTGTATTATAATATTTGGTTGTTGAATGTTCACCACCATACAAATATATTAAAATTGTAACATATCTATTTAAAAAAAAATCTTCTGTAGTGGCCTAGGGGCTAAATGGCCCACCACTCATGTATGAAAGCGCGGGTTCGATCCTGGCCTTATCATAATATATATTTTCTAAGAGCATTTAATAATCTGATAAATGCATTTCCAAAGAGGGTTGATCAGGCAGGCGGCCGGTCGTAAAAACAATTAGCCAAAACTATTCACACCATGTTAGGCAGACCCTGGCTAAAGTTGGGAAATTGCCAGGTAGAAGAAGAGATCTATATAAAAATGTAATATTCAACCTGGCTGGACATTTTTGTAGATATTTTATGTTATTAATTTAAAAGTCCACAATTTATTATATAACCATATATTACACACAATCTTTTCTCATAAGTCCAGAATCTAAATTCTTCTTGGTATGAGACGAGAATCAGTAAAAACAAGTGACATAATTACCTCATAGTTAAAATATTTACTTAAAATTCTCTCAGATTCTTACCATACATAATAAATAATAATCATAAAGTATCATATCTTTACTCTAGTTAATAACTATTTAAATGTATCTACAATATAATTATTAAATATCTATTCTTAATACATTTCAGTTACAAGTTATTGGATCGTTTCAAGTCTATAGTTGCCGGTTTTGCTGACAGTTATGCCTTAGCCGCTGATAAATGCAAGACTACAGTGAAATCCGTTTCACTGAGAATGTTGGCACGAGTTCTGCTCGATGCTGATTCTTTGTCAGTAGATAGTGCTCTTGATAGAGCGACTGCTGCTTATAGAATTGTTGAACACTTAGCTCAAGGTAATTATGAGTGTTTTAATATAAATTAGTAGAGAGAGTGAGCGTTTAACGCGTTAGATAGGGCCCCTTAAACCTATACCTAGGTCACAAGTCATAGTCACTGTTGAAGCTCCTCTCACTACAACGATGGACCTGGCATATGCATATGAATACATTGAATGATGAGAGGTTTCATCGCTTTAATTGAGATGTTTTCTTTATAACTTATAAATAGTATTTTTTTGTATTGTAATGTGTTCAGTAGTGTTTCAACATTTACTCTTAATTCTCTCAGCTTTAAAGTATTTAGGTGAAACCTTTTATTTCTACATACTCAAGACTTAATGCTAACATTGTTAATCTTACTTGTTAGGGACATTTGAAATGAAGCTATAGAAAACTGATTCAGATACATTGTTCTACTATTGACATTTTGATGAAACTTACACTAAAAGAGTGATGTATTTTAGGAAACAGGGTCAATAATTAATACAGTGAGATCTAAGATTTTGAGTATTCCTTTAAATGAAACTAATATTTTCAGATTACTTTGCGTATTTTATTATTTTTAATAACTGCATATTTCCGACGTAGTTTAAAGTTTTGATAAGTAATTAAATACCCGAAATTTTCCGAAAATATTAGTTTCATTTATAATAATACCTATGTTTAGTGTAAATTTGTATTCATAACAGTTGTCCTCTACATCTCTGAAACCAATTTCGAAATCCATTCAGACGATGTCGCGTTACAAAGCTAGTATATATATTATATATATATTTAGTATATATATTTATTTCCAGGTGAACAACAAGAGGTTGGGGCTGGCGGGGAAGGTACTAGCAAAGATATGGTTGAGACAGCTCGGCTGTGGGCCAGGCCTGTACACACTGAGTTAGAAGCACTGGCTAACTTGAAGAAACTGTTGGAAAGGTAGTGTGATATACATACATACACACATACATACATAAACACATACACATACATACATAGATACAAACATACATACATATATACATACATACATACAAACATACAATCATACACACATACATATGAGATACTGTGGTGTTGTATATGGAAGTTAGTGCTAACTCTATACAAATTCCTGTATCTCATTCCTCTTTAAGATTTAAACAGTATTAGTATTCCCTTATATATCGCCACCAATTTTTATGTAAATAAATATTTTATTTTACAATTAAGGTTTATATGTACTCAAAATAAATTAGTTAATTCAAAGCCAAAACATCCAATCTCACCTTGCATGTTTAAACAAAGGACAACCAAAGAATTAAATTGAATATTTGTTTATTATTATAAGATGAAAATGGATTATGAGCCAATAGGTTAGTCTTGTGCACTTTGTTTGACGGTTGTATAGCATTCTGCCGTCCTCACATTCAGTGACAATCTCTACCCTATTGAGCATTGGCTGCTCATAATTTTATGGAACAATTGAAATGAATTCCCTAAGAAGTTTATTATTAAACTAATCCATAATCGACGCGGTCATATACATTATTTATGAACTTTTAATGACTATTAAATGTCCAATTGTTTACATATATATATAAAGTTTTATTTACATAGTACATCCTTACAGACAGAACACATTCCGCCCTGTGTTCGCGCCGCTACTGAGACTTGCCAACCCGGAGAGAAAGAGAGTGACTCAACTGAGACGACTGTTGGCGGACGGAGGGTTCTTATATGACACGCTGAAGGAGGCGTGGCAGGAACAACAGGTTGCTGGTAAATATATATTACATATAATATAACTAGCTTTCCGCCCGCAGCTTCGCCCGCGCGGAGTTCGGTTATATCGCGTTTCCAAAAGAACCTTTCAAAAGTCTGGGATGAAGACTATCCTATGTTCTTAGTCAAGGTCAACTCTGTCTGTACCAAATTTCATTAAAATCAGTTCAATGGTTTAGGCGTGAAAGCATAACAGACAGACAGAGTTACTTTTGCTTTTATAATATTAGTAGGGATTTAGTTAAATTTATCTAAATATATAGTTCAAGAATATAAACTTTTTAATATTCTTTAAGCCTATTTAATTATCATATTTAAATAAATTATTGTCCAATCATATTTTATGCTAATATTTTAAATAAATGACTTACCATACATAATAATCATAAAGTTTTATATATTTTTACTCTAATAATAATTGTAATTATATTTAGAAGATGAGAAAAAGAAATGTCATTAGCAACAAAATGCTTTAAACATTTAAATTGATTATAATAATTTTTAAGTTATTATTCCTAGAACTATTTTTATATATACATATTAATAATATTACTAGGCAGACTACTAATAATATTATGAGGCAGACCCTGGTAAAAGCTGGGAAATTGCCAGGAAGAAGAAGATACTAATAATAATATTTATTTTCCAGGTCTAGAGAAGCAGTTGTCGTCATTACAAGTTTCAGCAAACGAGAACGACATTAAGGAGTTGATTGAGATATTTGACTGTCACTTTGACCCCGCCAAAGAACCAAAGGCACCGAGACCCAGACCTACAAATAAAGTCAGGGTCAGTTTATAACACAACACTACATTTTACCGACTGTGTATCTTATGAAACTAATGTTTTTCACATTATACTACGCGACTATACGCTTGGACAGTATAGGTGAGCGTTTAACGCGTTAGATAGGGTTCCTTAAACCTACACCGGGGTCACAAGTCCCAGTCACTGTTGAAGCTCCTCTCACTACAACGATGGACCCGACACACGCACCGTGAATACATGGAATTATGAGAGGTTTCGTATCGTATCTTTGTAGAAAAGTACATATTCCTAACATTTTGGCTATTTCTCAGCATCTGTGATACTATGTCTGCCCGTGATCGTAGTAGTATAATCCGAATAATATTAGTTTCATTTAAATGAATAACACTCTTACAATGTTAGTATAAGTCAAATTTTATACAATCTACCCTTGATGATATGTAACCTTTATATACAAAGAAGTTATGTAGGAAAGATCACAAGTGCAAATAATAAAAAGTTATACAGGAAGCAAATTATACTTTGCCAATTACTCTCCAGTGTATATGGACAGTGTTATAACTAGTTATTACCTGTGACTTTGCTTGGACTTGAGTATGCCTGGGAGAAAAATGTATAAAATGTATTTAAACAGTACATATATTAATCAACTGCAGAGATATTTATTTACTTAACAACACAAGTGTTGTGTGGAGCAATATAGATTGAAGGCATTAATTATAACTCATACGTTAGTTTAAGTTTTAGCCAGAGGTTCTCAAACTTATTGTGTCTACTGTCAACTTTGAGAATATTTCGTTCTCACGACGTTATCACCTACTTTGGGAAATTCTGTGTTACACTGAAAATGTATTCAGTATAAAAAAGAACAAACAACCAGACTACTTAAAAAAAACTTACATTTATGTTATTAGTAGTATTCAACCATATTATCTGACCCTTAATAATTAGATGAATGTTTGTTTATAGAGCTCATCGTCAGCGGGTGAGGCTGAAGGCAGTTCAAGTGAATCACAGAAGACATCGGCACATAACTCACCTAATAAGACTAATAATGGTAAATATGTATATATTATCTGGGCCTTATTAATTATAATCCTACTAATATTATAATTGCGAAAGTTTGTGAGTGTGTGTGTATGTTTGTCACTTCTTCACGCTCAAACGGCTGAACCGATTTTGATAAAATGTTGTATACAGGAAGCTGACGTCCAGGAATAACACATAGGCTACTTTACATACCGGAAATCCGCGGGTAACACCGTGGGGCGCAGCTAGTATACTATAATCCTTAGAGTAATTTTTATGACCGATTATAAGTAATTATATTACTGAATTGTATTTTTGTATGCAACATTTAATATCAATTTGTATTTGATAACTATAAATACTGGCTTCAGTCATTTTGTAGGACATTACTGGAAGTAACGCTAAACATTAAAAATAAGAATGAAAGGATATAAATAGTTAGATTTTATTTATATTAAGGTTGAAAACAAATTATACCACTTACCTATATTTATAATAATTATTGTCATTTATATGACAAACTAAAATATGATTTTGACTTTTCCATTAGCATACTATTTTATAATACATTTTATTTGTCTATTTACAATCGTTGTCCATTACAATATATGGTGTGAAATAATGTCACTTGTATATTAAAAAAATTTACTCACTATAAATATTCCAATATTAGATTCGGTGCTTTTCATACTAATATTATAAATGCGAAAGTAACTCTGTCTGTCTGTCTGTTACGCTTTCACGCCTGAATCACTGAACTGATATAAATGATATTTGGTACAGACTACAGACATAGAGTTGACCTTGAGAAAGAACATAGGATAGTTTTTATCCCAGACTTTTGTAAGGTTCTCTTGGTAACGCGATATAACCGAACTCCACGCGGGCGAAGCTGCGGGCGGAAAGCTAGTTATGATATAAAATCTCCATGAATCATTCCCATAATCTGAACACCCTGTATATGTATTTGTTTCAGAAGCTCCAGCAGAGCTAAGTCAGCAATCGGAGGGGGAGAATTGATGACGTAGCCTTCATCACAAGTTGTGACGTCACTATTGTATTCAAGCGAGTGACGTCACTGTTGTATTAAGGGCGTGACGTCACGGATATATAAGTCATCCCGGTCGGAGTCATGCATCAGCGAACGAGAGTTACATTGTATAATTTTTATTTTCTTTTTATATACATATATATATAGTTTCGGTCGTTAAAAATGTTGGTTTGAGCGCTTGATAAATTTTATATGATATACATAATATAGAGGATAATGTAGTGAGTGCCTTAGCAACTCAGTCGTTTAAGAATATTCACACTTTTGTGTAGAGGCCCTAGTACGAGTCTGCGGAATACGTCACACGGATAGTTTACAGTTTTTCATAGTGTGAATACTGTTGACGCTGCGTGCGCCGTGTCCGCGCACTCGTGCTAAGGCTAGCGTTTCACCGTCTATACTAAACGGTGTTTTTTTTATAACAGAGGTAATATTTATCGTTTACTCGCTTTATAATCGCAAAGTACCATTATTATTATTTATTATTATTATTTTTGTTAAAGAGTAGTATTTATTTTTGTGTGCAATCGCACGGGTGGACTGATTAAGCATCCGATTTATTATTTTTTTCATTTTCTTTGTGCATTTCGCTAAACTAATGACCTACCGCATGTTTTCGTAGTGTGTAAGAAGTCTTCTTACTACAGTAACTTCGCATAAAGGACACAGTGTGTAACTATTAACGTTCATATAATTTAGTTTTTAACATAGACTGTACATATAATTTAATTTCTTATTTTGTTCAGATCTCTAATAAACATGTAAGTCTATCATATTGTTTTCATCACTATTACCCTTTCCTCTTTATATAAGGTACTATATGTGCTAGGTATCTTCTTGTAAGCTATACAGTTTTCAATATTGAATCGAATGTTTAAATAAAAATTGTCTTGATATCGAGCCAATAAAGATTTTCTTGTAAATATTACTCAACATACAATGTATGTTAGGAGTTAGAATTACCTTTGTAGTTTTCAAAGATTATGACGTCATCATTACTGATTTCACCAATGCCTATATTCTTGATTATTATTTGTCTCAAGCTATTGAAGGTAACCACATAGACGATTTGACCCATCCTTTATCAAGAAAGGGTCCGATCACTGCAACATCTCGATCGATACTAAGTTTAATTAAGTATTTTTTTTATTATTTCGACTTGACTGTAGCTGTTAGCCCTAATGGTGGGACCAACCCGATTTAATTCTGGGTGGTGTTTAGTATTTCAGTACCATCGTCTTTATTTATACCAACTGACTCATTGTTCTGACTACGCTTGCATAGGTGGCTATAATTTTAACTCTTCCTAATTATTAATTACTTAAATAAAAGGTATTTATAGCTCCTGTAGGACCCCCTGGTCCTCTATGTAAGTAAAACTAGTCACTGTCTCACTACTACCCCGCCTAGAACGCAGGCGCACGTTTCCATTTTGCTCCACGCTAGTCGTGAGTTTGCCGAACGCATGCCGCCCCCTCTAGTGGGGTACGTGAGACAGTGTATTATATATATTGTATAGATAGAAACACTACAGCTCCGATTTACATAATGTACTAGATGCTACAACCCAAGCAGAAAATGTATTCCTACTATTCCTACTTATTATTAATATTATAATTGCGAAAGTTTGTGAGTGTGTGTGTATGTTTGTTACTTCTTCACGCTCAAACGGCTGAACCGATTTTGATAAAATTTTGTATACAGGAAGCTGACGTCCAGGAATAACACATAAGCTACTTTACAACCCGGAAAAGCTTCGACTTTTCCTCATATAAGCGAAAAACCATATTTACTTACTCGAGAACTCAACTGCTAGCCAAAACGACATTATCGCTATGTACCTTTTACCGGTCTATGTAGGCACAGTCGACAGCCAATACGCATTCCTTTTGTTAAAAAAGAGTTATGATTGATAATTAATATCTATAGACAACAGTTTTTTTCTGTAGTTAATTTGATAAATACTGCCAAACCATTCATGTTAACGTAATTCTTAACATTTCTGTTGTTTTGTAGTTGTTGGGTATTGCCCCATATGTGGGCTTTCTTTTATATATTACTAATGCCGAAATTACCGCGGACGAAGTCGCGTGCAAATCTAGTATCACTTTATAATTATCAGCGGTTTAGTGAAAATGTCTTAGTAATAAATTTTTCTTCAGAACTTTAAATATTGAGGCTGCTGTTCAAATATAACTATTAAGATTAAGATATATAAAGTATTTTTATTTCATATAGTGATAACATCTTGCTTGGTCCATCCTTCAGCGAGGTGCTCTCTCACTGCTTTGTCCAGGATAATCTGGAAATTAAAACATATATTTAGATACCTTTTGTCTAAGGGAGCGTTCAAGTATTACGTAACGCAATTTTCGAAGATTTTTGACCCCCCCTTCCCCCGTCGTAACGCACAGTAACGTTTTTCTGTAGCCCCCCCCCCCTTCTCAAAACGTTACGTAACACTCAAGTGATCAATTTCATCAAAAGACTTACAATGCAATCTAGGTATTCCCCGTAAAATATCAATTATGAGGTTTGCAAACTTGGAATAACAAATAAAAATATCGACCAGACTAATACAATGTAATGTATTTGATAGGAGTTGCCAGTTTTGGGGTTTTTATTAATATTTTTTTAGAAACAATGCTACGTAACGTTTTGTAAGAGACACCCCCTCCCGCCCCAGTAACGCATCGTAACGTTTTACGAGACCCCCCCCTCCCCCAAAATTGCGTTACGTAATACTTGAACGCTCCCTAAGGGCCCTTCATAAAACATAAATGCAGAGTGGTAAAATGAGCCTTCAGATGAATATAAAAATTTAATATATGAATAAATTTTATTACATATGTGAATGGGATTTATTAACGTTTTATGTAAATGGTTGTGTCTCCTTAGATAATTATGGTAGGTAACACAATTAAACCTTTACCTTACTGTAATGTCTAAAAATCAAGTATCTCAATTCTCATCAAAAATTGTATAATCTTTTCTGTTCATGATAATCCTTGACAAGCATTGAAACTCTTCCAAAGATTTTGTAATAATTTTTACTTAATTCTTACAAAAGTGCCCTTAGTTAAATAACTAACTACCTACAACCACATCTTGAGTGCGAAAGATTCTCAAGAGACTGAACAAAGAAGAATCTTATACTAATTCATCTCTTGAAGGAAGAAAATCATTTCATCTAATAATGTAATTAAAAGGTTTAAAAATTAACAAAAATAATAACAATTATTCAAGGTCAGGTGATATGTATAAGCCACTTATAAATTATACACTGATCTAACTAATCATATAAAAAGATATCGCTATAACATGATTTATAACTTTAGTATAACAATAATGTATTTCTACTCACTTCAATATCCCTACATCCTTGCATCGCTCTACTAAGAACGGTCTCGAAGTAATCGCTGTGCAATCTATGAGAGAGTTCCAGTAATGCTATACTACCTGAAATTATAATATTGAAATATTAATAAAACTAAAATTATAAACAGTGAATAAATTTATTTAATATACGGGGCCGGATTCGAACCTACTAACTCCGATATCTCGTCACAATTACTGTAACTATTGAGCTATTGTGACCATACAGATAGGTGAATTATGTAATCATTTTATATGATCTTTTCAAATGTAATTATAAAGTAAGAGATGTAATTATAACTAACAAAACTTGGTCGCTTAAAATATACAGATTTTTGTATATAATCAAAAATTTGGGAATTTTGTTTTCTTAAGAAAAAAAGTGAATCTATTTCGATACAACCCCATTTTATGAATTGAAAGTTACTGTTATATAAATAGCAAACTCCAAATTCATTTATATTAACAAAATAACACGATTAATTCTTGTCTACAACATCTCCTGTGTTTTATTCTGTATTGAGGTTACATAAAAATAAATCATTTATATTTAATATATACTATGTAATAGATTTAACAAATGATACAACCGCTAGCGACATCTATAATTTGTGTTCGATGACTTAATACATCTTGCATAGATGATACAACAACTAACTACATATAAAAGGTTCCGGTTCCCATTCAATAACTTTAATACAATATACAAAGATTTATCAACGAAAAACTATTGTCGCTTCATATTTACTGTGACAAGCAACTTACGATTAAACTAAGCATACTATTATGAAGTGATATGTGCTAATGACACAATTAATCTAAATTACATATACATAAATATATTAAGTTTCACGATAAATCTAGCATTATCCAACATATATTTCCAACTCACCAGTACTAGGTAAGCTCGCTACCGTCAAAGTAACACCGCCAGCCGCTTCTTCTACGTGCCCCACGTCTAACAAAGGCTCGGGCACACCGTCTTTATACGCCATAGAGGCTGAGCACGAACACACGTAGGCTTTTAGAGGTATACCCGCGTCTATTAACGCTAGTGTGGACGCATTCACACTCGCGCAGTACGCACCACCATCTGCCTATATATATACATATTATATAGTACTAGCTTTCCGCCCGCAGCTTCGCCCGCGTGGAGTTCGGTTATATCGCGTTTCAAAGAGAACCTTTCAAAAGTCTGGGATAAAAACTATCCTATATTATAAATGTGAAAGTAACTCTGTCTGTCTGTCTGTTACGCTTTCACGCCTAAACCACTGAACTGATTTTAATGAAATTTGGTACAGACATAGAGTTGACCTTGAGAAAGAACAAGATAGTTTTTATCCCAGACTTTTGAAAGCTTCTCTCGGAAACGCGATATAACCAAACTCCACGCGGGCGAAGCTCCGGGCGGAAAGCTCTAGTATAACATTAATGTAAGTTTTATACTTAAACTCAATATTTGTTGTTGATGCTTAACAAGAAATTTGTAATATAATAAAAACAAAAAAATTTGTGAGTCTTAGTAATGTGGAAATGAAAATAGGAAGAAGTAGAAATAAATTTTTAGTGAACTCAAATTGTTAGTTTAAGACAAACTTTATGAGCATTGCTTACAATTCAATATTGACTCAACTATTTACTATCGCTCCGTCTCTTTCTATTCAACCTCCAAAAGAGCGTTGAATGTTTAACGCAACCTTTTTGGTAATCACATAAGAAATTGCACTTTAAAAACTCTAAATGGCTTTTGTTGAAAGTTTATGATTTAATAAATTGTATGAATTGTCTTAATGTTTTAATAACACAAATAATTAAAACTAAATTAATTTTTTTTGGACCACTTGGGAGCAAAGACTTCCAGCAATTTGCCAGGTCATAATTACTCGCTATTATCACCTATGTTTGTGGATGTATCCCTATTATATGATATTAAAATTCTTGAAATATTTCACAAGTTCATTGAACTCTCTTTGACAATATAGACAAATTGTTGCACCATTGCAAAAATATGAGTTATAAGCCATCAAAATATTCTCATACTACTTCTAAATATAATAATTTTACCAGCAAGAACATTGTGATACTACATATAATTATGACAATTTATTACCAAAGAAGGTTTTACTAAAGCAGTATGTATATGAATATATATGTATATTATGTGAAAGGTTGTCAACCTTGGTTATTAAGGAATGGGGAGGGGACAAATAAAGGGCAACCGTCTCTCTCACTCATCGGACAAAACAGTCATTAAAGGCTACTTCACGCCGATCTTCTGTGAGAGGGTGAGGGTTCCAGTCAAGCCAGCCCATATTCGAGCTGTAGTAACTTGACTATATCTAGGTTCTACCACCTACTAAAATATATAAACATACCTGTAACACTTCAACATATATGTCTATTTGTGACCGCGGATACATTTCTGTTTTGATAGCGGCTGTCAACGCCTGTCTTAGATGCATTGACATCTCCTGGGATTTACGATCACCGCGCGGACGATTTTTCCTCTCACCTTTATGTAAAATAATTTAAAGTATAAGTTAAATTAAACTAAGTTATAGTATAGATACTATTATATTTCTAATTAGTTGTCCAAAAAATGTTTGTTTTTTCATTATTTATATCAATAAAAGTTGGTAAATTAAAACCAAAAACGTTTAAAAGATCAAATAATAGATCCAGCAATTTCAGGGAGTCATTGAAATTAACAAAATACAAAAAAAAAATTGAAATGTCATATATATATTATGTATATATATTAATTTAATAAAAAGTAGTTTTTATAATATTACAAAATGGATACTCCATTTATAATCATTTGTATAGTTTATAAATATTTATCTTTGAAGGTTTTTATTTTTTCTGGTTTTCAAGTATAGTGCGTTTGATTTAAGTTGAGCTTTGCATTTGTGTGAGTGCACACACGGATAGTGTAGGTGTGATGTTAAATTTTTATTAATCAATAATTTTTTTTCCATAATATTCATAATATTTCCATCTGGCCTTTTACAAGTTTTGCTTATTTTATAGTACTTCTGTTATGTATCTATTCAAACTATAATAAAATTGAATTCTAAAAGTTTTTTGTCTAACTCACACAAATGCAAAAGTTCAGCTTAAGTCTAACGGACTGTACAACTTATTCAAATCAGTTGATTGTTACAAATTTCCCAATTTATTTCTCAATTATATCAATAATCATATAAAGCCAATTATAAAACTAATTTTCAATCAAAAAAATTACTAACCAGTCGAAAATGTAGCCATACTATATTGACAATTCACAACGACACCTTCCGATGAGCTCTTTGATTTAGACGCCTGAAAATAAATTAATAAATATGTTTTAGATAAAGCAGACAACAGCAAAAAACTTAATATTTAACTTAAACTTTGTTGTGAAGGTATATTTATATAATAACTTTTACAATAACTTTAGTTGCAAACATAATCCAATCATTTGATAAATATGGCTGATATATAATTATTAGGACTTCATGAACACTACCATTAATTTTAAACCTTTATTTCTTTAATACAGCTTTAATCAGTGGTGGCCTAGTGGTTAAAAGGCCAGCCTCTCATGCATGAGGGCGCGGGTTTGATCCTGGCCTGGGCAAGTACCAATGCGATTTTTCCGAGTCATATGTACTTTCTAAGAATATTTAGACATCACTGATTAATGCATTCCCAAAGAGGGTTGATGTCAGGCAGGCAGCCGGTCGTAAAAAACAATTAGCCAAAACTATTCACAACATGTAAGGCAGACCCTGGCTAAAGCTGGAAAATTGCCAGGTAGAAGAAGCCTTAATCAATGTAACTTATTCAAAATTTACCTGATGGGGCCCATATACAGCTGCTAGAACTTTCGTATTTCCCTGTTCCAAGTATGCGCTGCCATCTGGTTGAGTGAATACCCCCAATTTACATCTGATACGACGAAGCTCGTTAGGTCTTCTACCATCAAGCCGAAGCCCTTGGCTCGATAATAAATCGGGTCCCGGCATTATTTCAAATTACAGTACTTTTCAATCACTCACAAGCTTTATATCGTCGAACATAAATTATAACTTAATATCTAACTTAACTGTATAGGAAATCAAATTTAAATTAACTGCTTTTTGAATAGATATTTAATCATGAAATTTTAGCTAGTCAGGTGTAAATAACCTTAAACTCAGTAAACAAACATGTTTTTACATCATTCTGTTATATGTCAAGTTGACATCTGTCATTGATGAACTAATTTCAACACTGAAGCAAACAAAACAAAAATATTAGTATTTTTTTTAAGATAATTTGATATTATTGATGCTATAATTTTGCAAATCCCATATAAATTACATTTTTCTAAAATGTTTATTTAATATATTGCGTAAGTCTAAGTTTATTGAAAGACAAGTTACGAATTACACATTTTTAATTTGCTTCTTAATATATTATAAATTTTATAAAAATTATTTGATTTTATTATTACATGTAACACATTAAATATTTTTTTATCATTTTTTTCTTTCTTATTGCTCCTTGACTTACTTAGTTCTTAGTAAAGAGTTTGGTTTGGTATGAACTGTGAGAATTAAATATAACAAAAGTTTACAAATAAATAAATAAAATATTGGTTTTAAATAAACGATTTTTAACTGATAATTTGTTCTTTCATATTAAAGAAACCTTTCCAGAATTTATTATAGACTTCTATACCTGTTTATCGGAAACAATTATTACGTCATTATAAGTTCGTTGCATCTCGCGGTTGATTAGTAGTCTATGAAATAAAATATCTCTCTAGTCTATTACTCCAGTATCACTACTTTAGTCGTGTCGCTATCAAGTATCGAATGTAAACTTGAATAAAGTTATGTCTCTATACATTATAAAACAAAATAAATAAGAATTTTCACACGATTTGTGAGGTAAAGGTTATTTTGTTATGTATTAACATTAAAATATATTAAAATGATAACGGCGTATGTTGTCTTGATGCTGGCCATTGTGAGATTAAAGATGTCACAATTACACCTTAGCGTACTGTTAATTAAAAATTAATAATCTCTACAATAAAAAAAAAAACTGTGATAAGAACCGCGAAATAAGTTATCAAGTGTTATTATATGTTATAATTATTATATAAATATATATATTGTTATAATTTTTTTGTGTAGTATTGATTTTCGGGTTTATGATTGCCTAATTATTTGTGCAGTGATCCACAATGGACGTTGACGATTCAGCCGTCGATCTCAGCGTGAGGTATGAAAATGTTAATTGATTATTATTATTATAAAATCATCATTATTAATTATATTAGTATCGAAATATAGTTTAGAACACTTATTATGGTAATTACTTATAACTACTATTAGCGAAAAAATACTTCATATCCAAAACTTACCGAAATACTTTAAGTTCATTATTATTAATATTTAATTTCCAAAACAGATAATAATCCTTATACACATAACAAAGAAGATAATTGCTTTAAAAATATAATAGTATATCTATATGATATAAAATGTATATATTAAATATGTATATTAATTTTACAGCAGGTCTTTGCCGCCTGAACTAAGTGAGTTAAGAGCTCTCACTGCCAGCGGATTGACCATAACACCAGCACAGCCACCACCTCATGTAAGAAAAATAATATTAAATTAATGAAAATAGTATTTAGGACATGAGAATTTTGAAGTATTGAATCAACAAAGCATATCCTATAAGCCTTAGTAACATATATATATACATAATAGTATAATTTGAGGCTAATCATTACATTAATATGAATAATTATTAATAAAAAGAAATATTTTAAAATCATGGTATCAGGATTTAAAACTGTTTATGTACAAATCATCGTTCCATTGTTATTAAAAAAATGTGACAAAATTCATATTTCAAATTAGGAATTATTTTTCTGATAGGCAATTGTTTATTTTTATGTTACATTATTTTTGCTGTAAAGATAAAGTAATTCAGATTATATGAAAATAATTGTAAAGTAATCTATTTTCTTTATTTTTTTGCACACAAGATTGACAGGGTGAGTATGGATATTAAATATTGGTGAATTAAGAATAGACTATTTGTTTTTTTTAATATAAAATCCTTGAAAAGGATTATGCATTGAGTATTCTGCTTACACAGTGTTTTAAATAAGATTAAAGAAATATATATCATAGTACAATAATTAATATGTAATAAAGCTATATTTTAAATATTTACTTCTATCCTAATTGAGATCTAAGATTTTTGTCAGTTTTATTCATTTGAACAAAATAAAGTCACTTAGTATAATCCCAAATACATATATTAGTTTCATCGATCCTAATTTATAATTAAAATGATTGAATTTATATGTCCGTTTTGTTATATGGCTACAATATAGGGTGCGGCTGGTAAAAGGGTGCTACGCCCTCGCGCGGATCAGCGAAGTTACGCGGAGAGCCCTGACATAGTGTTGCTACCTGCCGACCCTCCGCATAGAAAACCTGCGTTGCCAGCTCCATCACCATTCACTGGTAACAGATTATACATAATATATACAGGGTGACTGGTGAATTACTATCAATATTTAAGGAGAATACTCGGTACACGATTCTCATTCGAATTATGTAAAAAAAATAGGTACTTAATTTTTGACCAAATTTCCGTATAAATAAATAAAGCGTGGACACGTTCCAAGTGTTCCAAGTGTGGACGCGTGCGGCGACGTGCTGATACAACACTACGCCGCCGCACACGTGTGTGTGTGTTTGTGTGTGTATACCTAATCTGTAGGGTGTTCATACGATGCGTAATTAATTACATAACTTTTGGTTAACTTTACTTAGAAGTTTATTAATATTTATGTTATATTTTTGTTAATATTAATTTTATATTAATATTAATTTTTATTTTGTCATATATGATCGTCAAATATCACGTCCTCAAATATCGATAGTAATTCACCAGTCACCCTGTATAGTTAAGACCCTGTATAATTAAGATAGATGTATGAAATTAATTAGTTTATTCCAAAAATAATTTATTTTGTATTGATTGATAGCTAATATATCTGCCACGGATTTGCTCATCAAAAAAATGGGTTATTCAAATTACTAGTTCTTGAGTTAATGTATTAAATACACACACTTAATATGATATGTGTGTTTGTATTGCAAGAATTTTATTTACAAACAAAGGATGATGAAATCTTTGTCTTTATAACTCTTCTTATATTTTTTGTTATACATAACTTTTAAGCTTAGCAATCTTGTGGAAACTTGAAGTAGGAAGTTAAGTAGAAAGATGTTCATTTAGAATGTAACAAAGAAAACATTATTTCATTATATAATTAAAATTATTCACACAAACATGATGTTATGAATTTCATATCGAGATTATCACTAAATCAGTGGTGGCCTAGTGGTTAGAGGGCTTGCCTCTCATGGTTTGCGCAGGTTCGATCCTGGCAAGTACCAATGTGATTTTTCCGAGTCATATGTACTTTCTTAGAGTATTTAGACATCACTGACAGATGATGGAAAACATTGTGATGAAGCCTGGACTTATAATGAAATAATAAGTTTGAAATCACCAAACCGTATTGAGCAAGCGTGGTGATTAATGCTCAAATCTTCTCCATGTGAGAAAGAGGCCGTTGCTCGGCAGTGGGCTCTGATAGGCTGAAAAAAATCTTAATTATATCCCAATTTTTTATAAAATATTTGATAATATATTAGTTATGCTTGCTTGATATTGTTAAATAATAATAATAATATCAAGTATAATGTAGGTAGATTATATTATTAGTTGCTGTCATTCAGTCTTGCTATAGCACAATACATACATGACAAAATTAATATTGTTTTATTGAATACTACAGATAATATATTTATCATTCAGATGTTAGCAGCAAGTTGAATACAAACGTCAACCTTTCTATAACGGCCAGCGAGTGTGTGAGGGACCCCATGGATGATGAAGAATCTGACGGAGAGAATGAGCCGCCTCTACCTACACCCGCACATAGGGTGAGTAGTGAACATATATACAGGGTGACTAGTGAATTACTATCGATACTTGAGGACGTGATATTTGACGATCATATATGACAAAATAAAAATTAATATAACGTAAATATTAATAAACTTCTAAGTAAAGTTAACCAAAAGTTATGTAATTAATTACGCATCGTATGAACACCCTACAGATTAGGTATACACACACACACACACTCGCGCGCGGCGGCGTGTTGTTGTATCAGCACGCCGCCGCACGCGTCCACACTTGGAACACTTGGAACGTGTACACACTTTATTTATTTATACGGAAATTTGGTAAAAAATTAAGTACCTATTTTTTTTACATAATTCGAATGAGAATCATGTACCGAGTATGCTCCTTAAATATTGATAGTAATTCACCAGTCACCCTGTATACATATATCTTTATATATATAATTCTTCTGTGAGTGTGTATGTCACTGATCTTCTCCCAAACGACTGGACCGATTTTGAAGAAATTTTTTGTGTGTGTTCAAGGGGATCTGGGAATGGTTTAGATTTACAATTTTTTCCGCTGGACAATGTTTTTTTAATTAAATTTTAATTTATTAGTTGTTGATACAAACGTTTTTTTTTTGACATTACATTTGACAACTAACTAATATGTCAATCATTCTGTCGCACTTCAAAACACGGAGATTTATGGCTTTAATAGGTAAACTCCAAAAATATAAATAAAATAACGTAACAGATATTTCTTGATTATAGGGCGATACGAAGTTCGCCGGGTCTTCTAGAATATATATAATTAACTAAAAATTTCTTAATTACATATTATCAACAACAAATTTAATCTTATTTCCTTAATATATATCAAACACTAACATATAATATAATGTTTGTAGGAGCTATCCAGTGCTGAGATATGGGAACGTGAGCGTCGTTTGAGATCACTACGAGAAAAGTTGAGGGCCGAGGAAACGAGGCTTGTGCTACTGAGGAAGTTGAGGCAGTCACAACAAGCTACCGTTACTACTACTAAGGTATATATACTATACTAGCTTTCCCCCCTCAGCTTCGCCCGCGTGGAGTTCGCTTATATCGCGTTTCCAAGAGAAACTTTCAAAAGTCTGAGATAAAAACTATCCTATGTTCTTTGTGAAGGTCAACTCTATCTCTGTACAAAATTTTATTAAAATCAGTTCAGTGGTTTAGGCGTGAAAGCGTAACAAACAGACAGAGTTACTTTCGCATTTATAATATTAGGGACAGGTACAGTACATGGTACATGTCGTCGGGGATAGTGCAAAACCGCGAACTACCATTTTATAATTCCGTGTATCTATTAAGAGCAGATTATCAGAACATTAAGAGCAGATTATCAGAAGAACATTTAAGCTGAAGTATTTTCCATATTAATGACTTTTAAAGTATTTTTTTCACAATTAGTAATTTTATTTATTTATTAGATTTCCTAGCAGTTGTTACAATTTATTCATTTACATACTAATTACTTTCTAAATGTACAATTATTTTTTAGTATTTAATTTATCACTAATTGTGAAAAAATTATCATAATACATTTGTATTCTCAATTGCTTTATTTCTTATGAAAACAATACTTTGTTTTAAATACTTTGCAAGTTAAGAGCTTAAAACTACATTTGTTGTACTATCTTCATTTTGAATTTAATTATATTTATAAACCCAATGTATCAACCAACCCATTTTAAGCTAGCATGGTTAATGCTCAAACCTTCTCCATGTGAGAAGAGGTAGCTCAGCAGTTTGCTCTGATAGGCTGATGATGATGATGTATGTATGTATGTTTGTATGTTTCTCAGGAATCCGTATGCCCATCTCCCGGTACTGCCCTGGCCGGAAGCGGATGTGTCGTACCTCCAGGGGTGACAGTCACCCCCGCCCCGCCACCCGCGCACCAACACACCAAGGTAATATAAATGATACGTACAACGAAACAAGATAAATTTGGTAAACATTGAACACGTGATGGGGGATTGTAAATTGATATTTAAGTAATATTGGCTGTAAAATAGGATAGTTTGTATAAATGTAGGGTTTATACAAATTCATACAGGTATTGTTGTTCAAAATAGTTTAGTCAAGACGAAACCTCTTAGCATTCAATGGATTCATCGTGCGGGTGCCGGGTCCATCGCGTTGCAGGGAGAGGAGCCTCAACAGTGCCTGGGACTTGCGACCCAAGTGTAGGTTTAAGGGGCCCCTTAACTAACGCGCGTTATACGCTCACCTCCACTGTCCAAGCTCCTCTCCCTACCTAACCAAATTTGAAAAGAACCTACTAGGGCTGCCTTCGACGTACGTTCCAAGAATGAATTAATGTTAGTTCTGGACGGGCCCAAGTCTTTTAGTAGGTTATAGAGAGATTTAGCTGTTATACCTCTCGCTCCCACCTCTCGCGTACAAATCAACGACGAACCTATTTCGAGTTAGTTCGTTAGTGAGCTCGTAATACTTATTGACCTTGATGGTATGCTCTTTGGGGATTTTGGTTTCCGAAGGCACCGTAAGCTCTATCATCACAACGCGCTTTAAAATACGCGAATATAGAAATATGTCTGGTCTGGAGGCCGACGCACAAATATCCTCGGGGATTTTATATTGTTTCACATACGTATCCATCATGATATTCCAATCCGAAGCCGTTTTAGGGATAGAGTAAGGCTTGACGTTTGATTTTATAGCCCTGGTGCCCTCTCTCACAAAACCTATTGATCGTTCGTTTGTGGTTATTTCCCTTTGCGCTCTGTCTACCGAAAGACTAACCGCTTCACGTATGATCTCAAGAACCCTAAGTTATAATGAAAACAGCGTAATATGTTTTTATGCCCTTCTAATACATATATAACTACTAGCAACATGTCATGGTTTCGCTCGTTTTCTTTGAGAAATATGAAATTTTTAATCACTTCAAAACATTTATCTTTAGTGAATTTTAGTAAAGTAGGTTATTAATTTACTCCTAACATACAGGGAGACGGTTTCGAGTGTATATTAGTTTATTAATATATATAATAGTAATACTATGTATATTTCAGCGCGGCAGTGTGTCGGGCGCCGCTGGCAACTTGTCCACAGCGAGACGCACTGCCAGCCTGCCAGGGGGCGCCACGCTCACACCCGGCCCGTATAGGACTCAGGTACAGACACACACACAAACACAGACAGACAGACAGACACATACATACACACACGTACAGGCACACGTGTACGTACCTATATATGTATATACAGGGTGACTGGTGAATTACTATCAATATTTAAGGAGCATACTCGGTACATGATTCTCATTCGAATATGTAAAAAAAATAGGTACTTAATTTTTGACAAAATTTCCGTATAAATAAATAAAGTGTATACACGTTACAAGTGTTGCAAGTGTGGACGCGTGCGGCGCCGTGCTGATACAAAACCACGCCCCCGCCGCGTCTGCGTGAGTGTGTGTGTATACCTAATCTGTAGGGTGTACATACGATGCGTAATTAATTACATAACTTTTGGTTAACTTTACTTAGAAGTTTATTAATATTTATGTTATATTAATTTTTATTTTGTCATATATGATCGTCAAATATCACGTCCTCAAATATCGATAGTAATTCACCAGTCACCCTGTATAATGAGTAGAGTCCCTCTAACTGGAAGAAGTAAAACTTCGTAATGTTGGAATGAAAACATTAAGGGATAGAAATTGGTTTTGAAGGATTTTTTGCTTTTCTTTTAATCATACATTATAAATATATAAAACGAGTCATAATTGATTGCCCGCATGCGTTCGAGCGCCACGCATAGTCTTGTCTCTTAAAAGAGTGTTAAAAGCTTTACGCAACCTTGTTGCAAATCGTGTAACACGTTTCTCTTCAATATATAAACCTCTAAAGCTATATACGGTTTTTATATACATATATAAAATTATTTAGGCCTTTAATATATATAAAATATTACATTTCAGTCGTCAGGGGGCGCTAGCATCACTCCATCAGTGACGATCACACCGGCGCCGCCCCCGACACACGCACACAACAACAACAACACTACGAACAACAATAAGGTATGTACTATTAATATATTAACAATAAGTATAACAACAGAATAACACGTTAAGGTACAGTATTAACAGGTTTGACATATATAAGGTACAAGAAAACTCATGTCAAAATATCATTAGAATATATTCATAAGGAAAATATTAATATTATTGTATAGTATTAATGCTGTTTAATGACGATATTAAAATCAATCAATTGTCTTGTATGTTAATTTTACAAAATATATAACATATTTGTATATATATTTAGAATCCAATAAAGTTATATTAAATTCATAAAATATGAGTTACTATAAGGAGAAACATACAATGACAGAACCTTATATAATAAAGTAATCTACCTACATTATATTAGACATCATATTATATAACAACACCAATCAAGTATATATACAACAATATTAAATACAAATGGTTATATTACAAGCCCTCTCAGGACAATTCATCGGTCACGAGTAGTACAAGCGATGCAGTGAGTATGATATGTGATGTATACCATACATATATAATATATATTAATATAAATGATTTAATACATATATATTAAGATATTACTGAAAAAATATGTCTGCCTTCAGTCTAAGTAATGAATAATTAATATGTGAATAAATATTTTTCTATAAAATTATAGGGAAATTCAAAAACAGATTTTATTAGAATTTAGTCACAAATATAATTTCTTTTAAGCAAATATTATAAAGTGTCCATTAATACAAAAAAAAAAATTCATCACAATATATATGCAGGATATATAAGTTTAATTTAAGTATACTCATACAAATATATTATCTTCAGTCAGAAACAAAAATACTTATAAGGTATATTATTTCTGTGATATTTATTATAATGTTATGTTATTCCAGGCTAGTTCCCGTAGTTCCGAAGACCCGCAGACCCCGGCGCAGAGGCAGGCGGCTGCCAAGCTGGCGCTGAGGAAACAGTTGGAGAAGACGCTGCTACAGGTATACACAGACAGACAGACATACACACACACACACAGACAGGCACACAGAGACAGACACACAGACACAGACACACACATACACAGACATATACAGATACACATATATAGATACAGATAATTGTTCACAAACATATAATTTAAAACAAAACTTTGCGTATCTATGTATATTCTACGAAACATTGTCTATAAACCTTTTTAATAATTGCAATATTATCTTTCTTTATAAAAAATATATTATTTACCTATGTATGATTACAAAACAAATAATACAGTTATATTTGAAAAAAATATGTAATTGATTGAAAGGTTCTTTATTAATCACAGCTGATAAAGAATATGCTTCTTTCTTCTATGTAAAATAATTTTATTAAATTCCCCGTACTAAATATTTTTGCTATAAATATATTATTAACATCTACTTCATAATATATACATTATATACTAATTTTCCATTTTTTCTTTTAATATGTTTATATTTGTCTTGTAAAATTTGCCGACTACTTATATTCTTTAAAATCTTTTATATATAGTGTTATATAATAACAATGATAGTTATATATTGTTAACTATGTAGGTTTTGTATAGGATTTTTCGTATATTAAATGAAATTGAGATTTTCTGTTGAACAAAACTAGAAACTTTACTTCACACGTTAGCAGAGAGCATAGACAAGACACACAAGTATAGACTAAACTAAATATAGGTAACAAAATTATTTCTTATAAATGTCCTCAGACGGATTAACAAAATTACCTTATTTCTATATGCTAAATATAATTATACAGTAATACCCCGCTTTACGCGAGGGATACGTTCCGAAGAAAATCGCGTTAACTGAAATTTGCATATATCGAGGTTTATGATTAAACACAGTCAAAATTTAATACACAAATATAAAAATAATTTTAATCAATCACTTTAAGGCTAAGAACACTATACAATACATAGGTACTTCTATTTTTTACGAAAAAATACATGTATTGTCTTTTGGGTAGCGTTTTGTTTACGTTCTTGTAAAATACGTTCATAACACCAAACTCTGTTTTTAATCGTTTGACACACGTTCAAGACATGGTCATCATTATTGTCTACACTCTGCAATGTCCCAACCTGAATAAATTTTTGAAAATCGCGTTATAGTGAAACCGCGCACAACTACTACTGTATTACTGTATATTCAACATATATATCAATATGTGTTATGTTTCAGATCCCCCCTCCCAAGCCTCCCCCGCCGGAGATGAACTTCATCCCTTCTCCAAGTAACACGGACTTCGTGTATCTGGTCGGCTTGGAGCACGTGGTTGACTACCTCACTAATGAGGATCGGTACATGCATACACTTATTATTACATACACTATATATATATATATATATATATATATATATATATATATATCCCTACTAATATTATAAATGCGAAAGTAACTCTGTCTGTCTGTTACGCTTTCACGCCTAAGCCACTGAACTGATTTTAATGAAAATTGGCACAGACATTGAGTTGACCTTGAGAAAGAACATAGGATAGTTTTTATCCCACTCTTGAAAGGTTCTCTTGGAAACGCGATATAACCGAACTCCACGCGGGCGAAGCTGCAAGCAGAAAGCTAGTTAATATATACACTAGAGGACCCGGCGAACTTCGTATCGCCCTATAATCAAGAAATATCTGTTACATTTTTTAATAAATAAATTTACGTTACACCTTAGCCTCAGAAACACGTGGTGGTTATGCTATTATTAAATAGTCACTCATATATAACGTTTGTATTTTTAACATAGCGCCATCTATTGAATACTTAACTCAGTCAATAGATAATTGTAATAATGACAAATAATTTCCTTTAATAAACAAATAATTTGCAATAAAATAATATTGTGACTATAAATTGAGATGTAAGCTATCCTATCTTTCAAGTTGGATCAAAATGCACACGGAATGCAAATCAAATTTAAAATCGGTTTAGTAGTTTAGGAGTCCATCGCGGACAAACACATGACACGAAATTTTTATATATATATAAAGATATATATGTGTGTTTCAGTATGCCTCGCTCGTCAGTACCCGCTGTATGCGCTCAATGCGGCTGTGACTTCACGGCCGTGTGGCGTTGGGAGCGAGCCCCGGCGCGCAGGCAGGACGCGACCTTCCCCGCGCCTCACACGCACACGCCGCGACGACTGTGCGAACTGTGCGTCTCTGGGAATGTTAAGAGGGCGCTTAAGGTAAAAAAAAGAATAGACTGATACTCATAACTAATAAACAACTTAATTATAGAAAAGCTTTTGATACGGTCAGCCATCCTATACTGTTAAATAAATTAAAAGACATAGGCATTACTGATAAAGCTCTTAGTATTTTTAAATCATACCTATCTGATTGTATTCAAATTGTTAAAGTTTTTCCTTTTCTTTTATTCTCTTATTGATTTCGTACTAACCATTACAAATTAAATAAAACTTGGTGTGACGAATGTTAACAATGTTATATGTTTAAGTTAGTAATGTTCTCAAATACGTGACTATGTATTGTCTTGTTGAGAATAAAGATCTTTAAACCTAAAAAGTTGGAGAATACCAAAGTAGCAAAACCTCAATTATATTCAGGGGCCATCTGAAAATCAGTGCTATGCATTAGCACAGCTTATGCTGAGATGAACCCCCTTGCTACACTGTATTCTTTAAATTTAATTTTCTTTTCTTCTGTATCACTGTATAATATATGTAATGTGTGTAGCAAAAAAATAAATATATAAATTAATTAATTGATTGAAGTGAAATAATTCGGTTAAAGTAGTATCGCGTAAGAGAGCTCTGATTGAGTTGAGGTTTAATGTGGTCGTATTATAGAAAGAAAGGAGCTAACTTGGCATCTATGCTTGTAATGTAATGTGAATTACCTGTGAGGTCTAAATCAGAATGTTAGGTAATATTTTACGGTTATAGCAGTACACACATCACGAGTAGCGTAACAAAGCATTTCTTTAAATATACCCAACCATAGCATCATTATTATGGATGTGAGTATATAAAATTTGTTAACTCCCCGGCGATAGAAATTGTGTATAGAATTACATAAAATCTGTTTTTAACTGACTTCAAAAGGAATATTGCTATCAAATTTCAAGTCGTTACTCCTTATAGTTCAAGTCATTTTGTGATGACTGATGATTCAATATGTCATACATGGTATAGATTATCTAGTGTATATTATATTGTAGGTAGTCTGGAAGAAATGGCTAATAAGCCACAAGGCCGCCTTTTGTTTCACCGTTAGTTTTTTAGTTTGTATTTTTTGTAATTGTTTATGATTGTAATTGTGGTTTCCAAAAAAGTGTTAAATAAATAAATAAATATTATAATATTATTTCTCCCACCAGGCGGAGCATACAGCGAGGCTGAAGACGGCCTTCGTGCGTGCGTTACAACAGGAGCAGGAGATAGAGAGACGACTGGCCGCGCCCAGCCCGCCGCCACAAGCAGCCACCGCCGCCCCGCCGCCCGCACACACGCACCACCACAGGGGACAGACGGTACACACGGACGGACAGACATACAGATACTCACAGACAAGAATACAGACAGACAAGGACACTATCAGCAATACAAAAGTATATAGAGGAAGATAGTGAAACAGGGGACAGACGGTACACGCGGACAGACACACACACAGACAGACAAGGACACACACAAACACAGACACATACATATAGAGAAAGAGGAAGATAGTTAAACATTAATCACTTATTAGCTGTATCTGTTTAGTTACTATTGAATATTGGTGTCCTTACAGTGATTACTTTATATTGTATAGTATAGTTTTTATACACAATCTCATCTTAGTTGACTTTGAAATTAAGCTTATAGAGAAAATTCTGTTACTGTGATCTCTCAGTTACATCATTAAGGTTTTATTACTAGAACCTGTTAATAAGTTTTACTATAGAAGTACATCAACTCTATACATGCTCATACACTGTTTTTATAAACAATATCATATAATCAAATCTCTATATACATATAATATATTAATTATATTATGTTATAGATGTCAGTGTCTCGTTCGTCAAGTCGCGCCAGTGTGTCTTCTAGCGCGTCGCCAGCGGCCAAGCCACAGCCGCCGCCTGCCAGGTAATAAATACTACCTACATACTAATAAAACTGTTTTAAAATACAAATATCATATAGAAAAGTTAATGATGATAGTTTTATATATAAATATTAGAAAAACAATATTTACTATAACACGTCAATCTATGAAGATTTCTTAATATAGCTTTTTCACTTAATATCAAGCAAAATACATTTCTTTGAAGTATTTAAATAAAATATGAATATATGTATATATCTAGTAAAATGAGTATAAATTATTAATTTTATTTTTGTCATCTCAAATAAGGAATATATCTTTGCTGACTATAGTATAATGTTATTTATAATTTTCATATAATATCAAATATTCTATAACATATATAATTTATATTACAGTAGTAGCCGCAGTCTGAACACTCCGGAGTCGAGAGGCCATCATGCTGAGCGGGCTAGGGATAATGATGGGAACAATAAGAAAGGTAACACACAGACATACATACATATATACATACACATATATATACATGTATATATAAAAAAGATAATTGTGTTGAAAATTGGTTTATACAGGGTGACTGGTGAATTACTATCGATATTTGAGGACGTGATATTTGACGATCATATATGACAAAATAAAAATTAATATAACATAAATATTAATAAACTTCTAAGTAAAGTTAACCAAAAGTTATGTAATTAATTACGCATCGTGTGAACACCCTACAGATTAGGTATACACTGACACTCACACATACGCATGTCGTGACGTGGTGTTGTATCAACACGTCGCCGCACGCGTCCACACTTGAACACTTGGAACGTGTCAACACTTTACTTATTTATACGGAAATTTTGTCAAAAATTAAGTGCCTATTTTTTTTACATAATTCGAATGAGAATCATGTACCGAGTATGCTCCTTAAATATTGATAGTAATTCACCAGTCACCCTGTATATAGATTAGAACCAGGAGACAGACATAGGATATTTAATTCTGTTCAATCGAATAAATAATACCTCAAGGGCGGGATAGAATTCGCCCGATCAGCTATACATTTATTACTAATACCGAAATAAACGCGAACGAAGTCGCGAGCAAAAAGTAGTATAACATAAAGTATTGTCAATTACATAAATATATTATTACAGGGTCTTCATCAAGCACTAGCAGCCAAGGAAGTAGCAAACAACATCAAGTGAGTGTAACATGTATATAAGAAAGAATATTATTCATCTTCTTCTTCCTGGCAATTTCCCAGCTTAAGCCAGGGTCTGCCTGAGAGAATATTATTATATTTCTAACTATTTTCATGTTAAACATTAATAATTATGTATTAAGTCAGACAATGTGACTTTTAAGGACTTTAATACATTATACATTATTGGATAGTAATAAATATACATATATTTCCAGCTGGCAGCAGCTGCGGCCGCTCAGATGGCCTTCGAGCAGCAGAGCGCGGCCGCCATGCAGGCCTTGCAGCACCAGTTACTGAGAGGTGACTTATATACATACATACAGTCTTGGCCAAAAGTATTAGGCACCTCAAAAAAGCCTTATAATTATAGATCAAAAAAACTTGTACTTTTCAAAGCGATTTATTAATATTAATAACATATTAAAATAAACAAAAATAACTTAAAATCTAGTTGGTCCACCTTTAGACTTAATCACTGCTGCAATTCTATGAGGCATGCTCCGAACAAGTTTAGTGCAGTCATGCCTTGTAATGGCATGCAATTCTTGCACCAACGCATTTTTTAATGCCGTTTTCGATGTAATGCTGTACTCTTTGATTCTCCGCTTCAAAAGACCCCAAAGATGCTCGATTGGGTTAAGATCTGGGGACTGTGCAGGCCAATCCAACAAAACAATATTGTTGTCAGTAAACCAGCGCATTGTATTCGCTGATTTATGACAAGATGCATTGTCTTGTTGGAATATGACTCCCTCTAGGTTTTTGTCGCCGTAAATATTCGTTAACGAAAGCGCAAGCGCAGTCTTAGGTACTTCTATGTATTTTCACTGTTCATGCGACCTTCGCAAACAAACATTTCGCCAACTCCGTCGGTAGCCATGCACCCCATGATCATTATACTTCTACCGCCGTGCTTCACTGTTGGTACGACGCAATCTGGATGGTATTCCTCACCTACACCTCGCCTCACGAAGGTCACACCTGGTGTTCCAAATACCTATTAAAGAAAGAAAAAATAAGGTTTTTTTAATTGATCATAACCTTCAAGATTTAAGAGACATAAGTCAGTCCTCACTATTATTCATAATTAAAAGAGTAATTTCAACTTACCTCAAAGTTTGACTCGTCAGACCACAACACATTGGACCAATTTTCCTCGGTATAATGTTGGTACCGTAGAGCCCACTCAACACGTTTTCTTTTATTTGTCTCTGAAAGCCAGGGCTTCTTCCTAGCTTTACATCCCTTTAGGCCGGCTTCGCCAAGTCTTCGTCTAACTGTACGAGCGCTTATTGGCTTTCCAACCTCTTCGGACAAGCCAGCAGCTAGCATTGAAGAAGTTTTCTTCCGATTTTCATCGATTCGCATATCAATTTTCTATCCTCGCGCTTCGTAGTGACACGTTTCCTGCCTGTTTTTGGTTTATTATAATAAGTACCAGTCTGAGCAAACCGTTTGATGGCAGATTGTACAGCGCAACGCAAACGTTTCACCAACTTGGCTATTTCTTTTTGCGACTTCACTTCCTCAAAAAAAAATTGTATTTTTACCCGATTTTCATTCAAATTAATTTCACTCCTTTTCGTCATTTTTTAAAGAATTAGATGTTAATGTAATTACTTAAACAGAAACGAAGGGTGGTTAACTCTTTAGATGGTAAAATGCTACTGACCAAATATTGACTGATAAGACCGCAAGAAAACACAAATCCTTTGTTTTCGGTTACCAGGTGTTTTATGACCTTATGAAAATGCCGCTCACCTTTACAGGTAATGGTTTATGATCCCGAAATATTATCGAAGGAACGAATTTATTTATTATTAGATAAGTAAACATTAAATATGCATTTTTATGCATAATACATTTGGTCAAGGCTGTACATATATGTCAGAGTACCACGCTCCGGATTATTATTAGAATCCATTTTCTTTATAGATTGCTTTATAAATAATACCACAGACTTCACAGTAACAGATTTGTATTCAAACTTGAAGAGTTTCGGCTTACAATCTTTTCTCACTTGGTGAAACCAATAGAATGAATACTCACTGACAATATTCGCCCTTTTGGAATAGGATAGCACAAAGAGTTACAAACTCATTTAAAATAAAAAAAAGTACATATGTAATACAATTATACAATTTTATAAATATAATTAATAGAATTCACCGCGCCCTTGTACACATACTATTTGATATACAAATAGAACTCTGGTTTTGATCAAAGTCATAATTATATTATTTCTATATTTTTCTATGGAACCTAAACTCGATATCACACACTCCAAGTATACATAAACTCTTTCACAGACTGCAAACATTAGCTAAATTTCTTTGATTAAATTTAACTTGGAAGGTTTTATATCGACTGTAGTATAATGTGTTGGGAGCTATCACATCATATCATAATGATATCATTCCAGGTCTAAGCGGTGCGGGCGGGACGGGCGGTGTGTCTCAAGCGGCGGCCGCGGCGGCTATGATGCAGTTCTCTCCATTGCTGTATACATACCAACTGGCTATGGCGCAGGCTAGCGCTCTGGGCAAGAGATGTGAGTGACACACACAGACAGACACACGTTATTATTTCCTTACCAACTCACACATAACTCAATATGAGCATATACACATTCGTAATCCTACTAATATTATAATTGCGAAGGTTTGTGAGTGTGTGTGTATGTTTGTTACTTCTTCAAGCTCAAACTGCTGAACCGATTTTAATAAAATTTTGTATACCAGAAGCTGACGTCCAGGAATAACACATAGGCTACTTTACATCCCGGAAATCCGCGGGTAACACCGCGGGGGCAACTAGTTTCATATAATACACGATCATTGAAATCGCTATCTATTGACAGTAAACTGAATCATCATCACCGGTAGCTATTAGCGCAATTAGTGATTTTGTCAACATTTATAACATAACATTTCTGAGTGATGAGTACATAAACTAAATACTATCACATCCCGCCGGTTCTACCACAAATATTTATACCAATAACATATCTATTGTGTTGCCATTTAGCTTATACACCAAATATACCATGCAATATCATATCGTTGGGATAGTGCAAATCCACGTAACTATCATTGTATAATTCCATTGTATAATTAATCTACATTGGAAGCAGATTATAAGTTTGAGCTGAAATATTTTCTATATTAATGACTTTTAAGGAAATTTTTCACAATTAGTAATAAATTAGACACTAAATAATTATCCAATGCTATTAAAGCGGTTTTTCACTATCCCCAACGATATTTTGTTGCCCTTATGTATTATCCATCTACTAATAAGTTTGTATACATATTATTTATTCTGTTGTTATATTATATATTCTGTTGTAGCTGGTAAAGGTTCAAGTAACGCAGCTATGGCCGCTGAGATGCAACGCGTAGCCGAGGCTCAAAGACAATACTTACTGGATATGATTCCCGGACAACACGCGCGCAATCCATGGACTAAGAACTAGTTTCACATATATATATAGGTAATATATACTGCTTATATATTGATATAAAGCATCTCCTACCTGTAAATTTCCTAGGTATTATATACAGGGTGACTGGTGAATTACTATCGATATTTGAGGACGTGATATTTGACGATCATATATGACAAAATAAAAATTAATATAACATAAATATTAATAAACTTCTAAGTAAAGTTAACCAAAAGTTATGTAATTAATTACGCATCGTATGAACACCCTACAGATTAGGTATACACACACACACACACTCGCGCGCGGCGGCGTATTGTTGTATCAGCAAGCCGCCGCACGCGTCCACACTTGGAACACCTTGAACGTGTCAACACTTTATTTATTTATACGGAAATTTGGTCAAAAATTAAGTACCTATTTTTTTTACATAATTCGAATGAGAATCATGTACCGAGTATTCTCCTTAAATATTAATAGTAATTCACCAGTCACCCTGTATATCATGTTGTGAATAGTTTTGGCTAATTGTTTTTACGACCGGCCGCCTGCCTGACATCAACCGTCTTTGGGAATCAGCATTAATCAGTGATGTCTAAATACTCTTAGAAAGTACATATGATATGGAAAAATCACATTATTACTTGTCAGGATCGAACCCGCGCCCTCATGCATGAGGGGCGGGCCTTTTAACCACTAAGCCACCACTGAATTGATTAGAGCATTTGATAGCATAAAAGTGTATATAAGTATGTTGTTTTATTTTTACAGTATTGTAAAATATTTGCCAGTTATTTGAATCTATGTCCCAGACATACTATTTTTAAGCATTGTACTCTGCGTATATCTGTATCTATATATAAATATCTTATTATTTCCTTCCAGATTCCTGTTCGTGAGATTCAAGTATTTGAAGATACAAGAACAGTTGCGGAATAGTTTTAATAATCTTTGACACGTTTTAGGTTAACATAGAGTAAGTCGACTACAGAGGGCGCTAGGATAGACGTAATGGAATGTAATGTTAGTATTAAAACAGCACAAGAAATACGTAATTATAAATGAATTGTTAAGTAACTAGCGTATGAGATCTAACTTCATTTTATATGTGGATTTTTAAACTTCAATAAATATTGTAAACAATGTGTTGTTTTATTTCAAAGTAATGTGATTCTTATGTCTACTCCTTCAACATCACAGCTGATGAGACCAAGTCCTGGAAACAAAATATAAAGTTATACATAATAATATTGTAATAAGATATATATGATTACTTAGTTATATACTACATACAAATTGGCGATACTTTTTCATTCATAAATCGCTACACATAGTTTTAGTAGGCTATAGAACGAGTATGTATTATATGAATAGTTTTCTTAAACTTGATTGAAATTTTTAGACCCAGATTCTCCAAACAATTTTAATAAATAATGTCTTGTTAATGCGTTTAATACTAAATGTATGGAGCGTTGTTGCATTAGATAACAAGTGACGTATCGATGGATATATAAGATCAAAGTATATAGTGGTGCATCGTAGCAAACTTGCCGTATTAAACGCTTAAGTTTAAATTTGATCGTCTTATAACAACAACGAATAATTTGGTAGCCGATCATTTAATAATTCGTTGTTAATTTTTCTTCAAGGAACTTTAATATTTTTGACAGACAATTATATTTTTCAACGTTAGTAAACTCCTCGTTTATCCCTTTATAAGTTAGAAGCGATATTTTCACCACAATGATTTTGTTTTTTTTTAAAACCGAAATTTCGTCCACCGGTCGTATTTTTTTATTCGGACAACTTCTTTGATTGTCAATAGACAGTTTGACATTGAAAGGTTTGACAAATATATATGTATTTATATATACATATATGTTTTCACTGTCCACTCCTTATGACCGTTAAAGGGTTATATTTAACTATTAGTATAGTGTAACTGGGCCTTAATTTATATATAATGTATAGCATTAGTTCATACTTTATGTGCGTCCAAGTATGTTAGGTCTTCTTCTTCAGCGAGTAGTACTACGGCGTCTACAATGACTTGTATCGCCTTCTTGATGTTCCGAGCGAACATCTCCAATACTTCGCTCACTGACACCTGGAACAAACACACATACATATATCCCTACTAATATTATAAATGAAAAAGTAACTCTGTCTGTCTGTGACGCTTTCACGCCTAAACCACTGAACTGATTTTAATGAAATTTGGTACAGACATAGAGTTGACCTTGAGAAAGAACATAGGATAGTTTTTATCCCAGACTTTTGAAAGATTCTCTTGGAAACGCGATATAACCGAACTCCACGCGGGCGAAGCTGCGGGCGGAAAACTACTATACATAAAAGTACATTATCAAACAGTATTAAATATAAGAAATATATATATTTGTAACATAAATAAAATAACTAGAGTAAATAATTATAACGTATATTTAGAAGGTAATGTTTTTTCGCCTATCACCTATTATAATTATCATAACCTTCCCTTTAGTGATATAATGGGCATTTAAGATGATGAAATATCAATCAATTTGTATGTTTAACAAAAAGATAGACTGACATTGGCAGAATATTCCACGATTATAGTGTGAATGAAGCCGTAGCATAAAAAAATGTATGTAGGTCTGTTCTTAAAATATAATATTTTGTTATCGCATTATTACTTATACAAAATCTCAGAAACATAAGTAAAGTACACAAATACAAATGATTTGATTTTATTACAAACTAATTGGCAGCCATAACTAACGATGTTGGAAACAGTAGTTGAAGCATTTATGTGTTACTTATAAAAATCGGTAAACATTTTAACAAAAGTAAAGCTATTATAATTAAGCATAATGATAGTGTGAATAGTTTATATGTATTTAATTAGTTATTTATATGTATTGCAGGAATTATAAATAAGTAGAATGCGTCAACATTTTGTCATTATAGTCATTTCTTTTAACAGAATATTTTTTTTCAAAAAAATCATTAAAGCGATGTAGTCGTATTATAAATTAATATTTATACTTATATTTAAAACTATTTTTTTTTTTTTTTTGGTGTCGGGTTGGAAAATCCTTCATGGAGCCCCGCCGCCCTCGGGGAAGGACGGAGGGGACTGTCAGACTCCTACTGACTAAAAACCAACCCGTGTGCCTCATCTACCCGTGTGCCGGAGAGGTGGGTATCGCCGAAGCATTCATCGCTACCTCCCCGACAGGCATTGACCCGCCAGATGGTCAGGCGGGCCCCGTCACCCGGCTATAGACCTGAAACTTTGAGGCGCGCACGGATTACACGCCTCCCCCTCGGAGCCTGTGGTTGTTATCGGACGACAGGTGCCCCGAACCTGTCGTCCACAGGCCGCGCTCTACGGTGGCCGGAAATCGGTCGCCCTACGGCGCCCAGTGCGTCTGGTGCGGGAGGTGAGAAAGGAGGCAACCTCTCTTTCCCTTTCCGCTACCTCCTTTGCGCGCATCACTGCCTCGCAGAAGGTGGCGACGGCACACCACCCTGACTGCCACCCCTACCGCCGATATTTAAAACTATGGATTGAATATTTTTAATTCTGTTTATCTCTATTAAATTTAAATCTTCTAATTGTACAGTTTTTCCATTACCAAATCAGATTTTTAAGATTATCAAGCATTTTATTATTATCTAATTGATAGCGATCGCATAAGAAATATATAAAACTTTTAATAATGAGTTGACACATAAACCATTCATTAATTTTATAACTATTTCATGCCTACTATTTCGTTCGCTTGGTCTTTGTAATTTAGTTTCAAGAAAAATATTTACTGTATTTAAATAATATATCTGTTAAATGACCGTCAGCGACATCTAGTGTGTGTCACGTAACTTCACATGCAATACAAGTACGCCTTAATTTCCTTAATAACTTATTATAAAGGGATGTTTTATAATCTGTGTCTCATTCCGATGTCTAAACTACACTATTGCAGAGTTTCATAGAAATCTCTTCAGTGATTTTCATATTATATAGCAACAAACATGTATATGTAGTCAGAATTTGATGAATTATTATGATCAGTATATAATATTTACCGACTGTTCGTTGTCTCTCCAGCAGTCATAGTCAGTTACTAAAGCGACCGCCGCGTAACTTAAACCTGCTTCTTTAGCTAACACAACCTGAAAAAAACATATACATAGGTTTAAAGAAGTTTATTTCCAAAAAGAACAAAGTTCGCTTAGAAAGGAAATTTTAAAAATTATAACTACAATAAAGATAACAAATAATAAACAGTAATGATATTAAAAAAGTCGGTGTAATCATCTAATATATGGGTTCTTAATCGTTTTTTCAATATATTTAGAGATTTTGAATTTACAACACTTAGAGGCAGAGTTATACAGCTGTGTACATCTTTATATATATAATTCTTCTTTGAGTGTGTATGTCACTGAACTTCTCTCAAACGACAGCACCGATTTTGATGAAATTTTTTGTGTGTGTTCAAGGGGATCTGGGAATGGTTTAGATTCACAATTTTGTCCGCTGGATAATGTTTTTTTAAATTATTTTTTAATTTATTAGTAGTTGTTGATACAAACGTTTTTTTTTTGACATTAGATTTGACAACTAACTAATATGTCAATCATTCTGTCGCACTTCAAAACAGGGAGATTTATGGCTTGAATAGGTAAACTCCAAAAATATAAATAAAATAACGTAACAGATATTTCTTGATGATAGGGCGATACGAAGTTCGCCGAGTCTTCTAGTGTATATATAAATCTAATTTAGTTTAAATTATTTGTGTCTATAAAATACAAAGTAAATTCATACAATCTATTGAAATATAATATCAACAATAAGCCATTTCAACAACAAGGTTGCGTTAAACGTTTAACGCTGTGGAGGGCAGATAGTAAGAAACGGAACGAGAGTAAATGGTTTAGTCAATAATGAATTGTAAGCAATGTTCATAAATTTGTCTTAAAGATACAATATGAGTTCACTAACAATTTATTTCTACCGCTTCCCAATACCATTCCAACATAAAGTATGAAATTTCACTTAACACGTAAAGGAATTCCACACTATCATTTTTTGTACGCTAGCAACACTCTAATACTAATTTTTGCGGCAAAATGTATTCTTAATTTAAACTATTAAAAACAATATTCATTGAAAGCTATTAATGACCAGCGGAATGTATATTAATATATCATTTAATTGTATTAATGTCGTCATCAGCCTATCAGAGCCCACTGCTGAAAGGCCTCTTTCTCACATGGAGAAGGTTTGAGCATTAATCACCACGCTTGCTCAAGACGGGTTGGTGATTTCAAACTTATAATTGTGAAACTATAAGTCCAGGTTTCCTCACGATGTTTTCCTTCACCGTATGTCAGTGGTGTCTAAATACTCTCAGAAAGTATTACTCTGTATTAATGTATTTTAAGTGTATTATTTCCTACCTCAGGTACAGTCGTCATATTAACAACGTGGGCTCCCCACTGACGATGCATTAGACTCTCGGCGCGACTTGAAAACCTAACAACATATACAGGGTGACTGGTGAATTACTATCAATATTTAAGGAGCATACTCGGTACATGATTCTCATTCGAATTATGTAAAAAAAATAGGTACTTAATTTTTGACCAAATTTCCGTATAAATAAATAAAGTGTGTACACGTTCCAAGTGTGAACGCGTGCGGCGGCGTGCTGATACAACACTACGCCGCCGCGCGCGTGTGTGTGTGTATGTGTATACCTAATCTGTAGGGTGTTCACACGATGCGTAATTAATTACATAACTTTTGGTTAACTTTACTTAGAAGTTTATTAATATTTATGTTATATTAATTTTTATTTTGTCATATATGATCGTCAAATATCACGTCCTCAAATATCGATAGTAATTCACCAGTCACCCTGTATATAGTTAACATACTACACTCAAATCCTTACTAATATTATAAATGCGAAAGTAACTCTGTCTGTCTGTCTGTCTGTCTGTTACGCTTTCACGACTAAACCACTGAACTGATTTTAATGAAATTTGGTACAGACAGAGTTGACCTTGAGAAAGAACATAGGATAGTTTTTATCCCAGACTTTTGAAAGGTTCTCTTGGAAACGCGATGTAACCGAACTCCACGCGGGCGAAGCTGCGGACGGAAAGCTAGTCATATATGTATATTTATATTTGACTTATGAAACATTTTTTTTTTCAGCAATAAAATAAAATCCTCATTACAAAATACTTATCATTTAAATATTATTATATTTAATATCTAACCTCGGTCCCTGTATAGTAACCGCGGTCCCTTTCTCATGACATCTCAGTCCCGCGTGCTTCGCGGCCGTTATTAGAGCCTCTCTCGCCCTGCCACAGAAGGCCGGCCTCATGGGTAAATGACAAACCCCACGAGGCCCGCCTACTGTAGCGTCGAAGAATGTACACTTGCGACCCCATGTCCTAGAAAAAACTCATCATTCAATGTATTCACGGTGCGTGTGTCAGGTCCATCGTTGTAGTGAGAGGAGCTTCAACAGTGACTGGGACTTGCGACCCAGGTGTAGGTTTAAGGACCCCCTAAATAACACGTTAAACACTCACCTCCACTGTCCAAGCTCCTCTCTCTACTTAACCAAATATTGCGAATATGTTGGTATAATGTGAATAAGATTATATAAATATTAAATATATTACGATGAAGATTTGAAATTAATTCGAGCAGCAATACAAAATCACTCTAAAATATTCTTCATAATATAAATTACATTGTAATGGTACATGCCACTTTCGTTATAAGGTTGTCTAAGTATTATCGTTGTGTTTTAATTAGAAAAAACACAAACAATGCATTCAAATACAATTACATGAAAAACAATAACAATCAGGTGATAACAAAACTTTTTCGACGTTTGAAATACAGGGGTCTCACTTTTTTTAATTACTAGTCATTATATGTACATACAGAATAATATCAAAACATCCCAAGTTATAAATTTACTTAAAAACCAATAAATCAATAAAAATATTACCTATATTATCTTCCAATTAAAACCTACAACATGCAACTTATATTAAATCTATTTAATATAACAATAAATTAGGTAAAACATAATATAATTTACCTGTCAATGAAATCGTCTAGTATAACAAGATCCCCAGGCTGGTAATTCTCTACAAGCGAGCCAGTAGCGGTAGTTGCCAATATATGTGTACAACCGATTTGCTTCAACGCCCATATATTTGCTCGGTAATTGACATCGCTTTAATAAAAAAATACAATATTACACTAAAATATAATCCCTACTAATATTATAAATGCGAAAGTTACTGTCTGTCTGTCTGTTACACTTTCACGCCTAAACCATTGAACTGATTTTAATGAAATTTGGTACAGAGATGGAGTTGACCTTGAGAAAGAACATAGGATAGTTTTTATCCCAGACTTTTGAAAGGTTCTCTTGGAAACACGATATAACCGAAATCCACGCGGCCGAAGCTGCTGCCGGAAAGCTAGTTAAATATAAATCATATAGAAAGAAAATTATTGTGCAATTTGTCTCGCGCAATGATGCTCCGCCATTTTGAAAATCTTTCCGGAGCGTAATTTACTACTTCTGAATAAATTTTCATTACTTGAACGCTTAATCTAAATTAAAACTAATATAAATATTATTATTATTAATATACCTCGGTTGATACTGATGTTTTCTTCCGTGTCTCGCTAATAGGACGCAAGATACTCCTTTAATAGATCCTTCTAGAAGAACGTCGGAGGGTTTCCCAAATGGAGTGTCAACATCGCGGGGTATTGGATTCTCAAATAGATCAGGGTCATCGAACCCAGAGCCTCCGATTATACCGATCTGTATTATTTATTTAAAATATTAAGAAAATCTACATTATGACTACTAAATATATTAAAATTAGCGCCTGTTCATAATAAAATAATAATAAAGCATTTTACGATTTTTCTCTTACATGAGGGAAGATTTTGTAGTAGCAGATACTTGATGTAACTTGTAAGGTTAAAGCTAAAAAGGTTTGTATTAAGAGCCATACAAAACATTTACAAAAAAATTATTTAGTATTCTTCTATTTTTATTTATACAAATACAGAAATACTATTTAATAGATATTCTGGCAAAACGAAATGTCACCCAGTTGTAAAAATACTGAAACTTATTAATGTTTACAAATAAGAAAATAAGAATCCTTTGTAATTGCTTAAATTCTGCACACTAAAATATTTCAAGTAAAAAAATGAGATATTAAACTTCTTCAGCCAATATTCAACTATATTTTTTAATTATTATTGCTTTAATAAATCAAAATCATAATTAATTAATCAAAGAAAATTAGAAGAATCATCAAATATATCAAATAAAAATAAAATGGTTTCTAAAATAAAATTGTATTTATAACAATATAATTTATTAATCTATTCAACAATATGTTTAATATATCAATCTATTTATTCTCGAGTCCTTGTTGGAATTTCAGTTGTTTTGTAGTTTCGTCGGCTTTCTGTAATGTCTCAGCTATTTTGAAATATTTCTTCGATTGTTCTAGATCTTGTTTTACTCCTTCGCCTTTCTTGTACATGAGACTGACGTTTGCACATGCAAATATATTACCATTCTCGCACCCCTTTTTGGCAAAACCAAAAGCTTGTGTTGGGTCAGGTTTTATTAGGTAGTCTATATTTTTGTTCTTTTCTGGACTATGTGGGTTATATTCAGTAGGATTCCTCGGGACTCCCGTTAAGTACATTCCGGCAAGATAGTGACAAGCCATCGCATCATTTTGATCACAGCTTTTCTTTAAGTAGTTGTAACCTACAATTGAATTATGTAATTAATTTAGATACACAAATTTAATTAATGTTTAGTTGGTTATATAAGGAAATATTAATGGCAACATAGATCACGATTATAAGCACAAATAATTATGAAATATTACGACATAAAAGTTAATGGAGTGGAGTATATGTAGTCTATAAAACAACTACTATTTTACCTTTGGGAACATCTCGTGGAACAGTAACGGCGGGTCCAGTGGCTGTTAAAATCACCCCAGCATGTAAACAAGCCGTAGGATCGTTCAATTCACAACCCTTCTCGAAATACTTCAATGCTTCCTTTGTGTCACTCGTTTCCCTCCCTTTTCCCAACAACGCGTAATTTCCGTACTTTAAACATGATTTCCCGTGATTATAATCATCGCAATTGCTCTTGTAAACCGCCGCCGCTTTTTTGAAATCCTTTTTTATAGCTTCTAAATAATCCCCCAATAGATGACAGACCTCCGGTTTTTTCTCTTTGTAACAACCAAACCTATATTCAATACCGAGGTTTTCGACGTATTCTTTAACTTCCTCTTCCCTTTTGAGGTCGTAAGACATCGTTATATTTTTAATTAACACAAAAAGTATGAGGTTAGATAACACGGGATGCTCAAATCCAATAAGGTGAAATGTCAAAAATGATAAGTCTTATCAACAAGGAGAATCAAAATATGTTTTGTGAAATTTGTAAATTAGTTAATAAAATTGGGTTAAGTATATCAAATGATATTTAAAATTCATACCTTAATATTTCTTTTCTCGGCCATTTTAATAGGAATTAAAGCTAATTGTTATCGGTGGTCTTTGAATAAACTATAAAGTCAATGTCAATGTTTTAAACAGAAACTTTAAGGAGTCAACCACAACAGTTGTAAATACAAGATGTACTGGTTTTAATTTAAAAATTTACTTGTTAATATAGTAATTGATATATTTTTCAAGGATATCTAATTTTCAAATAATCATAGATTATTAATATTTCCAAGTTGTTTATCTACAACAATTGTTTAATGTTCGTATATTTATTGAGTATTAGCCAAAAATATGATTAAGATAGATGATCGTGAAGATTAAACACCTTAATTTAATAAAATTGGATTCGAATTTTTCAATTTTATAGTTAATGTATGAAGTAGTATTATTTGAATTGTTTCGATTGTTTCGAAAGTAAGGAAAAATGCTTCTATTTACTTCTACAACTATTTATAGGATTAATTTCAAAGATTTAAATTAAGAATTTTTAATTTTATCATAACAATGTTAACAGAAAATTTTAGACACTTCATAGTTCATTGATCATTCGTTTTCTCATAGATGTCACAAAAGTCCATACGTCTGACATCTATTTGTATACAAGAGCAGTTCAAATACATCTGTAACCCGCGAAAATATCAAAAACCAGTATTTCCTAGTTTGAATTTTCCATACAATGTTTGCTTTCATTCATAATAAGTTTGTTGATTTTATAACATCATAAAGATGAAGTTTCGTGCTGTAATGGTAGATCCTGGTCCCATGCGAGAGTTAACACGTAATGACGAAAATAATATCGTATTATGTTTAATGGAGACTCGTTACACTCAATAGTGCTAAATTTTTTCAGATATAGTGAACACAATATCAAAATTATCAAAGGAATGTGTTTTAAGATTGTCCGATGACAAAATATATTTCATTGTGAGTGAAGATAATTCAGGGCCGACCCCTCCAGTGTTATGGTGTGAAATATCACAATCTAATTTCTTTTCCGAATACCAAATGATTGGTATCGATGAAGATCATAAAGATATATATCTGGGAATTGTTTCCGGTAGGAATAAACTTAAAGCATAATGGCTGAATAAAAATAAAATCGTAATAAATTCTTTTATTTGCAGCAAGCCTCGCGAAATCATTGGTTACATTGAAGACGGCGAAGATGTTGAAAATAAAACTGACCAAAAAACAGTGTCCGTGTTTAACACTTGACATTGAAATGGTAATTTAATTTCATATATAGATATATTTTTAATTAATGTCTCTAGATCTTAATTTCACATCTTAGATTTATCATATAAATTCATGTTTTAATAATTTTCAAATGAATATCTATATAATATTTAAATGTAACTAATATTGTTTGAAAGTACTACGCGACTTATTTTCGATAAAAACTACACACTCCCGACGTTTAGATTACTTTTCAGCAACCATGATCAGGAACAGACGAGTTTCGTAAAATATCCGAAAAATATTAGTTTCATTTAAATGAATAAGACTAACGAAAATCTTAGATTTCATTTCTATATATTTTCCAGCCATCATCTATATCACAACAGACAAGACAAGTCTCTCATGATATACCAGTTGTAGTTGTACCGAGGAAACTCTGGGGAGAGTTTAACGAGCCAAAAATACCTCAGCCCGATGTGGGTATTACTTATCCTTAATTGCATGAATTTAATAAAAATTAATATTTATAACATATATTAAATGAAAGAAATGTGGTTGTTAATCTCTGATTAAAAAGGTTTCCTATATATAAACTTAATTCTCACAATAAATAAGTTCTTAATTATTACATAATTAATATATTTATTTATGCGTTAATATAATGTGTTTGTTTGTCAGATATCAATAGAATTACCACCATTGAAGCAACTACGGAATACAATTGATAGAATGAAGACGATGTCTTCCGATATAATTATATCGGCATCTGCGGAGGGAAGACTTACATTACAGATTAAAACAGACACAGCTAAAGTATCCACTCGATTTAGAGGGTTAAACGTTGAGAGTTTTGAAGGTAGGTGCCTATAGTATATAACTACATTAAATTTGACATATATGTATTGTATTGATAGCAAGACTGAATGACGGAACTAAATATAATAAAGTGATCTATCTGTTATACTTGACTCATATTAGTATAGTTCTGAGCAAGTATAATTAATACATAACAGTTTGTTTTGAAACATTAATAGAAATAAGTTAAAAAAATTCAATATTTATCAATATAATAAATAGGATATTGTAAGAAAGGAATAAAAGTATTTTCTCTCTAAATAAATTTCATTTAGTCTTAATATTGTTAAAGATATTTCTATGAACATTCGGAATGTAAATTCTAGGTATGTAATAGTAAAATAAGAAATTAAGTTTTTCATAATTATGTAATACTAATGTTTCATTTCCTTTATAGCAAATATAATCAAAGGCTTATTATATAAAAATGACCACTTATATTATAATAATAGTATTTGAAAAACTTAGTTTCATTTAAATGAGTACACAATATAAGTTTATAAAATTAAATTATCCAAAAATATCTCATGAAATTGTGAATAAATTCTGTCATATATCATTATGAATTATTATGTTTTTTCTTCAGAATCATTTTCATTTAATATTTCCAGGTCCCATAGATCATTCAGACTCGGAGACAGAAAGTCAAACATGCGAAGATATATCAAAAATATGTTCATGTAGAATAGATGCTAAGAAATTCTCAATGTTTTTGAACGCTGAACAAATATCACACAATAGAACATTATGCCACATTATACACAAAAGATTAGTCGTCTTGCAGTTACATACTAAAGAGAATGTTGATTTCCAGTGTTTTATTATGGGTATTGTGTATTAATAAGTGATGAGATTAATTTATTTTGTATTTATATTGTAAATAAATATATTTGAAGAGATATAAGCGTTTGCTATGTAATTTTTTTGTAAGCAAAGTTTAAAAGTACTTTCTTTAAGTAATATGGATTCAGTATATATCAATAATATTTATATGTCAAAAGTAGTATTGATTTATGTGAATGTTTGATGTTTAAGCAGCAGAATATAAGTCTATTAATTTGATAACATTTTCATTAAAAACATTTTTAATCAAGTTACTATGAAATACAGCATTAATAAATATATTAAGAGGAGTAAGGAAAAGATCATTTGGATAAATATTTTCTTATTATCTATAACTGAATTCCAAAAAACTTATGTATTTGTTTAAATGTATGTTCATTCCAACATGGCATTGTCATAATTCACTCATATATGGAGTATTGTAAGTTTTCCATTCATATATTATTGTATGAGTAATGCTCAATACTTCATATATAATACTAGCTTCCCGCCCGCAGCTTCGCCCGCGAGGTTTTCGGTTATATCGCGTTCCTAAGAGAACCTTTCAAAAGTCTGGGATAAAAGCTATCCTGTTCTTTCTCAAGGTCAACTCTATCTTTGGATCGAATATCATTAAAATCAGTTCAGTGGTTTATGCGTGAAAGCGTTACAGACAGACAGACAGAGTTACTTTCGCATTTATAATATTAGTAAAAATACAAGCTAATGTAAATAGTTTAGTCAATAGCCGCTAGATGTCGCTGTTTCAAGCCTACTTTCACCTTATATAGAATTTTCTTGTAAGCTATATAATATATTTACATGAAATAAAAAACATTTTAGTCACAACAGAACAGTTTTATTAATCAATCAAATACAATTTTCATTCAAAAGAATATAATTATTTTACATTCATCAATTATTATCATTCCTTATAAATCAGACAGATGTTGCAGTTAAAAAATTATTGAATCTATTTTATTCTCTTTATGAATAGTTTTTTATCATAATTTATTACAAAGTATAAAACTTTAGTATGACAAACTAAATTATGGATTGTATTCCGAGCAACTTGACTTCAATGTTTTCAATCAAACATATAGTTGGGGATAATGTAAATCCTCATATCTGCATATCTACATTGGAAGCAGATTATTAGAAGAAAGTTTAAGCTGAAATATTTTCTATATTAACGAGTTTTAAGGTATTTTTTTCACAATTAGCAATAAATTAAACACAAAATAATTACTAATTGTGATAAAAATACCTTCAAAGCCATTAATACATAATATTTCAGCTCAAACTTTCTTTTTATAATTTCCTTCTAATGTAGATACGCAGATACGATTATTTGCACTATCCCAAACTATATATTATACATATATGTTATATTTATTAATTTAGTTATATGTTAATTGGAATGATCTCTGATTATCTTTCCTCAGCGCGTCGTGCGTCGCTCGCAGTCCGTCTAATTTAGTTGTTATCTGCGCTATTGAACTATCAATCCATTGCATTGAAGACATATGGGCGTTTAGGATACGACCGATTTGTACAATCTGAAAAATATACATAAAATTATAGTAATTACTAGCTTTCCGCCCGCAGCTTCGTCCGCGTGGAGTTCGGTTATATCGCGTTTCCAAGAGAACCTTTCAAGTCTGGGATAAAACTATCCTGTTCTTTCTCAAGGTCAACTCTATGTCTGTACCAAATTTCATTAAAATTAGTTCAGTGGTTTAGGCGTGAAAGCGTAACAGACAGACAGACAGAGTTACTTTCGCATTTATAATATTAGAAGGGATATATTGAGATACAGATATTCATCTATATATGTATATATACAGATAGATATAAAACTATGTCAGTGCTCTGACTATTTTTAGATAATATATATTGCTTAAATTGGATACAAAATACTTTTACTATACTGAAGATTGGGTTAAGGTTAATTAATTTTATAAGGCTGAAATTAGATATAGCACAGATGATTAAAATGAATAATATTTATGTATCTTCTTCTTCCTGACAATTTCCCAGCTTTAGCCAGGGTCTGCCTTACATATTGTGAACAGGTTTGACTAATTGTTTTTACGACCGGCCGCCTGACATCAACCCTCTTTGGGGATGCATTAATCAGTGATGTCTAAATACTCTTAGAAAGTACATATGACTCGGAAAGTTCACATTGGTACTTGCCAGGATCAAACCCATACCCTCGAATAATATACAGGGTGACTGGTGAATTACTATCGATATTTGAGGACGTGATATTTGACGATCATATATGACGAAATAAAAATTAATATAACATAAATATTAATAAACTTCTAAGTAAAGTTAACCAAAAGTTGTGTAATTAATTACGCATCGTATGAACACCCTACAGATTACTCTACACTACACACTCACACATACGCGCGCGGCGGCGTGTTGTTGTATCAGCACGCCGCCGCACGCGTCCACACTAGGAACACTTGGAACGTGTACACACTTTATTTATTTATACGGAAATTTGGTCAAAAATTAAGTACCTATTTTTTTTTACATAATTCGAATGAGAATCATGTACCGAGTATGCTCCTTAAATATTGATAGTAATTCACCAGTCACCCTGTATACATATATATAATGTATATATTTGTAATACTTACTGGATCATTATTATCCGGATTTCTATTAGTCTCATTGAGATGTTCAATCACTTCCTTTAGATCTTCAGACATTTGTCGTAGCTGTGTATCCAAAGTCTCCGCCAAAGAATACCTGCAATATATTAAATTATACAATTATTTTTATACACATAATAGATGTGAATGAAATTATGTTGTATATATCTATAAAGGCACTTAGTATGAAAATTATATAAAGATATACAAATCAGTTGTATAAAGATCATATCTTAAATTTAAAGTTAGGTCTTATACAAACAAATTTATATACAATATTTAGTATTCTTAGACTGTAAAAGTGTATCCAATTACACTTAATTACTAATTATTTTGACTAGCTTATGCCCGCAACTTCATATAGACTTCTGATTAAATTTTATAGATAAATTAATATTACATTCTTATATAAATACATATAACGTAACTAACAGTGCCTATCTACTGTCTTTGTCTCGTGATTTCATACACAATACTTTAAATGAGGTAGTTTTGATTAAAACATTAACCTACATGTTATTGTTATATCTAAGCTACACACTACGTTTGATAGAAATATATTCGCTAGTTTTTATGTTTGCATACATACAGACAGACTTACACATATATAATATAAATATTATATACAACATATATACATACATATGTTCCCTCTCTGGGTCTCTAACCCTTTCATCTACTATATTCTTCTCTAAAGGTGTCAATATATCTTCTAATTCCTTCTGTTGAGCTACAACAAAGTCCAATTCATGTTCTAAACTCTGTTGCTCATTCTTGAGTGTTTCTATAGCATTATTGAGTTCTAAGATCTGAAAAAATATATGTTAATTTATGAATTGATATATGTTAATGATTATTTTAAATATATGGGTATACCTGTGATTTTTATGTAGCTAGGACTATTAATACTATTTAAATATATTCAATATACTTTTTGAAACTATAACTTGTTTTATAGTATATAAATTAAATCTAAAATTGAGTATGACTTCCATATGAGTAAATCAAAATATATTTCAATTGAATTTAATTAAAATATAGACCAACTAAGTATGTAATAGTCATTTGTTTATAAAAATATCAAGTTTCATTGGATGATCATTTGATAAAACGATAATGTACTATAAAAGCAATAATATCTCAAATGAATTAAACTATTATGTTCAATTATCTCTTATTCCTGGCAATTTCCCAGTTATAGCTAGGGACTGCCTTACATGTTGTGAATAGTTTTGGATAATTGTTATTACGGCCGCCTGCCTGACATCAACCCTCTTTGGGAACAACTTATATGTATATTTTACTATACTATTTAAAGTAACTTATATATATAATCTTATTTACCTTTTCTCCATTACTAGCTGATAGTCTATCCCAAGCGTTAAGTGTAGTCGCCTGTCTGTAGAAAACTCTTTCTTGTTCTTCTAAAGATAAACTCCATTTATTGATATTTTCTTGAAGTTCCGCGAAATTTATTGAAGTTATCGCCGCGGGTGGAGCTTGGGAACTAGTGATAAGAAGAAAAACATAATTTAAAATATTTTATATATATAATGTAATAATATATCATTATTTTGTTAGAAATATATTTCTTTGTGATTTAATGAGAATATTAATTTTAATACAAAAATTTCTTAATATTAATTTCTGAATATTAATACAAAAATTTCTAACTTATAGAATTAATAATGTTAAAAGGAAGATAATTGAAATGTTATATATGAGATGAAACCTCTCATCATTCAATGTATTCACGGTGCGTGTGTCGGGTCCATCGTTGTAGTGAGAGGAGCTTCAACAGTGACTGGGACTTGCGACTCAGGTGTAGGTTTAAGGGACCCCTATCTAACGCGTTAAACGCTCACTACCGTACAAGCTCCTCTCTCTACCAAATTTGAAACTAACCTACTTTATATATATATATACATATATAATATATTTAATTGATATTATATATATATTATGCACTACTCACACAGTTGTAGGGGGCATTACACTTGCAGCAGTTTTACCCAACGCCGTTATACCAGATGGGGTCGTTGAAGCTGAAAATTTAAAAATAATAACGTAAAATATATTTAAACATAAGAAAATCTTGTATTATACTACATTATTGTATAATATATACTATTTCACTGTCAATGTGTATTAAATTTGTATATATATTTATTGAATGACATTAGGAATTAATCGTTATTTATGACATTATATGAAAGTAGGTTAAGTATATATATACTAGCTTTCCGCCCGCGTGGAGTTCGGTTATATCGCGTTTCCAAGAGAACCTTTCAAAAGTCTGTGATAAAAACTATCCTATGTTCTTTCTCAAGGTCAACTCTATCTCTGTAGCAAATTTCATTAAAATCAGTTCAGTGGTTTAGTCGTGAAAGCGTAACAAACAGACAGACAGAGTTACTTTCGCATTTATAATATTAAGTAGGTATATATATGTATATAATATGCATGTACATACTTGCTGTTGTTGTTTTGGCGAACGATAAACCACCGGTCAAAGAAATACCACTCGTGGTAGTAGTTCCCAGTGCGCTAGTGGATATTCCCAAACTGCTAGTAGTGATTCCCGCTGTAGCAGTCGATACTCCTAAACTCGATGTTATTCCCAAACCGCTAGTCGATATTCCCGTTCCGCTAGTTGTGAGCCCGAAACCACTGGTCGATATTCCTAAACCACTGGTCGATATTCCTAAACCACTAGTCGATATTCCTAAACCGCTAGTCGATATTCCCGATGCACTAGTGGCTTGTGCAGTAGAAAGACTTGTACTGAAACTTATGGCTTGAGTTGTCTGTGATGTAGATGTTTGGCCGAACATTGATTGTGTTGTTTTTGCTGTAGTAGCCAAACTTTGTGTTGTTTGACCGAATGCTGACGATTGTGTTGTTTGGGCTTGCGTTGTTTGACCAAACGTTGGAGCAGATTGGGAGGTTTGACCGAAAGATAATGATGGTTGTGTTGATTGGCCGAATGCTGGTTGCGCTTGGGAGGTTTGGCCAAATGCCGGTTGTGCTTGAGTAGATTGGCCGAATGCTGGCTGAGCTTGGGAAGTTTGGCCGAATGTTGGCTGTGCTTGGGAGGTTTGGCCGAATGTTGGTTGTGCTTGAGAGGTTTGGCCGAATGCCGGTTGTGCTTGCGTCGTTTGGCCGAACGCTGGCTGATTTTGGCTCTGACTCGACGTTTGTACTGACGCAAAGGCTGGAGTAGTTTGCGTTGTTGTACCAAACGAGATATTAGGCGCTTGAGTTTGGCCGAATTGGCTGGTTTGTTTGGTGAAATTCAAGCCGCCACCGAACGGGCTTGTTTGAGCTTGATTACCGAAGCTTGGTTGACCTGTTGCGAATGATTGATTGCCGAATGTTGATTGTGTTGTAGATTGGGTCTGTGTGGTCGCAGTGAAAGACGATGGAAAGCTTTGGGCTTGTCCGAAAACATTGGCTTGAGTTGTTTGTGTTGCGGGCGCTGGAAATAATATTACAGGTAATTATAAATATACGTGACTTTATAAAAATATGTAGATAATATACATATATAAAGAAAATTTAATGCTATAATTATATAACCTTTTTATAAAGTATAAATTCTTTTGTTTGTATTATTAATTCAAAATTAAGAGTAGTCACTAACCAATTGTGGTTTATTTATCCAAATGTATAATATATGTTTTTGATAGGTTTTCTTTGATATATATTACTCACCAGTGGTAGCGGCAGCTCCGAAACTGTACGGCTTCGAACCGAACTGCCCGAAACCGGCTGTTGGCTGACTAGTCTGTGGGGCACTCGTCTGGAAAACAGAACATTAAGATGATATTATTTGGTTTGAAGAATAGCTATTAATGTAACTTAATAAGAATAGAGAGTAAAGACTATGTGTTTTATATAGAATTATAAACTCTTATAGTTTTCTGCCATTAAAACCATTGAATTTGAACTACACTTCTTGTTTCTTTCTCCAAGGTTCTATCTATGTCTATAACAAAATTCATCAAAATCGGTTCAGTGGTTTAAGCGTTAAAATGTAACAAACAGACAGATAGAGTTATTTTCGCATTTATAATATTAGTATGGATATTAATACAGTTTGTGGTGCCGAGAATCCTGAGGACGGCGTAGTGAAGTTGAACGTAGACAGGGGTGCGAAACTGTTGGACCCGAAACTGGACGCTGGAATATAAACATTTGGGATAAAAAATAAGATCTAAGAATTTGGCGAAGTCATTTAAAAAGATAAGTATAGTATATTTATGTTTATGAGAGCAGGAGATATCAACATTTGGTATTCAAAGCTAAGAATTATATATATGAAGGTAAGAATAGTGATGTAATATAATTTAGATTTTTATGAATATCGTTATAAATACATAATGAGTAATAAAAATCAAAATGTATCGAAATAAAACTAAAAGTTGATTTCAATCAAATTCCTTGAATCATAATTCTAATGAAACAAGTGAATATCAAGAACAGACTGATTCATTATTCTAGGTCGAGGTAAAAAAAAAAAGGTCGAGGTAAGTTCATAACTAGGGCCCGGATAAATATGTAAATACATATTTTTAATTTACGCGATTTTCGATTTAGAATTGCTTTCTACATGGATTGTCATATTTACACTATGAAAAACTAACTTTTATTTTCTATATTTTACCATATTTCAAAGTTAAGTCCATATTTTACAAGAAAATCCATATATTCACAAAAATACATAAAATTTATGTTCCCGCCACTAATGTTTTGGATAAAAATGAAGGATTTAATACAAAAAAAAAAATGAAAAAAATTCTGTGAGGAAGTTTCGAGGGCTGTAGTCATGGCTTACACAATTACTGAATTAAGCATGTTTAAGTATGCACCCAATACGTCATGTGACGTGGAGAGATCATTCAGCAGATATAAGGCTATATTTCAACCAAATGGTCAGTTTTCATTTTGATAATTTAAAGAAGCACGTCATTGTGTATTGCAATTTGATAAAGCTAGTGTAATGGAAGTTGAATAAAACTGTTATTTTTTGTTGAAATAAATATTTCGCTATTTTTTTCATAGTTTTTTAAATGTAACTTAACGATGTACGTCACGAGTGACCCTTTTCTTATAGTAAAACAATGTTTAATTATGAAAGTATTTTATTTTATACTCCATATTTTTTCCAATTTTTGATTTTTTCGTCCATATTTTATGTACATATTTTAGATTTTTTAATACATATTTTTCCGGGCCCTATTCATAACCATTGTTACACATTTAGCAGCAGAGATGGCGCTACTAGTATTTAAATTTTAAATTATACATATTTTGATAGATTTAGCAACAATATTTAAATAATTACCTCATATAAATGATAGTCGAAATGATTACTAACATAATAATATAGACGTAATTCAAAGATTTAGTAGACTCTAACTGGAAATTATATTTAATGATTAATAAGCAGTTAATCATTATTTGTTAACATTTTTGTGTGTGTGTGTGTGTGTGTGTATATGTGTGTATGTATGTATGTTTGTCATTCCACTAACCCTGCGTCGTGTTCGTCCCAAACGCCGGTGTGGGTGTGAATGCTGGCTTCTGTTCCGCATTAGTCTGTGGGTAAAGAATTACATATATATTTTTCATGATTCATCTCTATTTAAAATAATTTAAAAAGTATACTACATATAAAGTCATTGATATTGATGAAGCATGATAAGTTAAAAGTAAAAAAGATAAAAATAAATAAATAAAAAACCTTTTATTTCATGCAGCAGTTACAAAGGAGAATGATAAAAAAAAAAATACGACATACATTTTAAGAAGATGAGAATTTGAACCTTTACTTTCACTTGAGAAGGGGTTTCATGGAAGAATTAATCAATATACATTAATTTAATTAATACAGTAAAATTTAATTGAATTAATATTTAATATATACTCACTGTTTGGGGTGATCCGAATCCTGGTGAACCAACGGTTTGTACCGGAGGTGATGTGAAGCCCCCAAACGATAAAGGCTTGCTCACACCAAATGTTGTACTTGTTGTTGGCGTTGAAGCAACTGTGAATTAAATATATAATTATATAATAGTTATATGTTACGTGTCTATTTTTCTTTGAAATGTGTTTAAGACAACATATTGATTTTAGGATTTCTTGTTTAATAAATAAATAAAAATAAAATAAACAATAAAAAAAATATATAGTCAGTGGTGGCCTAGTAGTTAAAAGGCCCGCCTCTCATGCACAAGGCCGCGGGTTCGATGCTGGCCCTGGCAAGTACCAATGTGATTTTTCCGAGTCATATGTACTTTCTAAGAGTATTTAGAAATCACTGATTAATGCATTCCCAGAAGCTTGATGTCAGGCAGGCGGTGTCGTTAAAACAAATAGCCAAAAATATCACAACATGTAAGGCAGACTCTGGCTATAGCTGGGAAATTGCCAGGTAGAAGAAGTTATGCTTGCTCTGTATTGTTAAAAAAATATGATGTCAAGTGTAATGTAAGTAGATTAATTTATTATATTAGTTGCTGTCATTCAGTTTGCTAATTAGTATAATTAATAGTTTTATTGAATATTACAACAATAAATATGGATGTATGTTGTTATGTTACATATTATATAGAGCAGATTTTGATGAAACTCTACATCAAATTTAGTGTACCACCCGTAAGACAACACAATATCATACAAATGCTTTTTAACAAACTAGACATTTATTTCTGAGCTCTAATATAAATTTTCAATTAGTCAAAGTAATGGAAATAATGTATATCTTTAATAATTGTGAAGTGTTTTTTTCATGTATGATCTTAATTATGCAAAGACTATAGTGAACTTGAGTTATTGAAAATTAATGAAATAAATAAGAGCATAGGCACATTTTTATAAAGTGTATATTTAAGATTATTTAATCATTTATTATGAATTAAACATAGAATGAACAAAACTGTTGTATGAATAGAAATAAATATTTGTTACAACATAAATAAAAGGGTTGAGGTTTGTGAATAAATTTGCATGATAAAAGAGTTATGTTATGGAAAAAGGCTGAAAAACATACATACCTGTTTATAATTTTATAAAAATTTTAGAGGTTTATAGTAAAAATTACAAATAGTTATGGTTTAAGACATTTGCACTTTGTCATATAGTATAAAAATAACTACACAATACATTATTTCTTTCCATGATGTATCTATGATATATTTTATTAATGTACATATACTAACATACATATATACTAAAAATAGTTTCCATATAATTCTTGACATATAAAATCTAGTAAAGAGGTTTTATTTGTCAATATTATAAGTTACTTACATAAGTTTGTCGAGGCTGTTGTTTTTGCTCCGATTGAGAAACCGAAGGCCGGTGTACTACTGGCAGGGCTGCCGAAAATACTGGGTTTGTTTTCTGTGTAAATTTAAATTTTCATTTATGTATCATATATAGATAACTTACAAGTAATGTGACTTACATAGTGTATGGTATGTATGCAGTCAAATATATTGTGGAAAGACTTGATCATTTTTAAAAGATGTTACATTTATAATTATTTTCTTAATAAGAAAATTTGTTAAGTGTTTGCTACTTAAATTTAATTATTTAGTTATGAAAATAAATAAGATGTAATAATATACACGAATGCTATCGAAGTCACTAAACGGTTATGATTTTCAGAGTGATAAATTAATGGTTATTAATTCTTTGTACTTACACAATCTTTTTAACAAGCTTATTATAATTATTCCATTTTATGTTTCAATATTTAATTTACCTGTAGTTGTTTTCGTATCACCACCACCAAAAAGAGATCCTGTAATGAAATATTTGTAGTTTTTAATTCAACAAGGTTTCTCTAAGGTTGTATGTTATGTAGAACTTTATGTGAATGCTACTTTAAAACTATCGTATTCCGAAGCAAATATAATAATTATAAATTTTTATACAATTTAAATAAGTTGCAAACATTACAAATTTAATGTAATAAGCGTAACAATCGGAAAATAAATATTAAGAGGTTACCTGACGATGTACTGGAGCCAAAAGTGCTCGCAGTAGTTGTAGTCGCCGGTTTAAACATAAAACTCATTTTGTCCAATTAAATCTACACTTTCGAATATTAAGTTATTATATCAACACTTTTATAGTGTAATTAAGCAATATTTTCTATACAGTAAACTTGATGTCAACAAATAACACCGATTCGCGGTATCTGCCAACGGCCGTCTAGTCGATGTTGCCACTTCAAGGTTCTAAATTGAATTGAATATAAATTTTGTATATTATAAATTTATAGATATTTAAATGTAGTTAAATAAAAATTAATATGATTAAAATATTGATATGAGAGTAAGCATTTTTTTGCCTTAAGTATAAAAAGTATGCACTGCCATCTGTTAGGAAATTAAAATCTATTTTTCAGTACTCTACGTTTGCCCCTATCGACATATTATGTCGATGTTTACCCCTATGTTTAATACTTTGAGATAAAAAATATAGAGAGCGTTAATAAAAATGTTCGTCTCAGATTTAGGGTTGTTCGGCAATAATTGTGGCTTTGTTTAAATTATGTATCAATGAATTAGAGACAATACGTGGAGCTCTTATTTGCAAATGTATTTATATTCTTGTAATAAGTTTAAATAAAAAGGCCACTGTTGTTTCCCTCTTGCCATAGTACTTATAGAAGATTATAATTGTTCATTTAAGTCGTCGATAAGTAAGATTCTCCGTATTTTAGAGGAGCAAAGATATAACAGTCAAGTATGAATAATTACTATCTCAAACCACAACTCAACACAAGCCTTGTAATGTCAAAATTCCATAATGACTATCTATGAAAAGAGGTTTCATTTTTAAGCATTTAGTCATTGTAAATCCTGTAACTGTTTTTTGTTACTATTATTAAATATTTAGCCAGAAGCTGCTACTGACAGGAATAAGAGTTTTTCAATCCTCCCAAATACTAACTACATGCTCTTTAAGTATTTTAGGGTCAAGTATTTAAATTTATGCTTATTCAAAATTAAGTGGATTCTTGTTAATTTTATAACAATAAAATAATGCAATCGCTTTCTTTCTGCGAGGCTTTCATATCAACGAATTGTAAATCTACAGGTGTTTATTTTTTGACTAATTTAAGACGCAGATACACAAAAAATCAATTTATTAATCCTGAATAGAGTTCAACTTTAACGACACCAGCATTAGAAGAACACGATTTGAATAAACATGTCTGTATCATCAAATTGTTGTAGACAGAATTGGAGACAGGGAACAACTGTCTAGCACTTTGTTCATTGTTCAAGAGTGGAGTTTTTCAAGAACCTGCCTTGAAGTACGAAGGTGTCTCGTTACTGAGCCAAGCGCGTGAAGAGCCCGTTTCATGGTTTTGGAAGATCTGAAATATGTCAAACCGTTCCTCTTACAACACAAAACAAAACAAAAGTCATGTCACGACTCACGTTGCGAACTAGGCACGTTTTGCAATAGTGTTACAACTGTATTTAAAAGAGCAGAATAATAAGAAACAATTTTAATATATGTATGATAGTTGATTTAACAGACATTTTTTAGATATATGGATATGGATTGGTATATGGATTGGTATATTCGTGAATGACTTGTTTTTGCAACAATTAGTACCTAATGATTATTAAGAGAACATGTTTTCATAGTCATTATATAGTAAGGTACCTAATGTTGAAGCAAAAAATTCCTTTCATATACCATACTTAACAGAATCCAACATACTAAAATCTTTAATTATCAGGCATCAATTTACTTATATAGAGTATTTAATTTTATTTTCCTTTTTTTGTATACAAGTGATAAGTGTTACTCTGTTTTTATTTTGTTTGTTTTGTAGTGGTGTCATCTTTTAACCAATAAAATTTATAATTATTATTAATTTCAATATACATTTTATAACAAACAATAACGAAATATCTCAATTTAAGATTCAATGTTTATTTGCCGTCATTATTTTATCAGAGTTAAAATGTCGGCCTGGCGTGTTGCCAGTGTTGCCAGTCTCACCCGATAGTATATCATTGGCCCGTTCATTTAATGCTAACGATGTGTAAACGACCGAGTTGCTTTAAACTTTTTTATTCATTTATATATAACGTAAAAACGTCACGCAAAATATATATAAGTTTAGAATTAAACTAAAATATATTTAAGGTATCTTAAATAATACAAATAACGTTAAATAAATTCACAAACAAAAAAAGTTTTTAATACATATTCTGCTAACACGGCGAGTGTTTGGATAGTTGTGATTTACAAAATGCGTTTATTATATGTAATTTGAATGACAACAATTAATTCAGGTACATTTAGACAATGTTATATCTAGATCTCGGGACGAAAGGTACTGGGTTCGAATCAGGGCTCAATAATAACTGGACATTGACGTTAGCTCGTCTCCATCGGTTCCACATAACGTAATGGTCTTTCCATAAGAAGTATACAGTCACAGTGTAACCACAGAGAACAATACCCATGAAAAAATCCATGGCCGTTTCTGTTATGCGATGTGATAATCCTGAAAAAAAATATTATCTATGACTTTTATGACAATTAATGACAAGTTTAGTATATTGTGTCAAATGTTCTAATGTTCATATTTGATATTTTTCATCTGTAAACACTGAATTTATCCATTTGTATAAATCTTAACATTTTATTAGTCTAACTTTAGAAATAAGAAAAATAAAGATACAAGCCTTGATACAAAATTAAAAAAAAACAAAAAAACATCGCACCTTCGTTCCTAGCCGCGTCGAGCTTACCAAAATTGTTACCCTCAATCATAAAGTACTGCGTGCCCACGATGCATACAGCCAGTAGGCCGGCGGTGACCGTGGATAGAAGCCAAAAAATCAGACAATCGGTCTACAAACAGAAAACATTTATTTACAATAACATCACGTTGAGCAAACTGTGATGGTACGTTCGAAAACTTAATTGGATCCGGCGTTCCCGAACGAAGCTTTATTTGATACAGATCCAAAATTGTACATGCTTTATTTAGTCTTTATTTTTAACTTTATACAAGAAATTTATTCTATTGAATTGTTCGACTGTAAAAAAGCTGATTATAAATAGTGCTTTTTTATTTAGTATTTTATACAATAAGCATTTAATTCAATATTATCATTATTTAAGTTTTGGCTTAACATTTCGTAAACATTCAAAAACAATATTTGACATGTTAAAACAAATATTAGATTTAGAACTAAGTTTTCACGTCTCATTAATATAAAAGTATATTCGTCCTAAGCTAAGCATTGTTTTATAATTTTATCATACATTACAATAAATGTAAATTTCATGAGAATTTCAAATACTCCGCTAATATAATAAACGACACAAATTCAATATGGCGTCGTGTTGTCAAACGTCAGCCATCTTTAGCATGTGACGTGGCCTTGTGGTCACGATGAAATATGGTTAGCGAAATACATTTTGAGAATTCATGTTTGTTTTACCTTATGAAATTAAACATCGGTCTCATATGTTTGTTCTAAAATGCAAATATATCAAGCTAAAATATAAATGTACATTGTTATTATATTGTATTTGAATAAAACTAATATTTTCGGATGTACTAACGTTTTTTATTATTTTAAACTACATACTCTCGACGTTTTGGTTACTTTTCAGCAACCGTGATCACGGAAATAAAAGATTTGATGATTGATTAGATGCGATTGTAACTACTTAAGCACCAACTTAAAGAAAATTGGTAAATTAAAAATAGATAAGTACGGATACTTTTAAAAAATAATCTACTAATTGGCTGATTAAATTTGTCTGTTTTTTTTTCCCTTAAAAACATTATTTCGAATATAGCGAAAAATATTATAGTTTCTAGCTGTTATTAGCCTAATTAAAATAATTTTATTCATATACAGAAGTGCATATTATATTTCTTTAATAAACTTTTCAAACACGACGCAAAATGTTATACAAACAGATTAAAAATTATCTTTTTTTAATGATTAAATTCTATCAAAAAGCGACAACCAAATTTTCCAGCATAAATTGTTTTAATAAATTTGAAATGTCAGTTGTGTGAAAAATGATGTTTTTTAACAAACTTTTTTAATAGTTACTTTATAAAATCTTTTAGAAATGATAATCCATTTTGAACCTTATAAAATGTTGATATAGTATTTTATTTAAACTTTATCTATAATGAAACCTATTTATATTTAAAAAACATGACATCTATGTTAATTCTCGTTGAAAATGACATTTCGCTTTAAGAATACTGACATATTTAAGTAAACATATGCTCGTAAGTTTCGATGGAAATTTAAACAACTGATTTTAAAAGTATCTGAAAAGTGGGATTTGTATTTTGAGGAATTCATTTCACTTTATCTAGCTAGAGTTTTATACAGTTTTATAGCTATAAAACTGTTTTCGTTTTGTTATTTCGAAAATTTAACAAGATCCAAAACTTGCACAGTATATTACTAAATACAGATTTCGTGCTTATTTATAAAAATGGTTATATTAAATATTTTATAATACTTTCAGAACAGGCTTGAGAATATTGAATCATTTCAACAATTAAAATTTTATTTAAAATTGGTTTTTTCGACGTTACTCGGAGAAGAACTACAGACTATAAAAATATCACACATTTAAAAAATAAAACAATCCATTTTATTAAACATTAAAGCTTTATACATGATACACTTGCCTAATAAAAATACGCAAAATAAAAAAAAATACGAGCGTAACAAAATGTCATTAATTCCATAATGATTAAGTACTTTATTGGCATAAAATTTAAACGAATTTAGAGCAGTAATTCAAAATATTATAAAAAAACTTGTATATATATCAAATCATAATATACGTGAAGATTTATCTAAAACGGTCCCCGACATAAACAAACGTTCGACGCAAATGGGCCTTTTAAAGCGAAAGGCCGATTGGATTGGGTGCAATTTTTTTTTGTGCGGGGGAAAAAAATTCCAAAGACGCATTGCCGGTTGCCAATGGGCCGGAATTCGGTGCTACATTTTTATAGCTTACGGCATATTGGACGTTTTTTTAAAGAAAATACATTTTCATTTAATTATACGATAGATATAGAACATGAGGATTCATATAGAGGATATTACAATTATTACTTTTAGTCTAAATCCCATATTTATATATGAATCTCTACTAATATTATAAATGCGAAAGTAACTCTGTCTGTCTGTCTGTATGTCTGTTACGCTTTCATGCCTAAACCACTGAACTGATTTTAATGAAATTTGGTCCAGATATAGAGCTGACCTTGAGAAAGAAAATAGGATAGTTTTTATCCCAGACTTTTGAAAGGTTCTCTTGGAAACGCGATATAACCGAACTCCACGCGGGCGAAGCCGCGGACGGAAAGCTAGTTAGTTGATAATTACGAGTACAAATTACTGACAGCCATTTTTAAAGCAGTTGAATGTATACGAAGTATGCAAACTAATTGAATACGAGAAATTTTGGATGAATAATGTATTTAGAATTTACCTGAAGATGACTTCTATTCCGTGGGTTGCAGAACCAAAGCCTCAAAGCTTGTAGTACGGTGTACCTTGGCGTACGGATGGCTGGGTAGCTGAAATAAACCGCTAATTTGAAACCATTACAACCATTCAACTACACGAACTAGATAACCATTCAGCAATGATTGCGACCAAATCGTCTGTTGGAATAAAATCGTCGGAAATCGTCGGGAATATTTTCAATTTTCGTCTAAAAACACTTCGTTTCTCTGGTTATCGTTGTAATATAAGATTTTTAATCTATATATAAAAGAAAGTCGTTTTAGTTACACCATTTATAACTCAAGAATAGCTGTACGGTTTTGGTTGAAAATTTGTTTGTAAGTAGGTTGGAATCAGGAGACGGACATAGGATACTTTTGATTTCGTTCGAAAACAAAAATTGCTGATAAAATCCAAAATCTGTTTATTTGCTGCCTCTAAATAAAACAGTTCGCCTGGTCAGCTATACATTTCTAATTATGAAACTAACGCAAACAAAGACTCGTGTAAAAGCTAGTGTTTTTATGTTTATAAAACATCATTTATATAGCTTGTAATGAACATATATTAGTGTCTAGTTTGTTGCGCTTGATAGATGAGTGAACGAGGCAAGCTGGGGGACGCAATTAGTGTTGTAGCGACATAGTAATTTGAAAGCGTTCGAGCGAGACTAATCTATTGCGGTTTGTTGACAGAGATCATTTTGGATATTAAGATGGAATGAGTTTAAAAAATGTACATATATATGGGTTTTATAAGTTTTCCTATATAAATATACTGTTTTTTGTTAATTTTCTATACTCAATAATTGTTTTATTTGAGAATTCTTTAAGGATCTTTAGTCGTTTTTTGATGAAAACATAGTTTTCTTTCATTAAAAGTGTATATTAGTTATCTCGAGAAACAATTGGGTTTTTGAAAAAAAAAAAAGTATTGATTTTTTTTATGTATTTTAAAACTTTATTATTAATTATATTGGATTTTTAATGCAAAAAACTTGAAATATATTTTTTAAATTAATTATAAACAATTAAAAATTGATAAAATTCAAAAATATATCACGTGACTGTAAACGCGCCATGATTGGTCAGCATACTTGTGACGTCATAATGTTAAAGCAATTTCATAATAGTACAGTGTTTATGGCTATTATCTTTAACTTGATAAAAATATCTCAAATTTATTAGTGAAAAACGATTTGAAAAGTTTATTTCGACTATGTGTGATAAAGGATTTATAAAAGCAAAATCGGATAATATTCCTGATGTTAATATATTTTTATGATAACTAATTTTTTAAAAAGTGCGGTTTAATTTTGCTGAAGTTCGAGGTGCTAGGACATCAAGGTAAGTCTGTCAAAAAATACTATTCTAAATGAAAATTAGTATTTATTCTCTATTAAATATAATTAATAATTATTTCATTAAATCATTATTAATAAAATGTTATTATAACATTATAAAAAAACCAAAATAACATATATGTACTTTAAAAATTTAAATGTAGTCTGATACAGAACCTAGAATGTTATAAAATTATGAAAATATCTATTAATTGAAGTCCAATTATTAGACAAACATATATATAGATTTACTATTTAATAGCTTTGAATTATCAATTAAAATTTTTTAATGCTACGATTCTAAAGGTTATGATTTGGAGCCCAGGTAAAAAAATTAATTATTGAACTATACTTATTCGATTTATACACTTAGATAAATAATAATTAATAACAATACTATTATGAAAACTTACAACGAAATGATCTTCACAACAAAAAAAAATGATTTTGTTTTTGAATAATCTCGATGCACTGCTTGAAACCATTTCTTTCGACGTTTTTCGTCTTGTGAAACATTTAAAAACATTTTTTCAGGAGTTGTTTTTGTAGTCTTTGTACATAATGGTACAAAACTTTTGATTATTTAACAATGCCAACAGAATTTACTAGATAAAAACTCAAAACACTGTACTAATTATTATATCTCTGTATGCTACAATGAGCAAAAACTAACATTGTGACGTCACACGCGCTCGGGTTTATTCACGAGCTGTCGGCTTGTCTTCGGTACTGAATTTAAAATTTAATTTTTATTTTGAAATAACTTTTTAAATATTGCAAAAAAAAATAAAATAAAAATAGTTTTGTTATTAAACTTATATATGATCTTTCCATTTATCACAAAAAAAATAATAATTCAAAAACCCAATTCTGAAATAAATAATTTGTTGTGTGACCATATATGTACGTACAGACACAAATATGTAATGTTCAAGATTTTCTAATATGTGATAAACTATTTGTTTACAAAACCTGAAAGAAATCGCTAATAATGGATAAACTCGGCTTTTGTATTTCTATATTTTCTTTTTTTATCATTCTGTATTTATTTTATGTACCATATACCATGGTAAAGAATTTTCTATGCTATTCTACCAACTTAAACTAAATTCTACAATTTATTAGTTGGCCAATAGCTTTCTAGTACTCATGATTTGAAAAATGTTGTATAAAGAATTTAACTGTCGTAAATCAATAACATATTTCTGTGCTGAGATTAAGGGTTAAGCAAAAGGTAAACTCTCGAAACCACTGCAAAAAGGACAAAAACATAATATGTATTGACAAATATAAAACACTACGTAAATGCTCAAAACATGGCTTTAAATTAAACCTCCTTTCTCCCAAACTCTTTTGTTTTTTCTTTAGTTTATTTACGTTTACAAGTCGGGAGTCTCCTTTCAACAGACCGTCGTATTCCCGATGCAGTAAACCGAGCATTCAAATAGCAATCGTTTAAAGATGTTCTGACGACAGAGTTAAATTGTAGGAATAAATGTTGGAAATTCTGTCTAGGAAGTTTCAGTACGTATCTATCGTTCTGAAACAGGAGGATGCTACTTACTTATTATTCTGTCTGCTTTTAACTTAAGACTTTCTATTTAATTTAACTTTTAAATATTATTATAGTGAAAAATTAAATAATTTTAATAATCACTAAGAGCCAATAAACGGCTTCCACGATGGAAGTCAAATAAATTGTTATTTTATTTATGTTAAAGCTTTCTTGTAATATCGTCTGTACGAGAAAATACGTATGAAAATAAAATGTCTACTCGTGTTTGTGAAAATATTGTTAGACATTTTGTGAGATTAAGTCCTCAGAGAGAAATTTATACTAAATATTAAAATAATAGATATTGTTTTTAAACATCAGCAATATTGTAATAGAACTGTTATATATAAATTTTGCGATAACTAAATAGAATTTTGAGATAAACTATAGCCTGTCTTTTTTTCGTGTAAGCTATATTATGCTAAAATTTCATCAAATTCCTTTTAGAAATATTGAAGTTAAAGAACAATAAACATCCATATATCTTCACAAGTTACGAATTTATTATATTATTTATTTCTTTGTTAAAAATGATAACATTTTTAACATATAATAACAATTAAGTGTAAGGATTAATAAAATTTAAGATTTCATCACTGACATGAACCAATTTTTGACATGAAATGTATTTTTGTATAAGGAAGAAAAAAAAATCGCTAAATTTCATAAGCAACTATATGAAAAGATTATAAGTTTAAATAATAATAAATAAATAAATTTGACATAAAGTTTGAAGTTGACATAATTCAATTTGACAAAGACAACCAATATGAATGACAATTGGGTAGCGAAATATCAATTGATTATTATTGACATTCAATTATTACAAAATCGAATGGTGAAGTATGATAAACGTCCATTGAAGCATTTACAGCACTCGCTAATCGGATTGTAGTTTATAATTTTACATTCGTTTATTAATTACACCGGAATCATTTCATTTAACTCTGCAAATATTTGATTTGTTTTAATCGGTTTAAAATATCAATCTTTTGTTGCTTTATTTTAATTTGTTATTTTATTTTGACGCTTTAATGTCCAAATTTTTACATTTGACTTATCACCTGTAGAATGTATATGTGATCTTTATTATACTTAAAAAGTGTTTCAAGCTTTCGTACAATTTTTTAAGGGTTTATTTAGAATATAATATAAATAAGGTTTCTTGTTATTTGTCTTTATATACACGGAATAGGTTAATAATCAATATTTTAGTCTAAATTAAACTTCTCTTTGATTATCATTAAATTAAACTTTGAATTCCTTACAATCATTAAATTAGTATTTAGAGAATATAATTAATAACAATCTATTTAAATAAACATTATAAAATATAAATTAATAAAACATAATTCAAATAGAAAATCGTTAATGAAAAATTAAACTATAGGAGCCAAATTGGGAGCAATTTTGATAACATCGTTTTTCCATAAGGTAATTATGTTTAATTACAAATATACGGCTATATATTTATTAATCATTCCATATATTTTATTTGAAATTTACTTGCAAGCATATTTATATTATTTTTAGTATCTTAACTCCTTAGAACGCGTGAGTTATTTATCTAAATAATGAAGTAAAATCAAATTGTAATATAGCTTACCTAAAACCACAGAGCTCACAATGATTCCTTCCGACCTGGTTTAGCCAGCGCTGGAGGCAAGACAGATGTACATTGGCCAATGATCCTTTGCAGTTACAAGGAGATATTAATCTGTGAAGAAATTACAGTTTATTGAAACTATTTGCATATTAATTAGCTTCAAATTTCCCGTATTTTTTTTCCTTATAGAATCTTTTGATGGTATTTTAATATTGTTTTAATTTAAGAGCCTTGAGTATACGAAAAATAGTTTCAGATGAAAATTAAATCGAATTCGGAAAGCGGACAATGTCAAAACTCAAAATATGAGCAGTTTTTTTATAAATTCTTTTGATATAATTTTTAATATTACTTTTATTTAAAAAAGACATTAATAGTAAATGTTCGTAATATTGTTTCAGAAGAAAAATAAATCGAAATCTACAGCTAATAATGTCAGAAGTCAGAATATGTACGCAAATATTTAGAGACAGGCCATGAGTACACGCTAAACACATAGGTCTCAACAACAGATTGCGTTAACGTGCCTTCAAATGAACTCGGAGCACTTTGAAAATGGCAATTTCGAGCTCATTCGACGAATATTGGGCGAGCTTCCGTGTTTTGATAATTATGGATGTGAATCTGGTATTTTGGTCTTTGAGCAAATGAGGGAAGCAATGTTTTAGCTTATATACGCCAAAATTAAAGGGATATACAATGTACTAGCTTTCCGCCCGCAGCTTCGCCTGCATGGAGTTCTGTTATATCGCGTTTCCCAGAGAACCTTTTGAAAAGTCTGGCATAAAAACTATCCTATGTTCTTTTTCAAGGTCAACTCTATATCTGTACCAAATTTCATTAAAAACAGTTCAGTGGTTTAGGCGTGAAAGCGTAACAAACAGACAGACAGACAGACGGACAGACAGAGTTACTTTCGCATTTATAATATTAGTAGGAATATATGTATGTACCTCTCTTTGCCCCTCGTCATACAAATTCTACACACGTTTGATCCAATGCTCGATAAGGAGTCTCTTTGAGCCAATAAATCAGACTTTTCTGATAGATTTCCTGAGTTCTTCTTCCTACTTTCAGGCGCTTTATTCGATCTGGAGTCTTGGGTAACAACTACGTCATTTATATCTGCCTTATTCAGGCTCACATTCGGAATGCTATGGACTAAATCATTCGTTATACCACTGATAGCGGTATGAACATTCACGTTGGCTATTTCATTCGTATCTTTGCTTATTTTGAAGCAGGACGCCATAAGTTTTTTCAGTTCTATAAATGTTATTGTGTCATCTTTATCATCGTTTTTATCTAGCATTGGTATTTTAAGTTCTCTGTCCGTTGTTTGATTTTGGTTGCCGAAACTTAATGACGTTATTTTTAATGCGTTAGCTACATCTGCACTTGTGATGTAAGGTTTGATACTGTGCTCGGATTTGGATCTTCCTGTAATAACGTTCCTCGGACTATGTTGTATAGCTCCTGGTAGATTTACTATTCTTGATGGCCCAGCGTCTTGAGTGTTATTGATGATTTTATCTCTAGTTTTGTTCTCTTCTTTCGGCGATTCATCCTTATTAGATTTCTCTTTTTCTTCCATCAAGAAGTTGGTGTCATTTGTGTTTTTTTTGAAATTAATATATTTATAAAATAAATCTTTTAATAATGTCTTAATCTTGACAGCTAGGATTTCACAGTCTTTGTGACGGAAGGGTTTTTTATTGTTTCGTATTTATATGTAAGGAGTTTTCAATTATTTATACATTACTATTGTCTTAAACTCAAAAAATATAAATACCTTAAGATATCAACCAACTAATTTCACCATAAGACATTCAATTACAAACGCGTATGATATACCGTAAAAAATTATTATGTATTCATAATAATATTTTCGCTAAACTCAAAACATTTCAGCATCCATATTAATAGATCATACATATAAAGTATTAAATGGAAAAAATACAAAGCAAACAGATTATTACAATAAAAAAGTGAAAATTTATATCAACTGTCACAGAAACATGGCGGCTCATAACGTTTTAAGAGCCAGTAAAATTCGAAATTATTCTTTTATGCCGTAATTACTCATCATTACAGATCGTAAAACATTAATAAATTTTTATATGGAACATGAAAAAAATTAAAAACATCCGATTAAAAATTTTATATAGGTCATGACATAGATGCTTGAAGTTTTAAGAGTATTATAAGTAGTTTATCTATTTTCGTTTGACTATATTTGATTTCGTTGAAACACTTCAAGACTTCTTCTTCTTCTGCCTGGCAATTTCCCAGCTTTAGCCAGGGTCTGCCTTACAGGTTGTGAATAGTTTTGGCTATTTATTTTTACGACCACCGTCTGCCTGACATCATACCTCTTTAAGAATGAATTAATTGAAATTGAGTACATTTGTAAATTATGAGATCTAAGACTTTCGTGAGTTTTATTCATTTAAATGAAACTAATATTTTTCGGTTTTACTACGCGAATTTATTTTTATAAAACCATTTTTCACATGTCGTCTGCCCGTGATCATGGTTGCTGAAAACTACATATCCGAAACGTATTTTTATTTAGTATGTAGTTTTTTTCACAAAAATAAAGTCATGTAGTATATCCGAAAAATATTAGTTTTATTTAAATTTTTAAATTACGTTAATATATGTATAATTTTAATATGTTTTTGATATAAATAATTATTTTTATAGCAATAATTAAGTCGACACTTAACTTTTCCTTTTAAGCAAGCGAAATATTTTAATTAGGCTGTCCGAAATCAAGTCACGACTCGCTGGGGAAATTATTGACAGGTTTATGCATTAGGACACAATGTTTAAATTAGTTTTTTTGTCTTTTGCCTTGATAGTTTTTACAGCGTCTCCGAGAGGAATTTAATAAGTTAATTTATTGAATATAATACGAAAAACAAATAAACGTATGATTGTTCTGAAATTATATATAATTAAGGCATATTATGACAATTAACAATATACATAGTTGAATATTAAAAAAATATATATACAGTATTTATATATGTATAAGGTAAATAATTTTTTGGCATGTGTATAATATTGTTTATTGCACTACTTATGTATATGATCTTTATATATATAGTTTTTGATTATATTAAAAATAACGTATGAAAAATAAAAGTAGTACATTATTATTGCATAACGCCATCCCTAGTTATGGGCCGATGAATTTTTGACAACATAACAGCGTATGGTACACCGTGAAATTTGCAATTAAAGGTGTTACCTTTGTCAAAATTTTTATGCTTCGCGTGTTATTCTAAAATAACCACACTTTAATGAGGTCCAGTGACCGATTTTATGTATAATAAATATGTTTTTCCATATTTATATGAAATATTTTCTCATTAATATGTCTTTTTTATGATTTATACTAATTTGAAAATCTTTAATGTCAGAATCTCCGTAATTATTTTTGAATTAAACAATTATGTCGGGCGGCAACTGGAGGTTCCAGGAAATCTACGAAACTTACTTATATGTATATTATAATGAGAATTACATATTAAAACTTATAACCTATACCTAAGACTACATGATTGCCACGATGTTAGGATAGTAATACCATTCCATAGCTTGTGTGGTATCAGGAATCTTCTGGTTCACACGGATTGGTGTTCGTTCCGCGGAGTAAGCTGCATCAATCGTTATATGAAATGTTCTCCATACAACAATGTAGCCCCGGCGATGTTCAATTATCTTTAAGATATTTTAAAGTTTCGTACATTAACAGTGAGTTGATTTGGTCAATTGGTTGAGTTCAAATCTTTTAACATACATAAATAGAACTTTTCCTTGAAAACTTCCTTTGAAATTAACTGAAATTTCCTTGCTAATGTAATTCCATGCATTAAACTGTTTCTTGTGCTCTTGACTACAATACGTGAGAGGATGTTTGGCCTGTTGCCAAACTAACAAGCGTATTTTGTACTTAATTCTACCAATTGCCTGTATAATTGGTTGCTATGAGAATTTAAATTGGCACTCTGCTAAGGTCCTATTAAATAGGACAATTAGCATTTATTGCTTTGTTTAAATTAATAACTTCAAAATGTCAAGATAAATTAATGCTTTAAGTATATTAAATAAATAATACTCCAAGTCATCTCTTTAATTAAAATCAGGTTTAAACATTTTAAGATTTTTACATATAGTACGAATGGAAGAGGAAAATTTATGTTATTTGAATAATTTAAATAATCTCTGTAAGGACATCTTTTTGTGATAAAAAGATTTATTAAAGAAATCATGGAATTTAGGATATTTTTTTAATATTTATTTGACATAAATAGTTTGAAGACTGAATGTTGAATGAATGAAATGAAAATACTAAAAGTTATTTAATTGACTAATATAGGTTACGATTATTTATGTAATAATTTGATATACATATATATGTTTATATATTTGGATATGTTAAATGAAATGATTGCCTGTTACTTCCTCTGAGTCTAAAGGGAAAATTAAGGAAAGGAAAAATAACTTATTGTACATATTAACTTTGTGGACATAAAATAAATATGAAATGAATAAGTAAATACCTTCATGATCAAAAGAAATCAGTAAAAAACTAGAAGTTCTGCCATTAAGGGACCTCCAAGTACATCGATTTTAGTGACAAAGTACTTTGGAGAGATATTAATAACAGCTTCTGAGATCGTGAACATTCTTACATAAATATTTATTAGGGTCTTTTAGTGCGAGGCGACTACCGACCGAAAAGACTATGATTTGACTTTTTTTCCGGACTTTTATATTTAGATCGAAGTTATCTTTGTATGATATATTATATATATTTTTATGTTAAATGGGGCCAACGAGCAGACGACCTACGTGATGGAAGTAGTACCGTCGCCCATAGACATCTGCAACATAGTTTTCATGATGTGTTCCTGCCCTTGATTAGGGAAGTGGAGGAGGAAAAGTGGGCAAGGGAGGAAAAAGGGTATACCCTTTCCCCTCCCAAATAGGTAGGAATATATAGTTTTCCTTTTTTTTAAAGCCAGGAAATCGGCTTATTATTATATATGTATAAACCATCCAATTCAGCATCATTGTAATTTAGAATTACGGTAGAAAATTATAAGTTTTAAAATGTAAGTATATAATGTATAATAAATATATTTTTTCTGACAATAAAATAAAAGTAGAAGGATTTACTCTTCCTTCTAAATCAGGATCAAAAGCCAGAGTAACCCTTGGAGATCGCAGGTAGCTCTGTTGGAATGAGTTAGCAGAGGACTAGACTTGTCTCTCTCCTTAAGATACGGGTAACGTATGGTCCCATACTATTAAATATTAATGGATCATTCTTTTAGAACTTAGAAAGAGGTTCGCCGAAGCTGTATTCAATACAATATGAAACGCTTCATCATAATGCATCTTCCTTGGCACTTTCATCAATGGTACCACATTGTAGAATATTTTGAATTGCAAAAAACTGTTGATATTTTATATTTTTTTAAACCTATTTAATTTTCACCTACATTTGTTTTGCTAATCGATTTAAAGTCACAGGTTAAACTCTGTTTTCTGATCTACTTACGGCAATTTTATTTTTTTGATTTCGGTTCAACCAATGATATTCAAATAGTATTTCGATATTATGCACTTTTGTCGCGAAATTTTTGACGAAAAATTTTCATTATAACTAAGACAAATTCGTTCACGTACCTTGCCCAAATGAATTCTTTATCTTTTCTAAGTATACTATAAGAGTATAGTAGATTACATAAATAAACTATTAAGGTAATTGTATTGTTTTTGTTGACTGTACAAAAATATATGTACGTATAAAAAAATATTAGATATTATACGGGTTATGGCTTAGTGTTTGTTTTAAATATTTTAAATGTGGCTTTAGAAATAAAAAATAAACATAAATAACAGGCAATGATTTAAACATATGCTTAACTTATTTTAATATAGAAAGCAAGGATTATGTGAAAAGGTTATTATAAAAATTGTACTTTATACTATACTGTAAACACTTTGTAAAAATACGTTGTCCTCTTTTATAATAAAATTATGGTCACCATACAAAATGTTATACACAGGGGGAGTATAAAACGAAATAGCTTGAATTGGCTCGTCTATAGCTTGTAGTTTTCTGATCACATACTCGAAGCCAATCTTATGGAGCTTATGTATTGTGGCTACACGAAAAACAATTGCCTTGCCAATTTTCCAATTGGAGAATTTTTATGTTCTCCATACTTTGTTACCTTAGCAGACTTCGACATTAACTTTTTAGGTACAGTATTTTAACGTGTTAGAGATTTATACATTAAATTTAAAATAATATATTTTATGAAAAACTTAATAGGTGATAGGTAAACATTAGCATAACGTCAAATGTAGAAATAAGTTGTTTGTAAGAATAAAATTATTCATATAACTTAAGTTTATACAAGGTTCGTGATTAGTAATCATCCATACATACTTAAAACTATCACACATGTACATACTACGTACTAATGAGATCTAAGATTTTCGTGAGTCATTTAAGCACATATTAATTATTTATACACTTATAAGTAAGTTAATATATCTTCATAAAAATTC